ATTATCCAACTATTACACTTGCCTATGTTCATATAGTTAGTATCAGTGATCTTTTTGAACTTTCTAGTAATGAATCTGAATTTTCTACTATTTTACATAATATGCAATCTAAATTTAATAAATATTTTTCACCAATTCCTATACTTATTGGTTTTGGTATGTTAATTGACCCTGAATTTAAAAAATTTGGCCTTACAAGTATTTTTAAGTCTTTATATGATAACTTAAATGATGAGCACATGAACCACATGAATGAAATAAATATTATTTCGAAATTTTTTTTAAGGAATATACTGTAACATTTGAGAATAATGGTACATTTAATCCCCCCTCAGCTTCTAGTGATATTGTTGGTAGTAGTAAAAGTAAAAGCAAAATATTTATGCTAGCTTCAATTTTGAACAAAGGAGGTATGTCAACATCTTGGGGTTAACTAAAATTCAGCAATATTACAATGCTTCAATGGTAAGTATTGAAGATCCTGATTTTGATATTTTGGCATGATGGAAATGATATGAAAGTAGATTTTCAATTCTTTCCACCATAGCTCGTGATATATTAACAGTTTTTATATCGACTGTAGCATCCGAATCTGTTTTTTAGTACAGGTGAACGTGTCATTGATGAGCATAGGAGTTGCTTGGATGGAAAGACAGTGGAAGCCCTTATGTGTCTTCAAGATTGGTATGCCACAAAAGCAGAGATTAAAATATGGAAATAAATCTTCTAATGCAGAATTTTAAGTTTTAGAAATTTAGATATTAAGATTGATGAATTTTTTTCATTCATTAAATATTTTGGATAAAATTAGCCCAGTAAGCAAATACTAGATAAAATTAGATATTATTATAATATTTTATTTAATTTTGTCTTTTATTTATTTGTATTGTATTAGATTGAATTATTTTATTAAATCCATTCATTTTTAATAGTTTGTTTTTTTTTGTTGTTATATTATTCTGTTTAACTTTTTCTTTGTTTATTAAAAAAATGAAACAGTTTGGTTTTGTCCGTGTGTGGGAAGTATCTTTGGTGGGAATTTTGGGCAGTATCATTCACTAAGATGTCAATTAGTAATTTGCATTCAAAGCCTATTGCACTGGTGACACACACATTTGAAAATGTTACAACAGATTCCTCTAACATTTAATATTTTTTCAAATTTACGCTTGATTTTTAAAATCTATCAATAGCATGAGCCTCTATTGATACAATTTGTCTTCAAATAATGTGTTAACTCATTTGTCAAATGTTTGAAATTTTCAATTGCATCTATTGGTTATTTTTTTTTAATGATTTTACTCATAATATCGATTTTTCATATAAATTTACTTTTTTTTTTTTTTAAAGATTATATATAGAAAACATATTTCACAAACATTTTTTTTATATTAAAAAGCTTGGTTTAACTAATATTTACTATGTACCATGAATTGAAAAAACTACGAATTTTAAACTTATATAACACAATTAATTGATATTACGAAGAAAATTGAAGTTCAAAGTGTTGTGGTGTCATCTTAGTGGGAGTCTAATAAACTTTCGCTTGTATTTTTAGACTCGTTTCTTTTTCTTTTTTTTTTTTTGTGGTAAAGTCTTTCTAGAACTAAATTTAACTATTTTTATTAGCGTTTTGGGTCAGACCCAGGGTCCGAGACATTACCACTACCGATATTAGCCACCTGAGCCCAAAAAAAGAAAAGAACGGACTGAAGGGGTGAGTTTATTGGCTGTACAAAGTTAAGGAGATTTTCTAAGAAAAATAATCCTAGAACTGAAAATGATAGAAATTTAAAATTGAAAGAAAATATATTTTTATACCTATATTTAGTTAGAATGAAAAATTTGCGAGAATATTTTAAATTTTTTTTATTTTATTGTTTGAAAGAAAGGAAAATTACTAATGAGATGTTGACTCAGTGGGTAAGAACTTGAATTTCTTTAATACTTAAGTTTGAATTTTCATAGTTACAGTAGCTTATTGGGACTAAACATATTTTTCAACGCTTAGAGCATACAGAGGGATTTGATCTTTGGTCCCGATGTAAGTATGATGAGATCTTTTGTAAATAGTTGTGTGGTGCTGAAGAACAATGTTTACTGCTAGATATGTAGAGTGATATATTTGTATATCTATTCTAAACATAAAAAAAAAAAAAGGCAAAGTTATAAGAATTTTTTTTAATTGTCTAAATTACTATTAATTATATTAAATCAATTTTAAAAGGAAAAAAATATGTATTATAGTTAAAAGTTACAAATTTTAAAAAAAGTGGTTCTTAACTTAATTTTGGGATAAGCATTTGCACCAAGTTTTTTTGGGTTAAATTATATAGTTAATCAAATTCATACCAATGTTTTTTAAATGAATAATTGATAAAATATTTAAAAAAAATAAGGATACTTTAAAAAATAGTTATACATTACAATTTTCTTATGTTGTTTACAAGAAAAAAAGTTGGTTAGTTGTGAGAAAATTTAAGTATGAAATATTTTTATTTTTTTTTATTTTATTCAAATCAAACATATAAAAAATTTTAAATTTTTATTATTATATTTTTTGCAATTATCTTGCTAAACCAGTGTACCTAAGTTACTCATATCCGCCACAGAAGAAATTGTTTCATTAACAGACAAAATTACAAATACACGAAATCTGGGACGGAATGTGTCAAATCAGTCATTTGACATATTCTCTGCTCCTAAAGTGGAGCCGTACTTCGCACCCGCTAACGTACACCACAAGATATATTAAAGTTTTTTTATCTATAATATAAAATAAATTTTTTTTAATAAATTTATTATACAATCTAAAATACATTTATTCAATCATCATCGATATCTTTCTTAAAAGGATTAATCTCATTTTATAGCTTGAAAGATAGTTTTAATCTCAATTTGCACCCTCAAAAATAGAAATTTGTATCAATGTGCACCCTCAAAGATAGAAATTTGTATCAATGTGCACCCCAAAGATAAAAAATCTCAATTTGCACTCTCAAATATAAAAATTTGTATCATTATGCACCTAAAATTAAATTGATAAATTATACCTACATCCTCTCATGTTTGTCACTTAATCATTTGGACCTCTTTATATTTAGAATATTACTCCTACATCTCATGACATTTATGCACGTACAACATGTAACCCATTTTCATTGATATCTGTTAATATAACCGTTAAAAAATATAATTTTATCCTAATAAAAAATTATAATTTCATATTACCCTTATTTTATGGGTCCAATATACTCTAAAGTTCAAAATCAAGCTTACCATTTAAATGTCTAATAAAATGTAAATATTTATATAATGTTTTTCATATTTTCCTTTTTAAAAATATCTACATTCTATTAGACATTCAAATGGTAAGCTTGATTTTGAACTTTAGAATATATCGAATCCACAAAATAAAGGGTAGTATGAAATTATAATTTTTTATTAGGATAAAATCATATTTTTTAACGATTATATTAATAGATATCAACGAAAAGTGGTTATGTTTACACATGTATAAACGTCATGAGATGTAGGGGTAATATTCTAAATGTGAAGGGGTTCAAATGATTAAGTGACAAACATGAGGGGATCTAGGTATAATTTATCAATTTAGTTTTAGGTACACATTAATACCGATTTCTATCTTTGAGGGTACAAATTGAGATTTTTTATTTTTGAGGGTATACATTGATACAAATTAATATCTTTGAGGGTGCAAATTAAGATTTTTGATCTTTGGGGGTGTACATTGATATAATTTTCTATCTTTGAGGGTACAAATTGAGATTTTTAATCTTTAGAGGTGCAAATTAAAATTCGAACTATCTTTCAGAGTACAAAATGAGATTAACCCTTCTTAAAATTATTCGTATTACAGTACTTTCAGTATGGATTATCTCTATATTTTCTTTTTTTTGTTGGATCAAAATTATATTTGCATTGGAATTGATAAAATTCTATCAACTTTTCCAAAGTGGTAGTTGTGCTTGTCGGAAAAAAAAAAAGCAATGTTATGTTTAGGAAATATTTTTATTGGATCTTTATATTAAATAATGTGACATAATTTTTATCATTAAATAAGTGAATCATATTAATATTTAATTATTAAAATTATACTATATCCATTTGTTTAGTGAGATAATAATATAAAATTTAAAAAAGTAAAAGTTTTTAAAATTTTCATCTTTTTGTTTAGTATGAAATAGAAAATGATAAAAAAAATAATTTTATTTTATGATTAAATTTTTTTACAATTAACCAAATTTTTTTCTTGTAAAAGAAAATAAGAAAAATTGTAATTTATAACCAATTTTCCATTTTTCTATTGTTTTTATTAAAATATTTTATTAGTTATTAATTTTAAAAAATATTGATATGAATTTAATTAATTATATAATTCAGCCCATAGACCTATGTACTAGTGTTTGTCTTAAAATTAGATTACAAGCCAATTTTTTTTAAAAAAATTTAACTTTTAACTATAATTTATATTTTTCTTCTTTGGATGGATTTAATATTATTAAGGATAATTTAGATAGTTAGAATTTTTTTTTTCTTGTAATTTTTATTTCTTTCAAACGATAAATTAATTTTTACAAATATTTCATGCTAACTAAATAAACGTTATTTTTTGTTAACCAAACAGAGCCGGCATGAAAGTTTGACAAAGCCGCACCATCTGATCTATTTTTTTAGCATAACCTACAATTCAAATCCGACTCGCCTATGATGCCCGTGGAAAAACTTACACTAGACAACGTCGAACTCAAAAGCCAGTTAGTTCCGTTCATATTACACTGAATGAGAAAGAGAGTGGACTTAAACGACCTTATAAGTCCAAGTAAGAATAATAAAAACGGCATTGCATTCATTAATGTACACTGCTACTCGTGAAAAATATAGGTGCGAAGTTAGCCCCACATTTATGATTTTACCGCCCCCCCCAACAAAAACACAACACCCTCTCCTCTCTCCCATTATATAACCACTACACTACCCCATCATCAACCGCCAATTCCCAAACTCCCACCGGTCTCTCTCTCTCAATCAATACGAATATAAACAATACATGTTGATGCATGCATTTATATAACTGTCTCGAGCTATATTTATAAATTGTGTGTTTCTGTGTGGAAAGAAGGAATGGAAGGCGTGCCAGTAAGTGTATCCAGAAGATTACCGGGGTATTGGAGGATCAGAGGCTATGAGCGGCTCAGTGGGACTGGTCGGAGACGGAAGACTACTCGGTTGGCGTTAGGTGCGGTCGGTTCGAACCGGAGAAGGCGGTTCTTGAGGATAAAGGTTACTCCCAAGCTGAAGCTAAAGCTGAAGCTGAAGCTCCGATTCTCGCCCAAGAAGTTCTTCTGTGGCCTGAGGGACGCTTACGTGAACACGATGCTGAGGTTTGCTAATTCCAGAGTGATCAATGGTGGTGGTGGGATTGTTGGGGATGAGAGGATGATCATTCAGATCTACAAATCAATTGTGATGGCTCAGGGCCAATTGGTGCCCCTTGATGCAGCCAGAATTGGCACCGAGATGGTCTGCCACCGGTAACTATAAGAAACACCCAAAAAAAAAAAAAAAAATTGATTTCAAACCTTTTTTTTTGGGTTTTCTTTTAAATGCCTATATCTTGTATTAAGTCTTGCACCGATTAATTATCGGATTGGAATTAGTGCAGAAAATTGCAGCAAGGGTCTTAACACCCACCTTCAAAATCTGGACCAATTTATGTGTATTTCGATTAATTTTTTTTTCAATCCCATTAAAAACATACTATCTCCACCGAAATTAAAATATTTATAAATGATAATCTTAGTGCTTGACAATATTCGAACTCAGGATCAGGGACGGAGCTAAGATTTCCTCTTGAGGGGGGCCAAGTAGTGGTATAACATGATATTTTTATTTAATGTGGATCATTTAATTAGACCATTAATGTCTGATATTTATATGCATAGAATATATACGAATCAATCTTATACGATATAATATAATTTTAACTTTCAATAAAATGAATAAGTTAATCGAAACTAGTTGAATTATTAGATGTAAAAATTGAATCAATTACACAATTAGTAATTCAAAATAGTCTAAAATTTACAAATTTATCCAATATTAAAATTTACAGATTTATGCAAATTGACACAATTTAAATAGTTAATAAATAGTTCAGTGTGGTCTAATCTCTTTTTAAGATGATAAAATAAAATAAAGATTATAATTTAATGTATAAATTTTAATTTTAAGAATTTGAGTGATATATAAAATGTGACCAAAATATAATTTTAAGGGTGTAATATATAATTTCAAAAAGTTGAGGGGGGGCCATAACATAGTTCTGCCACTATGCAAAATGATGAATTTACAAATTATCCTTATTTTCGCTTGAGCTGCCCTTTTGATTTAAAGTAATTTTTTTGTGGAGCATTTTCATAGATTAACCATGCTAGGTAGGATAATGAATTCGCTAGAATCCACTGCCATTTTTTTTTTTATATAAGGTAGGCTTCACAGCTTGGTTTTACTTGAGAATACCTGGGTCGAAAAGAAGCATAAAAGGGTAATTTGGTATATACCTACCCGATATTAATGTCCAGTTTGATATGATGAAAAAATGAAAAGATCAAAAAATGACACAAACAAAAGTTGAAAGGGTGGAAAGCTGAAGGGATAAATAAAATATCATGTTTGGTAAAAAAATAAAATAGGAGGGATGAAAAAGTGGATGAATTCACTTTCTTTTCAACTAATCAAAATCAATCCCTTCAAAATCGGAAGGAAAATGAATGAAAAGTTAATTATTTGTGTTGAGATGTCTTATTTGTTGATATATTATGTATATATTAATTTTACATAAAAATACAATGATAAAATATGTATATGTATATAATAATTTTAGAAATACAAAAAAAAATTAAATTAAATTATTATTATTTTTTTATCTTAACTAGAAGTGAAAATTTTCGACTTAATACGATAACATGACTCGAATTCGACACGAACTTGAAAATGAACTGACATATGAACAAAAAATATAAAAAACTCATAATTTTATGACTCAATAAGGATCTGACACGACACGACTTGATTGTCACCCTTAAACTTAGCCAGCGCAAAAAAAAATTATAAAAAAAAATTAGTCATTTTTATTTTCCATCTATCCAACCAAACACAAAGAAAGGAAAAATGTATCATTCCTACTTTCTATCCTTGAAAGTATATCCCTGCCCATTTCACCCCCAAAACGACTTCTAAATCCAATTCTGAGATCGAAAATGAATTTCTTGACCCCAAATTAACTAGATCAAAGCCCTCTTTAAAACTTAAACAAGTTTTTAACAAATCACATTTTCACTTTTTTAAACCCTCACACCACCATTACACCACCACACCACCACTAAACAACTCTTCAAAACTCCCCAAACTCAGTCATACCAAACAATTAACTCAAATCAAGCTCAAATCTCAAACTCATTTCAAAATTCAAAAATTCACTAAATTTTAAAACACAAATTCATGCATTAATACTAAATCAAATCAAAATCTAATTACATATATGAGTTCTTAACATCTATATTAGGCTCTGAGTATACCTCTTAATGCTCGAAGTAGTCTTTGCAAGAATTCGAAAATGCACAGCCTATACTTTCTCTCTCTAACTTCTCTTTCTCCTCTCTCTCTTCCCACCAAATCCTTCTCCATTTTATTCCCTCCAAGCAGTTGGGTGTCCTCCATACAGTTTGGCAAGCCTCCATCAGCCACCTTGCAAGTGTAGAAGATCCTTAAAGCTTCAATGACATATTGGTAAATTCTCAATTTTGTCTAATTTTGAAAATTAATTAAAAATAATATTTTTTTTCACAATTATATATATATATAAATCAAGCATTATAAAATTATCTGTTAAATTTTTGTACATTGAATTGATCTTCAATTTGATCCACTAATGCAATTCCCGCATTTTTAATTTAACGATAGGCACTAATTTTATTTCATCCATTTATTCTTCCGAACTCATTTCTTTTTCACCAACCACATTCCTACACCTATCGGACCTCCTAACCATCTCCAAAACATTTATACACCACACTAGAGTCATCAATTTACAGTCCGCCTATCTGTACTCTGAACCTCTAACCGCACACACCAATTTGAATTACACACACCGAGCCTCGAACCTCTAGTGATCGAATTAGCACAATAATCTCAATCGTTTCAATTTGTGCAATTTGAATAGCCTATCTTTGCTAAATATTTTCTTAAAAAATTTTCCTCACCATAGTCATAACCTTAAAACACGTTAGAGACCTTCCTCAGCTTGGCACAACTCACAATACCCGACACTCGGAATCATGGTTGTCACAGTTGACTTCTTTTAGGGCGGATTGGATGAGGTTCTTGGGATGACCCTTACTCCAAGGTGGCGAGAAGGAGGCTCTTGAATGACCCTTACTCGAAGGTGATAGAGGAGATTTTTGGATGACCTTTACTCCAAGGTGGCAAGAAGGAGACTCTTGAATGACCTTGCATACTCCCTGCTAATGAAGCTCATTGATTCTTGATGAACTTGTCCGGGTTGACTACATTGGACTGGACTTGTTGAATCTCTTGGAGATGAACTATAAACTCGGACCGGACTTATAATTTGAGCTAGCCCCATCAATTTAAGTTCGAGAAAGTGGTCAATGCAAGTCTAAACACCCAATAACAAAAAAAAAAAAAAAAACTTATTGTGTGATTTGAAAGTGATTTGGGTAAAAAGACAGGTTTGTAAGAGACACATTATCCACGAATATAGAAACTTACCTTGAACATTAATTTTAACTCTAAAACAAGATCATGCTGACATTCAGCAAACAATTTATCAACATATAAGTCCAAATTAGCTTCCCATCAGCTGAAATTTTCTGAATACTTATGAGGAGAAAAGATCAATAGATCAATCTTTGTAAGAACTTTGGGCCACTTGAATTGTTTTTTCAAAATTGGTAAAAAATTTCTAGCTAGTCCAAGTTGTCGATATTCATACTACCTCAAAATCATGCACATTGTTGGGTCAATTGGATCTTGAACCTATAGTTTCTGGATATTATGATATCAAATATCTTTCATTTAAATCATCCTCGAGTCTTTTATTTGTTTTTTACGTAAGGTGTGAAGATATATTTTAAATATGTGGAACTGTGAAAGTGGTATTAGAACAAAAAATAGTGTTCAACTAATATAAATTAGCCTAATTGATGAGTAAATTTGCAAAACATAGTATTAGATTTGAACAAGCAAGCGTTGAAATGCCGCGACTGTGAATAGGTAGTGTAGAATTAATATAACATCCAGAAAGATAGTGAGCCTATGTAGTGTCTATCATCAAAAGAGTTATTGGGCGGGCAGTACAGAAGATGAGCAGTGCATTTGAATTATTTCACCGACTGATTAGTTGGAGCAAATCCCGTACTCACCATTACAACTTCGTCTAAGAATTTTGTTTTTGATATATCTTTTTGATTTGTTCAAACTTTAAAATTTATAACTTTGTGATATGAGTTGGGTTAATAGAAACTATATTATGTGGTTGGAAGGAATTTGGGTCCGTGATTAGTCAATGATAAACACTCACATCATTTATATTATTATTTAAATATAGATCGGCTGTATTTGTGATTGTTTCCAACGATGACCACTTAGACCTACATTGTCATGATATTTGATGGTGCTTAGATTTTAGGGCCCAAGCCCGATTATAACGGGACGGTGTTAAGAAATGGCTCTGCAAATCATAGATTTGAAATTAGTTAGACTAGGAATATAAGTGGTTCACTTTATCCGAAGGACTAAGGCTACGTTCACTATCAACAAAACTTCTTATTCACAGAATTTATATATTCATCGGTTGGCAAAATGCCTCTTGTAATTTGGGGACTCGCGGTCCACTTACAAAGGATAAAGGGCTAGGTATTCTCTCTTAATTTTCTGCGTTCTTTGGCTTTTTAGTGCTCATTGATCTTTTTTCGTGGGAGATCCAGTTCTTCTCTTGCCTGAGTTATCGTTATCCATTTATACTAGCCTCTCCTAGGTCATTCAGTTGGCATTTCTTCTGCCCCCTCCTGCTTCTCCTGCCACAACGACCGTTGTTCATCCGGCGTCCCTGTTCATCCGGCGCTGTCGTTGCCATAATCTCTGGCGGCCTAGTGCTCCACCTTCTCTGAGATTGCCGTAGGTGTCAGGAGTGGTCCCCTAAATTCCCAGGATTTGTGGTCCCCTCTGTCGATCCAAAAATTGCTTAGACTAGACTTTCCTTATCCTAACCGCTCTACGGTTTGGACTAGGCCTGGACAGCTGGGTTATAGACTTTTTTTGTTGATGTTAGGTCCTCCTTTTCTGTTCTGGGTCTCTTGGCTTGGTCAGGCCTCTGGGCTATCAAAGCTCTGGCCTTGAGTTTCGTCCACATCAATATTATTCTATAGAAGCGAGTGGACTCTTGGAAGTTTGGCCGAATTGTTTTTGATGTCGTAAAGCATGTTAAAGTTTTGTCTTGTGATTAAGGTCTTGTGTTTCTCTTATTGAAGTTTTCTTAGATTAGATATGTTCAAACTTGCTGGGTGATATGGAATATTACTCCCCGTATATCCTATTGGCTCGTTGAATTGTCGTATTAAAAATGAATGAATTAGAGAAAATAATTCAGTCTAATATGATACGGATGAAGAAAATATAAAATTAAATAGAGAATAAAAATAATACGTAATTTTATCTAGTGTTTGGTAATACACAATATAAACGTTAGATAAATTCTAATACCTTATTTAATCTTGTCTTTTGTCCATCAATATTGTATTAGACTAAATTATTTTATTAAATTGATCAATTTCTAAAACAACAACCAAAGAAGCCTATGTTGCAAAGGAATCCCACATTTTCACCTCTGTTTTAGATTATTATTTTAGTCCAGTACAATGGAATCTTCAATACCATGGGACCATATACGAACAAAATGAGTGATCATCATCCACCTTGAATAATAGTTTGTTTTTTTTGTTGTTATATTATTCTGTTTAACTTTTTCTTTGTTTATTAAAAAAATGAAACAGTTTGGTTTTGTCTGTGTGTGGGAAGTATCTTTGGTGGGAATTTTGGGCAGTATCATTCATTATGATGTCAATTAGTAATTTGCATTCAAAGACTATTGCACTGGTGACACACACATTTGAAAATGTTACAACAGATATTCTTCTGACAGTCAATATTTTTTAAAACTTTTAACCTATGAACTAAAAACATTAAGTCATGTGCCAATTAAGTTCGATTGTCCAAATCCATCAACAATAGCATGAGCCTCTATTGGTACAATTTCTCTTCAAATAATTTGTGTTAGCTTATTTGTCAAATGTTTAAAATTTTCAAACATTTGTCATCAATTTGTCATAAATTCTAGAATTTGCTAAGAATAGATCATTTGTAATTAATAATTCAAGTGATGAAGGTGCAGTGGTAGGTAGTGGTTCCATATGATGAACATTTATTTTTGAAGTCATATTTATTCATTAAATTAATTTCACTAGTATAATCATTTCTATTTTCCATCAACTTGAAAATGAATATCAAACATACAAATTGGATAGAGAATTTGATGAATTAATGGTCAGAGTTAAACAGTCTTATGCCCCCATCATTCCAAGCCAAAGCATCAATTCTAGTTCTTTTGTTCATATTCTTTCTTAATTTTTTGTGTATCTTTCTTTTCTCTCAAACAATAAAATATATTTTTTTAATTTTCATGCTAACTAAATATATATATTAATATATATATATTTATATCATTTTCTATCATTTTCACTTTGCCCCTTATATTTTTCTTACCCAAACAGAGCCGGCATGAAAGTTTGACGATGCCACACCATCTGATCAATTTTTTTAGTATAACCTCCAATCAAATCCGACTCGCTTATGATACGCGTGCAAACGCTTACACTAGACAACCTCGAACTCAAAAGCCAATTAATTCCGTTCGTATTACACTGAATGAGAAAGAGAGTGGACTTAAACGACTTATAAGTCCAAGTAAGAATAATCAAAACGGCATTTCATTCATTAATGTACGCTGCCACTCGTGAAAAATATAGGTGCGAAGTTAGCCCCTCATTTATGATTTACAACCCGCTCACCCCCCGCCCCCCCCCCTCTCCCCGCCAACCCCAAAACCAGGCCACTCTCTCCTCTCTCTCATTATATTCCCACTACACTACCCCATCATCAACCCCCAATTCCCAAACTCCCACCGATCTCTCTCTCTCTCTCTCTCTCTATCTATCTATCTACCAATATAAACATACCTGTTGATGCATTTATATAACTGTCTAAAGCCATATTTATAAATTGTGTGTTTTTGTGTGTGGAAAGAAGCAATGGAAGGCGTGTCAGTAAGTGTATACAGAAGATTAAGTGGGTATTGGAGGAAGAGAGGCTATGAGCGGCTAAGTGGGACGGATCGGAGAAGGAAGACTACTCGGTTGGGGTTAGGTGCGGCCGGTTCGAACCGGAGGAGGCGGTTCTGGAGGATAAAGAATACTCCGAAGCTGAGGCTGAAGCTTCGATTCTCGCCCAAGAAGTTCTTCTGTGGGCTGAGGGACGCTTACGTGAAGATGATGCTGAGGATTGCTAATTCCTGCGTGGTCAATGGTGGTGGGATTGGTGGATTCGCAGGGGATTGGATTGGTGAGTTTGGGATGGCCCCACTTAAGGAGTATGATGAGAGGATGATCATTCAGATGTACAAATCAATCGTGATGGCTCAGGGTCAATTGGTGTCCCGGGACGCTGCCAGAATTGGCACCGAGATCGTCTGCCACCGGTAGAAAAAAAATAAAAAAAATATATATATATATATATATTGATTTCACGTCCTTTTTTTTTTTTTTTTAATGTCTACGTCTTGTAATTCTAACAAATAAGTTTCTTGTATTAAGTCTTGCACTGATTAATTATCAGATTGGAATTAGTGCAGAAGCAAGGGTCTTAACACGCTACCTTATAAGTTGAGACTATATTATTTCAGGCTGAAAGTAGTTTTTTTTGTATCAATAGTCTGAGGCGTTCGGATTAACTTATGCAAATTTTTTTTCTGATCTGGTTAAAAATAGATTATTAATGCCAGAATTAGATTATTCATGAGATATAAATCTTAGTTCTTCACAAGATTCGAACTCAGAATCAGGGGCAAAGTCAGAATTTTCTCTTGAGGGGGTCAAATAGTGGTATAACAATATATTTTTATTCAATATGGATCATTCAATTAGATCGTTAATATTATGACATTTATGTGCATAGAATATATACGAATTAATCTCACACGACATAATATAATTATTACTTTCAATAAAATGAATAAAGTTAATCGAAATTAGTTGAATTATTAAATGTAAAAATCAAATCAATTGCACAATTAATTATTAAAAATAGTCTGTACTTTACAAATTTATAAAATATTAAAATTTAACGATTTATGCTAATTGACACAATTTTAATAGTTAATAAATAGTTTAGGATGGTCTGATCTTTTTTTAAGATGATAAAATAAAATAAAGATTATAATTTAATGTATAACTTTTAATTTTAAGAATTTGAGTGATATGATCAAAATATAATTTTAAGGGTGTAATATATAATTTCAAAAAATTGAGGGGGCCATGACATAGTTTCGCCACTGCTCAAAATATTTAAATTTATAGCTTATTTTTATTATAACTTAAACTATCCTTTGGGATTAAAGTAGTGTTTTTTTTTATGTGGAGCATGTCCATAGATTAACCATGCTAGGTAGGATAATGATTTGCTAGAATCCAGTGCCATGTTTTTGTTTTTCGATGTAGGCAAGGTAGGCTTCACATCTTGGTTTTAGTTAAGAATAGGTGGGTTGAAGAGAAGTATGTAAGGGTAATTTGGTATAGCTACCCGATATTAAATATTAATATTTAAGACAGTTAGTTCCAATGTATGGTAATTGTTAGCTTAACTTTTCACGCAAGTATGAGTGGGCTCATGAAGTGGGTTAGTTTAACAGCTACAATGAGTGCCTAAGTAGACTTCATTCCACGGTTGGTGCTGCTCTAGAAGAAAATATTGAGTGTCACGGTTAAAATTAATAATAAGATAATAAATAAATAAGGGAATTTATAGAATTAAATAATTATCTATATAATAAAGTATAATATAATTCAAATCTTAAAAAATAAATAAAATATTTTTACTTTTCGTAGTTGAAATCTTTTTAAATTTTATTTTAAAGTTAATCTGACGATTAATATTAACATCCCAAATTTAATAAAAAAAAATAGGTCTTTAAGGATATGTTTGAGATACATTTTTAAAAATATTTTTAGAATATAAATATTTTTTTTTTTAAAAAAAAGAGTGTTTTGAACCACCCCCACCACTACCACTACCACTACCACTATCATTCTCACCGTGCCACCACCATCACCACCACCCCTCCACCATTGTCAGCACCCCCACTACAACCACCACCACCACCACTCTCACTACCACAACCAACGTCGCCACCCTAACACTACATCTACAGCAATAACCACCACCACCATTGTCGACACCCCACCACCACTATCACCATCTTTATCGCCCCCTCCACCATCACTGCCATCATCACCACACCATCACCACTGCTGCCACCATTGCCACCCCCACCACCACTATGGCCACCTTCACCACTGCCACCACCACCGTCACTATCACCACCACCGTCATTGTCCCTCCGTCACACCCACCCCCACTGTCTTACCACTATTCATTCAACCTTCATCACCACCACTATCGCCGTCACCCCCATCACAACGACCACGACCACCACCCCACCACCACCGTCATTTCCCCACCTCCATCCCACCCTCACCACCACCACCATTGCCCCACCTCCATCCCACCCCTACCACCGTTGCCACTTACTATTGATTGCTACAACTGTTGTTCACCAGCATTACTTACCACTATCGTCATCTCATTCTTATATACAATCACCATCATCCCACTACCACTATTATTGCACACTACCACCCATTACCAGCACCAAGCACCATCTGTCGTAGCCCACCATCGCCACTAGCAACTGTCACCCACTCTCACCACACCTACCACTATCATCCGTCATTACCTACCACTATCGCCACCCAATGGCACACACCCCTGGCACCTAGCACAAATGTCATTCGCAACCACCTATCACACTGTCACCCAGAAACACCTGTCGTCACCCACCAACACCATCGACCCAACCCACCATTGCCACCACCATCGTTGTCGCCCCACCACTATCATTACTAACCACCATCAATGTCGCCCACCACCACCCACATCCATCACTATACAACTGTTGTCACTAATGACTGTCACTATCACCATCACTATTGCGACCAACGGCTGCCACCATTACCATCCCATCCACTACAATTATCACAATTTTTCACCACCACCACTACTGCCGCCTATTGTCACTATTATAATAAGTGCTTAAATTTCTTTCTCTCTTCTTTGTATTTGTGATTAGATTTTTAGTGTATATATAAATATATTTATTGTTGACTATTTTTTTTATTATAGACCTTTTTTTTTTTTAATATAATGTAATAATGACCTCCGAAAAGGTACTATTCCCTAGTATACTCTTTATAGCTTGCCAACAAGACATTTTTCGAAGCAGGCAGGGTAGCACGGGGGAATTTGACCAGTGTGATCAATACTAAGTAATCTCCTTTGCCCAAAGTAGGGTGATTCTGATGGGGAAGAAGGGTATAATAATGTGGCATCGCCGCATCAGAGACGTTTAGGTTCGCTACATTTAAGAATTTCACTACTAATTTGTCTAGTTAGAACACTAGCCTAATTGGGTGGGTGTTATCTTTTTTTTTTAAAAAAAAAAAAAGTAGAAGCTCCTACGGATAGTGATGAATACTTAGAACATGAATTCCCCCTTCGTGCGTTGGATTATTGAAGAATGGAGAAATTCTTATCTTTAAAAAAATCATCCACGAGAGTTAATCAATTTATTTCTCGATTAAATATTGTGACAATAATGACATGGTGACACCGTTACAATGAATATTTACTCTCTAACATAGAAGGAAGGTGAGATTAATAAGAGGAATAAAATTTCAATCATCGCCAATTTAAAAATACAATTTTTTTGACTTAAAAGCTGATCTAATATTTTGGCTTCACGACGTAACAAGAGTTATAATCCCAATACAAAATACTATTATTAAATCAACAAATGATTTTCACTTTTTAGGTCCTACAGAATTAGTCATTAAAAAAGTTTTTTTTTTTTGTTTTTTTCTCACCCTTGTTCGTGCGCCAACCCGCCCTTTTTTGGTGGTTGCTTGCACCTCTTCTGGTTGAAAGATTCTTATGGGCTATTACGGCTCTAGAGTACGTCTAAGGAGGTTTTGTATTTTAGTTACTTATTATTTTTTAATACAAGTAATGCTATTGAAATTTAAAATTTTAATTTAATTCATTAACTTAATAATGTGATTTTATTATAATTTTTAGATTAACACCAAGTTCTAAGGTCTCAGTCAATCAAATGACAATAGTGAATTAAGTCAGTAAATTAGGTCTCAATAACATTATTCTTTCAATATATACTCCAACAAATTTTTATATTTTAACTAATTTTTTAAAATATTATTTTACATATTTTGTACCTTTATTGAGATTGTTGGGAGTGAGGAGGGAGAGAGAGAGAGAGAATGAAAAAAAAGACAAAGAATTGACATGAGAGGTTAAAAAAGAAAAGGAGGAGAGAAAAAAATTATAAAATATTTATATAAGTTACTACATTGATACTCTATATTTAGAATATCATTGCAACAAAATATTATTTTAAAATATATGAATATATTTTATTAGAGCATGATTTTTGTATTTGATTAGTTAAATTTTAATTGCTTTAGAGTTTTACATTCTGTTTGAGATGTTATAATATCTAGAATCTATCATACCATCATCGTTGTAGTGGACCGAAGGTCCGGTTGCTGATCTAGATCCATACATTACAGATATGGTGGCCAACAATCACCGTTTGGCAGTTCCCCTTTTAGTTTACTTTTGTAAAATAGAATTGCTTTCCTTCTCGTGACACTGAACAAAAAACGTGAATAGACATATCAATATACGTGGATAATACTTTTTGTTTCATTTCCAGTTCTTATGTTATAAGGGGTGGAACTTCTCCTTTTTTCCACCTTAACAAAAAATCTTTATTGTATGTGGTCATTTTATAGTATTTTATTATTAAGTATATTTATGATTTTTTCGATTGATCTGTCTATTTAACAAATAAATAGTAGTTTTATCTATCATGAATTCTATTAGTTGATAATTTAGTATTAGTTGAAAATTTTGTGAAAGATTTCAATAATGCCTAATTCATGTCGAGTAGACCTTGTTGTTGTGAGAATTCTTAATTCATGTGCCGTAAGGAGGGATTTATGTCACCACAAACAAAAACTAAAACAAGTGTTGGATTCAAAGCTTGTGTTAAATATTACAAATTGACTTATTATACTCTTGACTATGACACCAAAGATATTGATATCTTGATAGCATTCCGAGTATCTCCTCAACCTAGAATTCTACTTGAAAAAGCAAGGGTCGTGGTAGTTGTTAAATCTTCTATTGGTACATGGACAATTGTGTGGACTGATGGACTTAGTAGTCTTGATCGTTACAAAAGGAGATGCAATCAAATCGAGCCCGTTGCTGTAGAAAAAAATCAATATATAGCTTATGTAGCTTATCCATTAGATCTTTTTGAAAAATGTTATGTTACTAATATGTTTACTTCCATTGTGGGTAATATTTTTGGGTTCAAAGCCTTGCGTGCTCTACATTTGAAAGATTTGAGAAACCCTCTTATTTATTCTAAAACTTTCCGAGGCCCGCCTCATAGCATCCAAGTTGAGAGAAATAAATTAAACAAGTATAACCATCCTCTGTTTGGATGTACTATTAAACCGTAATTGGGTTTCATCAATTTCGGAATGTGTTATGGTAAAACTTCGTTTGAAACGACATAGTAGAAAGTAATGTACGACTTAAAGGACACGATTTGTTGTGTATTCTTACATCCACCATTTTACATAGAAATAATGGTGCTTTTGACTAGACATCTTTTGTTCTGTTCCACTACAACGTTTTTTTTTAATAATGTTACACTGATCAAATTTAAAACTCAAATGACATAACAACATATTATTTAGAGTTTTTATTGAAACTCAAATGACATGGCACAAAAAAAAAAGTTCAAGTCAGCTGTCATGTCATTTAAGCTCTAAATTTGGTTAGTGTAGCATTACTGCCTCTTTTTTGAGGGTTTTAATGTAGCAAGTCAGGTTCACTCTTCCATTTTGCTTTCGGCCTCCACAAATAACTGGGCTTAGACTTAATTAAAAGGAAAAGTTGGAAAGAGATACATCTAATTAGACTTAATAGTAAAAAAATATATAGAAAAAAAATATTGGGTAATTAAGTCCTTAATTTTGATACTTATTTGTATCTAAGTATATTATTTGAATTTTACTGATTTTTTTGTGACATTTTTGCCCTGCATTAATCCATGTGTATTTAATGCACCATTTTTCTTTGAAAAGTGGTGTATTAAACATTTTCTAGTTTTATGAGAGAACTTTAATACATATATATATATAAATAAGTATATATATACGTATTTGAATTTCAAAATTTGTATTCATGTATATATAAAAATGTATATGTATATAAATTATATTTTATACTTATGATTCATACGTTATATATATATATATATATATATATATATATATATATATATATACTTATATAAATATTTATGTATGTATATACTTGTTGTTAAATCTCTTATCTAAATATTGAATTAACTTTTAATGCACCTTGATTCATGCATTTTTTTTTTAAAGTGGTTTTATTTTCAAATTAATTTAATATCCAAATAGTGTAATAGTGTAACAATAACAGTGTAATAATATAACAATAACAGTATAACAAGTTATTTACACAAAATATTATACTATTATATTTTGTCAAACATATAGTTTCATATAATTTCATTCAAAATAGTACATCTCAATTTTGAATTTGTTACCACATACACAAAATTACTGAACACTATTTTTATTACAGTGTATTTGTTACACTGTCTTTATTACAGTGGATTTGTTACAATATATATTGTTATTGTTACACTATTACATTATTCGAATATTAAATTAATTTTAAAATAAAACAATTTAAAAAAAAACGTTTGAATTAAAATGCATTAAATATAATTTGAAAACAAAATCATTTTTCAAAAAAAAAAGTATAAATCAAAGTGCATTATAGATAATTCAAAAATTCTAAAATGGGCATTTATGTTTTTGTAACTTAACTATGTACTTTTTTTCAAAATATTTTGTTCTACATATTTTTTGTCAAATAAATCTAATTAACTGTAGCAATTTCCAAAAAATCCTAATTAAAACCCAGTTTTAAGAGAGGCCCTTTTACGGTCTAGAGTTTCCCCTTGGTTGGGGTTTGAGGTGTAACGAAGTTGGCCCATGTCTTGGCCATGGCCCAGATTGAGTCCAATTTAGGTTAATCATGACACAGAGTACTTTTATGGCGTACATTTCCACCAAAGGAGGAGTATGAAACAAAATGTCACACATAATAATTCCTTCCAATTTGATCATCTTCCCAAAGTTTTTCCAATTTTTTTCAATCAAAGGCTTGAGATAATCTGATCAACCAAAAAAAAAAAAAAACTTGAATAATCAGGATAAATGTGATATACTTCGTTAGACAGTGAAAAAGAATAAAAAATAATCATTGAACTCTCCCTCGGGATTGAGACCCTTTCTATTACTCATTTTTTTTAATAAATAAGTGATATGTACAAAATTTTAACTTACAGTAGATAAAATTGGAAAAATTGACTTTTGATATAATATTTTATCTGTAAAAACATGTGATTTTTATTCTGTATATTTCCATTAATATTGTGTTACCTTGGAAAACAAAAAGAAAAAGGCCTCTTCTGCCTCTTCTCTCCCAAGTAGTGTGTGATTCTCTGCTTTCCTCACCCACCCCCGAGAAAAGATAGATAAGAGTGAAGAGAAAAACCAGAGTGCAACGCACGTAGGCGCAGATTTGCGCCACTCCTATTAATTTCCACTGTGGTTCGGTTCAACGGATTCTCCTCTCTACTTTCCCTCTGATCGTAGGTCGCTTCATTCCCACGGCATCCGATTAGAGAGAGAGAGAGAGAGAGAGAGAGAGAGGATTGAGGGAGGCGAAGAAGGAAAGAAGCAAATGATTGATTCGAGAAATCTCACTTTCTTTCTGTTAACGCTGGCGGACCTCAAAGGAACCCTATCCTTCCTTTTATCTTCGATTTCAAATCCAAGAAGAAGAAGTTAAAGAGGGTTTTATCGTGTGAATATGCTTTGGATTATGAGATTTTCATGGTTTTTCTCCGCCGCAATGGTGATGATTGTTTTTTCACCGTCACTTCAATCTTTTCCACCTGCTGAAGCCATTAGATCGTCTCATCTTGATTACAATCTCCCGTTTCCTGGTCAAATTACTTCCATTGATTACTTTAATCGATTCTCTTTCCGAAAAGCATCCACATTCCGCAATGCCGATGAATGCAGTTCTAAAACACAGGGGAAAATTGGTGTTTGTGATCCGTCGCTCGTTCATGTTGCGATTACTCTCGATGTTGAGTACCTTCGAGGCTCAATCGCAGCTGTACATTCCATTTTACACCATTCTAGATGTCCTGAGAGTGTATTCTTTCACTTCCTGGTCTCGGAGACTAGTCTCGAAACCCTAGTTCGATCCACTTTCCCTCAATTGAAGTTTAAGGTCTATTTCTTCGATCCGAATAGAGTACGGAGTCTGATCTCTAGTTCGGTGAGGCAAGCGCTTGAACAGCCGCTAAACTATGCTAGAAATTACTTAGCAGATCTACTAGAGCCCTGTGTTGGAAGAGTGATATACTTGGATTCTGATCTCGTAGTGGTCGATGATATATCGAAGCTTTGGACCACAAACTTGGGGACGAAGACCATCGGTGCTCCGGAGTACTGTCACGCCAACTTCACAAAGTATTTCACCGAAAATTTCTGGTCAGATAGGAAATTTGCCGGCATATTCGCCGAACGGAATCCTTGCTATTTTAATAGTGGCGTGATGGTCATAGATCTGGTGAAGTGGAGAAGCTTTGGGTACACGAAACGGATTGAGAGGTGGATGGAGATTCAGAAAACTAATCGGATCTATGAGCTAGGGTCATTGCCGCCGTTCCTTCTAGTATTCGCTGGACATGTGGCGCCAATCGGGCACCAGTGGAACCAGCACGGTTTGGGAGGCGATAACGTTAGAGGTAGTTGTCGTGACCTCCATCCAGGTCCGGTTAGCCTCCTCCATTGGAGTGGTAGTGGCAAGCCATGGCTTAGACTGGACTCGAAGCAACCATGCCCACTTGACTCTGTATGGGCACCGTATGACCTGTATGGACACTTGAATTGAATCAATTGTGGGCTGGACTTACTCGCTCGGTAAATTCCTCCCCAGTGACTATTTTTTGTCCCTTCATATGTTATCTCATAATCCCCAGTAGCCACTTGTTCCTTTAATTTATTGCTTTTTTAAAAAAAAAATCTCTTTTCTGCTTATTTTTCTCTTCTCGTTATTTAATTTTTGTTTCTCTTGATTAACTCATGATAATGATCCTCCTCTCAAGCTATTTGTATTATATTCTATTCTATTGTCAATGTCCTCCAAAATTAAACAGAAAACTTGAATGGAACTGACTGCACACGGGGTATGAATAGTACTTAAAGCACCGAGTGGAAGTGTAGGTAAAATGACCAAATTACAATTGCTGAAAACATTGGTTAGCAGAAGTTGTTCAATCTCGAGGGAGCGTGAAAAATCCAATTTGACTCTCTAAGGAAGGAGTTATGAAGTGTTGAATTATTTTTGTTTTCTGTGGGTGATAACGGTAGGCCATATTTAAGGGCGAGATTCTCTGTTGTACAGTACTGTGTCATTCTCAACACGACTTCAGTAATTTTGGAGTGCATGGCATGTTGTAATGCCGGTGGTGTGCTGTTCGGTTGTGAGATTGTTTACTTTGTAGTGGCCACGCATGGACGGATAAGGGGATGCTATCCTCTTCAATTTCGCGGGCTATAGGCATCGGAAGAAACTAATAAAAGGAAATGACAGTATCAAATGAGCAAAGCCGGGGAGGAAGGGGGGAATAAGTCAATTCCACCTACTTCTTTAGGTGTGCGTTGTGCTTTAATGGCGGAGGCGGAAATCTTGTGAACTACCTTACCTCCCCACTTCTCTTGCCTACTTAGGTGGCGACCCCTTTAATTCCTTTTCTATTGGGATTAGCTAGTCGAGTCTTTTGTAGAGACAACAATTTAGTTAAAAATAACGAGTTATATAAGATAGGAAATTATTGTGGCAGTCGCATCAAAAAGGGGAGCCAGTTGTCATTGTAACGTATGAAGCTTCCAAAGTATGGAATGGGACTGATTCCTCACGCCCTGGCATCACACGTGGCCACTTTGATTGGCAGACTCGACCAATCAAGTTCTACGTGCTGGGACTGGGACTGGGACTGGGTAAATATTATACAATTCGGCTTTGTGTTTGTTAGCTGTAACACACACACACTTTTTCAAATATACTCTTCGGACGACTTGTTGCGAGAAGGGCCTTTGTGGGCTTTTTGGTTGGTTCGGCGTTGTTGGCTGCTCGTCTGTTTAGCTGCCTTTGTATAGTATTTCTTTTCTTAAAAGTGATTAAGACTTGGCAACTGACACTGCTCTATTAGGTCACCCATGTCATGTGGATGGAATTGCAGGTTGCCTGACTCATGTGATGAAGACACGTTCAAAGGAAAGCAAAATAAAACAAAAAGGGTGGAGTGAATGTGAATCCAATGCTTATACCATCTTTTGAGGCCCATAACATATCCAACAGAATACCGACCCTTAAACCTTTTCCTCACGGGATTGAAACAATGTGCAATAATATTGATTTATCTAGTAAACATTTTCAGGGAAACGCAACAATTTCTTCATCTCTTATTCCCTTTACCGACAGTACCAACTGTGTTGTAAGCACCTCAAGCATTAAATAGCTTGGTGATGGTGATTCCTCAGATTATATGGGCCCGGAGATCTGGTAAACATCTTGGTGATGGAAGCACCTTCATCTCTTACCAAATTGTTTGTCTCTCCTTCTAAGAGCCAATCACTTTAGAAGTGTATCTTATTCCATGTGGAATTCTCTAAAAGCAACAATTTAGAAATTATTGATGCTACTGTAATGACACCTGAAACAACACTGTGAGCATGCAATTCTGCACCTATTTTGAATCTCTTATGGGATATGACATGAGCACATATACAAGCATTTATATTGGGTTTTGTTCGTAATCATAACAAAACCATATCCAATTCCTGGCCCAGCCCAAAAACTAAGCTCAAAAAGTGATCGCTTTAGGCCCCATTTAAAATAAAGGCTCTATTTTTTACAAGTCTTCAATATAATCCAAACCGAAAAATTAAATTCAAATAAAATTGAGTCTAAGCAAAAAGGCCTATGTAGCTTAAAGTAACAAAATTGGGCCCAAAAGCTCAAAAGTGTTTGTAGCATAGCAAAAGTGAAAAGCTCACAACTCAATTGGTTAAAAATATGAAATTTTAACAAAAACAAAAAAACTATTTGATTGTCACATGCAAAAATGAAAAAATTGTTCAAAAAATAATCAATACCATTAATTACTCTCTCTAATAGGTCAAAAGAATCAATTGTATCAGTCAAACACACTCTCTCTCCTATGTCTCTCTCGTTAAAACATTAACCCCCACCCCTCTATCTCACACACACAAAATTAATTTTTGTTTCCATCTAAAAACAAAATAAAGAATTATCTTCACTTTGGCTTGTGACCGCTTTTCTAATTCACACAACAAAGGTCATCAAATGAGCCTCGGTATATTATTTATATTCGCACTTTTTTTTTTCAATGTTATTTTGTACAAAATATAGTTTCAATCAACTTATTCTATTTGTTTTATTTTGTTTATAGATGATATTAAAGAAGAATCACATTATAATATCTTAAGTTTTAGGAACACTGGTGATAAAATTAAGGTGTCGTTTGGTAATCATTAGTTTTTGTTTTTTTTTTTGTTTTCATTTATGGCAAAAATAAAAAATAAAAATGCGTTTGGTGAATGTTTTCGTTTTTTTTAATTGCTCCGCTTTGAAAACAAGGCTAATATATGGAAACATCTAAAATGTTGTTTTTTAAAACATCAAAAATTAAAACAAAATGGGCGTAGCAAAAGGGGATTTAAAGAGATGTTGGCTTCAATCCTCCTTAGCAACAAAAAATGGATTTTTTTGTTTGAGTATAAAAGGCCCTCATCCCTATTTCACCCCTCTCTGTCGTCTCTCCCTCTCGATGCCAATGACGAAGACGAAGCCATCACCATCACCATCGCCAATCGCTACGAATGAGCTCTCGAATCTAGAAGCCATCACTTCATCTCCAAGGTCAAGTTTCATTCCATCTCTATCGAGCTCTCTCTGTACCTCCAAGCCCTAGATCTATGTATATATTGTTATATTTGAATGTGTATGTATGTGTGTGAGAAAGAACGAGGGTGGGTTTTAGTGGGTTTCGAGAATGCTGAGTGGTTGTTTGTAGGGGTGGGTTTTTAGGGGTGACGAGTTTTGTTGGTGAGTGATGTTTCGATTGGGTTTTGGTGGTGGTGGGTTTGGTGGTATTGGGTATAGATTTTCTGTATAATATCAAACATATTTTTTGTTTTTGTTCTTATAATTTTTTAAGTGTAAATGACTATCAAATATATTTTTTATTACAAAAAAATTATCAAATGCACCCTAACTATTATTGTTTTATAATTTCTTATAGAGAGTATTTGATTGATTTATAAAAAAAAATTGGATTGTCAAAAAACTGTGACTACTAAAAAGCAACAATTCAGATACAAGGAACTTAAAAAAAAGAGAGAAAAATAGAAAAACTTATTGAATCAAAAAAAAAAAAGAGAGAGATCTCTTAATAAATTTATTATTAGTAATAAAAAAAATTACAAAAAATTTAAGTGAAAGTTTTGAAATAAACAAGTGTTAGATCATAAATAATTAGAGGATATTGAAATTATATGATGAAAAATAACAAATAAAATTTTTATAATGATTATCGAAAATGTAATATAATAATTCTTGATCATGAAGAACATACAAAAAAATTATTAGTAATTTTGAATTTTAAAAAATAATATAAATAATTAATTATATTAATAATAATAAATAAATAAAAGCCCAATTTAGAATCCTCGCTTTTGTTGACAAAAAAGAGAAAGTTCTGAAATTACTTCACTGCAAAAATACAATAATTCAAAAGCAAAAGCAAACTGCTCTATTTAAAGAGCTAAAAGCCAAACGGCTGTAAAGAAAATATCTAGCCACTAACTCCTACCTAAGTGTCCAAGACTAGGACTTGTAACAATATCAATTATTCCACTAATAACAGACTCCAAAAGACTCGGACAAAACAATAGAATCATTACATGAACAAAGAGGTTTGATCAAATAAACCCACGTGACTCAACATTCCTTCCCATAAACTGAAAGATTTTCAAACATTCAGTTTAGACAACATTAGTAACAAAAAATCATTCCTGAAACTGGTCATTCCAAAGTGCATAAACCGAGCAATTTCTGTAGCTTATGAAATAAAGGTACTTTGAGGGGTTTAGTAAATATATCAGCAACTTGATCTTCACTTCTGTAGAAGGTAAGATCAATGATTCCATCGTTGACGAGATTTCTCAAGAAGTGATACTTCACATCTATATGTTTACTTCGCCCATGTAAAATAAGATTCTTGGAGAGCTTAATTCCTGAACTGCTATCACAATTAATTGGGGTTGGTCCTTGTTTCGGTTGTTGATAGTGTGACAATTGGTTGTTTCTTTCAAGACCATGAGACAGCTCTTGAACCTATCATAAAGACATAACCTGAAGTGTTCTTTCTATCATCTTGATCTCCAGCATAATTACTATCAGTAAATCCAATTAAATATGACTTTTCTCCTTTCTTATAAAACAACCCATAACCAGCAATCCCTTGCAAACAATGAGCAATTTTCCTCCATCTCCAGTCTTTGTAAAAAGTGTATGCTCATATGGACATTTCTTAAATCCCTCTTTAGAAAAATAAGCATCTATATGACTATACCAAGCACGTGGAGCTTGTTTTAGCCCGTATAATGCTTTTTTGAGTTTATAAACCTTATTTTCACTTCCAAGCTTCACATAAACAGGAGGTTGATCAATAAATACCTCTTCTTCCAAGTCGCCATGTAAAAATGTTGATTTCACATCCAATTGGAAAATAGGCCATGAGTTTTGTGCTGCCAATGCAATCACTAGTCTGATTATGTCATGTCTTGCAACTGGAGCGAAAACTTCGTTGTAGTCGATGCCGAACTCTTGCTTATAGCCCTTAGCGACTAAGCGTGCCTTGTACTTGTCAATTTCTCCATTCTCCTTCAGTTTTGTCTTGCATACCCACTTCACACCAATGCTTTTTTGCCCTTTTGGAAGCTCCGTCAACTCCCAAGTGTTGTTTCTTTCAATGGCTGCTATTTCTGCATCCATAGCCTTCCGCCACTTTGACTCCTTGATAGCATCTTTGAAAGCTACAGGATCACAATCTAAAACAAGATCAAAGTAAGTAAGTGGATCCTCAGATTGGTCAATTCCGGGTACCTCAAAATCTGTCATCCATCCGGGCCTCTTTCAAACACGGCATAGACGTGATTCAGCTGCTACATCAGTAGAATCTGTTGTTGTTGGTGAAGTTTCAACAACAGTTGAGGTTGGTGAATTTCGGGGAACATTAGCTGCTGGAATTTGTTGTTGTAAAGGCTGTTGCTGCCGCCTTTCTTCTTCGTTTTCTCCATCAAAAAGGACTGGAAGCGTTTGTTGCTTGAAATTGTTTTCTTTCCACGTCCAGAATCTTTCTTCATCAAAAATAACATCACGACTAATGACAATTTTCTTGGTGATAGGATTGTACAATTTGTACGTTTTTTACTGTTCAATAACACCAAGAAAAATGCATTTTTCTCCTTTGTCATCAAACATTCTTCTCTTTTGATCTGGAATATGGGCATATGCTATACAACCAAAAATTTTGAAATACTCGACAGTTGGTTTACGTCCACTCCAAGCTTCTTGCGGCGTCACATTTTGTGCAAGGGTGGGACTTCTGTTTAGTACATGAATACCCCAATTGACAGCTTCTGGCCAAAAACTTCTTGGAATCCCGCTCCTTGCCAAGATTGACCGCACCATGTTCATGATTGTACGATTCTTCTTTTCTGCAACGCCATTCTGCTGCGGCGTGTAAGCTGTTGTAAGTTGCTTTTGAATTCCATGAGTCTCACAGAAATTTTCAAATTCATGTGAGTTGTATTCGCCACTACGATCAGTACGAAGAATTTTTATTTAGCTGCCAACTTCTTTTTCAACAAGAACTTTGTAGTTTTTAAAAGTTGTAAAAGCTTCAGACTTTTCCTGTAAAAAATACATCCATGTTTTTCGGCTAAAATCATCAATGAAGGTGATCCGGTATCTTTTACCTCCATTGGAAGGTGGATTTATTGGCCTGCAAAGGTCAGAATGAACCAGCTCCAATTGCTTCTTTACTCTCCATGATTTTCCTTGTGGAAATTGATTACAATGTTGTTTGCTAACAACACATTCTTCACAAAATTCAAATGGAGCAGTAATTTGAGGAAGACCAGTCACCATATTTTTCTGCTGTAGAGTCTTCAATCCACCAAAACTTAGGTGACCATAGTGAAAATGTCATAGTCATGTTGCATCGTTCACTTTTGCTAATAATCATGAATGAGTGGTGTTGTATAGATAAAGCGAGAACATACAATTTGCCGTCATGTAAACTTGAGCAATTAAGTCTAACTTTGCATCTTGAATTTGACATACTCCACCTTTGATAGAAATCTCGTACCCCCTCTCTTGCAGTTGACCCACACTAAGCAACTAAGCAAGTTGGCCTTTAGATCTGGGACAAAAAGAACATTAGAGATACTGTGGGTGGAATTTTTTTTAGTTTGAATAGTTACCCTTCCTTTTCCCATAACAGAAACCGTGGATTTGTCACCAAACTTAACGATGTTGCAAAAAGATTCGTCCAGGTCAGAGAACGCCTTCTTATCTCCACACATATGGTTGTTATAACCAGTGTCTAAATACCACATGTTTGGTTGAGTTTCTTCCTTCACGTGACACACCATCAAAAGAGACACCTCTTCTTCCTTTTCTGCAAAGTTAGTTTTTTCTTCATCTTGTCTATTCAGATTAGTTCGGCATTCAGACTTGTAGTGACCGTACCTATGACATCTGTAGCACTCCACATTGGATTTGTCTGTTGACCTCGATTTATATGTAGTCGAGTAGTTGCCACCTCGTCCTCTTCCTCTTCCTTGAAATTGGTTGTCTTGGTGTTGGTGTTGATTTCCACGATTATAGTTTCCTCTGCCTCTGTCTCCTCTTGTCGCCGAGTGATTTTCTGTTGAGGCCTTCAAAGCTTGCTCCTCTTTCTCTTGCTGGTTATATTTACGCTCATGAACCAACAAAGAACTTTGTAATTCGTCAATTGAAAGTTCATCAATATCATGAGATTCTTCTATGGAGCAAACAACAAAATTAAATTTTGGTGTCATGGATCGAAGAATCTTCTCTACTATGGTCACGTCCTCTGTCTTGTCCCCATGGATCCGCATCTTGTTCACGATCGCCATTGTTCGAGAGAAATAATCTGTAACTGATTCTCCAAATTTCATTCAAAGTGTTTCGAACTCCATACGAAGTGCTTGAAGCTGCTGCCTCTTTGCCCTTGCAGAACCTTGGTACTTCTTCTTCATGGAATCCCAAATATGTTTCCAAGTGTCTTTGCAAAGAATGGTTTCCAAGATTGAGCGATCAATTGCTTGGAAAAGATAATTCTTTGCCTTGAGATCTTTCAACCGCTGCCCTTCTAGCTCCGTTCTTTGTGCTTGTGTCATTGTCGTACTATCTATTGGTTCCGTAATTCCTTCAGAGACGACGTGCCAATACTCCTTAGATCTTAGAAAGTTTTCCATTAACATGCTCCAATGATTATAATGACCATCAAACCGAGGAATGGACGGTTGAACAAAGTTGTCGGTGGCCATCATTCACTGCTGCTGCAAAAAATAAAACAAAGTGAAGGAGAAAAGAAATAAAGTTGCTGCAATACGTCCTTTCGTTCTCACAAAACTCACCCAGTTTTTTGTTCTCTCAACCTCACTAGCAGACACCACACTTTGTTCTTTCTTCTCTCACTTTTTGTCAAACTCTTCACACTATTTTTGTTTTAACTGGCTCTAATACCAAATGTTGACAAAGAAGAGAAAGTTCTGAAACAAAAGACAAGATTTATTTATTGCTTCACTGCAAAAATACAATAACTCAAAAGCAAAAGCAAACTGCTCTATATAAAGAGCTAAATGCTCAGCGGCTATAAAGAAAATATCTAGCCACTAACTCCTACCTAAGTGCCCAAAGACTAGGACTTGTAACAATATCAATTATTCCACTAATAACAGACTCCAAAGGACTCGGACAAAACAATAGACTCATTACATGAACAACGAGGCTTGATCAAATAAACCCACGCGACTCAATAGCTTTAGCCCCAAAACATATCGGGCAGCCCATGTGGATCAATTCAAATAACTCCCTTTGCAAATGTCACAAAAGAATTCTATAACAGTGTTTCAACTGGTAAATCCATTATTATCAAAACAAGGAAACGTATTAACAATCAGTGCAAGCCAAATAATACTTTTCAGTACAAAATGTAGAACAAAGAAGATGAAAGTACAAGATGAAGTGGACTAACTACTTCATGCTTGATGTTTATGGCTGCTAAGTGAAGAACGAGTAGTAAGGGAAATACAGCACATCAGGGAAACGCAAACTTAAGGTAATCCTGCGTTCCAGAGAGAGGGTGTATGTACACCCCAAGCAATGAAACCACAATGCAGATTATTGCAGACCACAGATATACTACTGTGGGAACCTTCGCTTTCCTCCCCATCAAACCCTTCGCGAAGGGGTAGAGATGAGACAACACCCAAAAACTGAAGAAGACGCCTCCAACAAGCCTGCTCCACTGTGGAAAGGGGTTGTACATGGTCCTAAACACCCCCACTGCAATTGCAGTCACATTAAGCAAGATGATTGTTATTGGTGCGACCATCAAAGTGGTCCATCTAAACTTGTATAACTCTGCAAATTCATCGTCTCCATCATCTACTGTAGTTGATTTTGATGTCAGCGTGAATGATATGTCAAGTCCCGCTATGACCTTCAATAGCCCTTGAATCACAGCCACAGGATGGGCACTAATTCCACCGATCAACCAGAATTGTTCATTTCTCCACCAGTCATGGAGTGTGATTCCTGACCATCTGATTTCAAGGATTGCAAGCAAGCACAATGTGAGTGTGATGGCCAACAAGAACACTAGAAAAGTGATGTTGAGAGATTGGACTATAAACTTCCCAGTGATCAGAGAAAGTGCAGGCAGAACACAATAGACAAGGAGGAAAAAAGAAGTGAATGGATAGATTCCCACATTCAAATATGCAACCCTCTGCAGAAACTTCATCCTCCTACCTGCAAATAGAGCATTGTTGCGGGAAAAGAAAATCTCAACGGAACCGGTGGCCCATCTAAGGACTTGGATAAGCCTATCGGTTAAGTTTATCGGTGCAGTCCCTCTAAATGCATCTCTTTTGGTGACATAGTAAACTGATCTCCATCCTCTATTGTGCATCCGATAACCTGTTACAACATCTTCTGTAACAGAACCATATATCCATCCAACACTTTTGCCCCACTCAGTCTTTATCTCATAGAAGCAACTTATAACGCTGACCGCCTCTACAATGGCTGCAGAATCTAAAGGCTCATGTTGCACGGCCAAAGAACTAGCTAGTCTGCTCTGACAACCTTTTCCCCTCAACTCATGAAGCTGTCTACCCCCAAATTCGGCTATTGTGATGGAGTCAATCAAAGAATTAGAATTTCCAAACTTTGATGGAATCAAATAGTTGATGACTTCATCATCACCATTTTGATCCCCAATAATAGGTAAAACCATGTCATCATCCTCTTGATTCTTTGGCATTTTGGGTTTTTTCAAAAGCATCTTAATTTTCTTTCTACCAAACCATCCATGGTGTTCTGTGGCTCGAGGTGGACTAAACCCATAAAGAGCAGTTCTACGGAAAATGCAGCCTGTACCTACATACATTGGACCTTGTAATCCATCAAGGGCTCTCATGCTCACATCAAAGAACACTGTATTGCGGTTTGCATACCGATCATTTGGATCAATTCCCTCAAACCTTTGAGGGAATTGGACATAACAAATCTTATCACCTCCCCTGTCAAGCATAAAGCAAATTCCTTCCCTCAGAGCCAAGGAATTATGGACGTAGTGGTCGCAATCTAGATTAAGAACAAATGGACCATTTGACATAATTGCACTGGCACGTACTAGAGCATTCATGGCTCCAGCTTTCTTGTTGTGATCATAACCAGGACGCTTTTCACGAGACACGTAAACCAGCATTGGCAATCTTATATCAACATCGGTTGTGTCAATAAAGTCCTTCTCATCAGCTTTTTTACCAAAAAATGTTTCTGGATTAGGGGGAGCCAACATTATCTGCAGACAAACCCAGAATGTTAGAGCTAAAAGATTGAACCGAATACTGAAACTACTGTGACACAATTCAGTGGAAACTTTTTACCTGAATTATACCTGCATGATCGCCTCTTGAATGGTCTTCCTCTGCTGATGGCCAAGTTCCATGCCAATGAGTTCCATCAGACATCCAAGTAGCCTGTGAGACCTTAACAGGTTCAAGAGGATTTTCCCCAATTTCTCTCTGTTTTTTCTTTGCTCGTAGCTCTTCCTGGGCATTATAGGCATCTGATCTTCGTCTTATCGAGTCTGGTAAGGCAGTTATCCTCACCTTGAATTCATCATACTCTCGCTTTAATCGTCTCCTCTCCCTAACAAAATCAAGCTGTTTTTTGTTCTTGAGGGGGTCATTCTTCTGCCCAAAGTATGCCTCTGGATTTCTTGGCTCTATGTTGTGTTTCCTACAGAAAGGGACCCATATTCTTGCAAAGCTTGCAGCCTCTGCAAGTGCTTCAAATGTCACGAGGGAGCCGCCATCATCTGATAAATAACATGCTAGTTTTTCAACAGGATAGTCAACAGCAAGAATGGAAAGAATTGTATTTGCAGTTACAAGAGGGGGCTCTTTTTCTGGGTCAGCAGTTGAAACAAATACATCAATTCCTGGAAGGTCTGATATTCCTTTGGGATTCTGAAGGTTTGGGCCTGAGGGTTCAAATCTCTCTTTCAGAACAGAAAGATCTGTCAGTCTTTTTACAGGGCAAAGCTTTGGTAGCTGATCAAGAAGCCAAGAAAATGCAAACCAAATCTCACAAACCACAGACATTACCCATAGCCACATTGCATCACGATTAGGATTTGAAATCCTCCATGTCAGAAAACAAACGAGTGCACCAAGTCGAAGCATTATAAGCAATCTGAATGCCAACATTGAGCAATTTTAGAATCAAACATCATTCAGAATTACGCACAACAATTATAGTTGTATAGTGATTGTATAGAATTCATATTTTATAACGGTAAGGCAACAGAAAACATATCCCTGTCATAGTATAATGAAATATAAAAACATAAAACATCACAAATACTCTGCAGAGAAATAACCATCAAAATTCTAAAATTAAAGAACCCATCGGTAAAACCATCTTCAACTAGATATAATTGGCCTAACTTTAATACCTACTGAGCTATTACACAAATTGTTCACCCAAAATACTAATGCAATCACATGATTAGAAATGGTATTGAAATCTCTGTTAAGCTTTACCTGTAGGGACTGAGAATTGCAGCAGAAACTCCAACTTTCCTAGTTAAAGGTTTGTTTCTTCTATCATTGAATTCTGGAGGATTTCCAGATCTGTCATTCCCTGGCCCAAAATCATATCCATCTCTTGGCCACACTGCGTTTCCATAACCGTATGTTCCCTTTGTCTCGAATAGCCATCGGGACTGGTCAAACTCTTGATTTGGAGCCTTGTAAGATTGCACAAGTGAAAAATTCTTCTCCAATTTTATGCCTCCTCCCATAGTAGGAAGTGAATTTGCCTCCTTCTTTTCTTTAAACCTTGGCTCATCACATTCATCTCCACTGAGATCCTTATAAGGTTCCTTGCAACCAGGACAATACCCTCCAACATCTCCATTGCAATCCAAGTAACAATCACGGCAAATTTTGTAGCCGCATTCGCACTGAGACTTTGAGAAGCCCTCACCAACTTTCTCATCACAGCCATTCATTCCACATATCATTTTTGATTTTACCTCCATAGACACTTCCTCTGAGCTCTTCCTTACATGTGCACGAGTCACTGAATTGAATCCTCCAGTGTAAATAGTATCCTTAAGGTAACTCTCATTTTGGTTTCCATGGCTTTTGTTGTCTCCAGGTGAGCTATCCTGAGAATTCGACATGATATATGATGATTGGGAATTGGAGGATTGTGAACTATGTAAGCTACAAACTCTTCGGCGATGTCTTTGGATAAAGAAATATATCTTTTGTCACTCAAAGCTCGGTGACTGAGGGGAGAATTTGGGTGGTTCGAGATTGAATGGTGTGGCACTGAAGTTGTCAAGCCGATGTTACGAAATCCACCTGAAAAATAAATTGTCATTGTCACCGGAGATGAAGGTGCTGAATCAACAACCATCTTAACCTTATTCTCCCTGTTTTTTCCACCTAAGAAACTCGAGATACACTAATGTTATAGTTTGATAGATAAACACGCAACAGAACAAGACCTACGACGAGAAAATCATCGAAAGCCAAAAAGAAAATAGAATGTTTCAGATATGAGGATGAAGTGATGTCCCAGCAGTGTTTTGTTTTTTTGCAGTGTTTTAATTTCAATGTTTGAGTGGCAGAGGAAATATTTTGGGAAGTTCTCTGACGGGATTAAAGGGCAACGGTCGACTAATCCTGACCGTAAATAAGGATAGATCTGATAATCACTCTTCACTTGAATTTTGTGACAACTTTCTGATGTGGCCCCAACTAGCGGCGGCAAATGAGTGAATTAGATTAAAATAAATTCAATCTATTATTTCTTTGTGTAGTAAATGAGTTATAATGAGTTGACTTTATAAGGAATTGAGTTAAATCTATTAACCCATAAAATAATTAATTTTTTTAATAGACACATTAATACACTAATACACACACACACATGCATTAGTAGTATACCAAAATATAAACATATACACACATACTAATAAACCAAAACACAAAAACTAATACGGTAAAAATATACGCATTAATACACTAAAATACACACTAATACATAAAAAATACACACACATAAATTAACACAAAAAATAAAACACATTTAATAGAAAAATACACACATAATAGGTTGGGTCCATTGTGTACTATGGGTTGTTCCGTGGGTCATGGGTCTATTCACGGGTCATGGGTTGACCCGTAGGTCAAGGGTCATGGGTACGGGCCGTGTGTCATGGGTGGTGTATTAGTGTGTGTTTTTGATGTGCTAGTGTGTATATGTTTTAGTTTACTAGCACTGCAATACATGCATTGCACATAAATAATTTTCGTATAAAAAATATTAATAAAAATTATTAGGTATATGTGTACCTAAATTAAATATTATTTTAATTTTATCAAAATTATATTTTTATTGCCCCTAATATACTATAAAATTCAAAAAATATTGTATGTTTTCAACAATTCGTTGTTCTAACAAGAAAAAAAATAAAAATAATTCATTTGAAATTCATTTGATTAGGTTTCAATTTATAATTCATTGAATAAAATAATAATAATTGTTAATATTTTAATCAATCCATACTATAATTAAAAATTAGTTAGGTCAATACAGATAAAATGTAGGGTTAACAACACTTTGGCTCTCTAAAGTATGCGTTTTTTGTCAATTTCATCATCAATATATGAATTTTGTTAATTTGGTTCATAAAATATTTAATTATTGTTTAAATGGTTTCTAATCTAACGGTATATTAAATTTTTTGACAAAAGTGATCACATGTCATTTCGGCAAATAGTATCACGTGATCAGCACTTGATCACTTCTGTCAAAAACTTGGATTATTTGTGTATAGATCATTTAAACACTAACTAAAAATTTTAGAGAAAAAATTAATACAATGAGTACCAAACTGATAAAACATGCATATTTCATGAAGTAAAAGTGCTATTAACTCTAAAATAGAATATACTACTCTATAATAAATATTTTAGAAGAATATTAAAATTCTAAAACTAAATTTTACTTAAATATACACTATAATATTTTTTTTATATGAACTCTTATTAAAATATGAAAATTTATTGTGATTGAAGAATTATGTTGATTGAATATAAATTATATTTTTTTTAAAAATGCATAAAATATTATTGTTTATTTTAAAAATGAAATTATTGAAATTTTGGATAAAAAAAATACACATATATAAGTATACTGTTATCTTTATATTTTAAATGAGTAATGTTATATTGATGAAGTTTTTAAGATTTTTTAAACGTTTTATTGAAAACTATAGTGATGCATATATTTTTTAAGGGAAACGTAGTCAATTAAAAAATTTCATAAATACTGATGTTTATACATAGTGAATAAAGAATTAAAAGAAATGTTAGGGGTAATTTAGAGATTTAAACACATTAATATGTAATGGTAATTTAGCTATTCAATTACGAAAAGATAGTGTGATATTTAAAATTCTTTATAAGAGTAAAATAGTGAATCAAATTTCTTTTCATTATAAGATACTTTTATTAGTGATATAAATTATTAGTAGTATAGATGGGAAAAAATACAAATGTATAGACATAATGTTATTTTTTTTAATTGAAAATAGTGATAATCTATTAATAGACTTTTTGAACATTTTATTGAAAACTATAATGATACATATATTTATTTAAGGGTTGTGTCGTCAATTAAATTTTTTTATAAATATTGATATTTATATAAAGATAATAAAGAATTAAAATAAATATTAGAGGGTAATTTAAATTTAAATATAAAAGGTTGTGATTGTAATTTTAGATATTTAACTATAAAAAGATAATGTGATATCTAAAATTTTTTAAATGGGTAAAATAGTGAATCAAAAGTTTTTCAGTTAAGGTACTTTTATTAGTAGTATAGATTAGTATGTATATTTATATTTTTTGGTGTAATAGTATCTGTGTGTATTTTTTGATATATTAGTATGTTTATTTAATTTTATTACTTGTGTTATTTAATAAAAAAATAAATACTCAATCCAATAGAAATCTATTTTATAATCCATATTAATTTGTTTAATTAAAATGAATCATATTACCCAAATCATTTGAAACTCATATTAATTAATATAGGTACTCAACCCATTTATTTATAGATGAATTAGGCAAATTAATGAGTAATGAGTTTAGATTCCCGCTTTTAACCTAATTGGAGTAAATATTTGGTGTACTGTAATACCGGTGATACTAAGCTATCGTGACTCAAGTGACGTCATCAATTAATTATAAAATAATAAATAAAATTGATGAATTTTATTATTTCAAAATGAATATTTTTTCACACAACAATAAAGTAAAAAACATATGCTTTGACTCGGTTATATTACAAGTTTCAACAGTAAAATAAATAATTAAAAGACGATATTGTATATGGTTCCGATTTATCAATTTATTATTATTATTTTTAGTTTAACGGTCAAAAATATTTAGATCAATTTAAATACACCTCAACTAATTCCTTCTTCGATCTGATTAAATATAGGTCATTTACATTGAAATTAGAGTTTTTGAAATCCCTCATAATCAGACCACGAGAAATTACTGAGATTTGAATTCAATACGTTTGAATTTATAATTTATCCATTTTATTACTTGAGTTACCACTTAAAATTATCGAGGTAATGACGGGGGGCCCTTGGGACCTCTAGATTTCGCATGTCTTGATTTTGGGGAGAAAAAAAAAATTAAGAAATGGATATTTAAAATCACAAGTAAGTATTTCTCTTTTTTTTTAAAAAAAAATAAAATAAAATTGACCAGTAATTATCGAAAGTCACAAATGATTATTTCACAAGAAATCATGATGAATAATCATCAGTATATACCTTATTCTTCAAAATTACAAATCATAACCATCTAATATTTGATGAAGTTAAAAAATTAACAAAACTGTTTTAGCTTCAATTGGTTTTTTTTATTTCATGCCTATTCAAATTATATAACAGTAACTTGAATAATTATTTCTCGTTAGTTATGACAATTGCAAACAATAACTGACTGATTTTTTGATAATGTTCTTCCCAAAAAAATAAAAAACATTAAAATTGTTTTAGCCTCAATGCCCCTTCTGATTGCATACCTATTATTCAAACTGGATCCACATCGCATCCAGCGTAAGAAATACGTTTGATTCATCCATTGACGTGAAAAAAATAATAACAATAGTTTAATAATTGAGGCATTGCAGGTCCTAGTTTTCAAAGTAAGTATAATTCAATTAAATCTGATTTTTGTATAATCACTTCCAACTACTATTACCATCATGCTACTATTGGATGGTATAATGTGGGGCTATCATGTTGTGATTTAAACGGGAGCCCAAATGCCATCATATCTAGAGTTTTTAAAGTCGTGTGATTATGTTTGGATAAACATTAATCACGGATTTGAGAAGATGCAATTTTAGAAAATATATTAAACCCGCCACAAGAAAATCGAAATTTGTAAACATAAATTTGAAGCCAACAAAAGGTAACAATTCAATTATAACTGTACCAAAGATTAGGATGCCTACATCCATTAAACGGGCTAATTGGAGATTAATTTCAATAAATGCAATGGTAAGGTGAAAACACTAATGTAAACCACAATGAAAGAACAATCTCTAGACACATCAATACAAGTTATACAACAATAAAATCCTAATCCATCTCATCTTGTAGAAGAATAATACATCAATTACTATATGAAGCAGATAAGAATACTTACATCTCTAACTTGAAATGAATATTCTTCGATGACTCATGACAACCACGTGGAACAAAAAAGAGTAAGAAGAAGAAAAATAAAAATAGTGTAAAGGGAATATAAAGGTGATAAAATAGTAGAATGTTGTGTGGTTTAGTGATCCTTGCTACCTATTTATAATGGAAGAAAGATTAGATATCTACATATTTGGAAAGAATTTTTACTTCTAATTCTTGGAATAATCCTATAAAGAAAAACAAGGAATTTTTAATTTTGATTGAATTTTGCTCACACTCATCAAAATTACAATTACAAAAATAGGTTTATGACGAATAATGGAATTTTGAATTGGGAAAAAGTATTAGACAATTTAGAGGGAAAATACTACAAAAAAATATTAACTTTATTAAATGGTGAGGTAGATCCATCCTTGAACAATGATAGAGAGAGACACCTCACCATCCTTTGGTTGGGAAAAAATCTTTTGTTAATGGAACTAATTATATTCTCCCCTATTTAAGGGATTTTAATTTGTAAGAGTTCCATCTCTCTCTCTCTCTTTTTCTCAAAGAGGCGAGAAGGGAATAGTTGTTTGTCTCGAGCTCTTATTATGTTTTGATAAGCAATCAAATATCTCTTCGTCTAAGCCTCACTTTGATGGTAATTCAATTTGTTTTTCTTTTACTCACGTATATCTTTTTCATATCAAGTTTGAACACTAACTAACAGATGAAGAACTTGAGTGTTGTCAGAGGTGATGTGTTTATCGTAGAAAGAAATCAGTCTTTATTAGATCAACAAACTGAATTTGATCTTCACGTGTTGCTTGTTAGCTCCCATTCTTCATTCTCCATTCTCTTTCTAGTAGTGTAGATACATCATCGAACACGATTTTTGTTAAATATATGGTGTATACTACATATACATCCATTAATTTATGTAGTTATTATATACATCATCTAAATACATTTGTACATGATGCATTTATGAGCTTTTGCTTATGTAATCATAAGCAGATTAATGATGTAAATTAGATATTACAATCCTGTACCTAGGCATCTAATAGATTTTGACAAATTAACTAATTTTTAACTGACATCTTTTACAAAATAGTTGGGAATAGAAAAAAAAATACATAGAGGAGGGAGGTGGGAGTAATGGAGTGGTTACTAATACTAATTTATCAACAACTTATAACCCAAAAGAAGAATGCTGTAATCATTCATATGTAGTCACCTCCAAGTAGCTGCAAAATATATAAAATATATGAAATTGGAATCCTATACTTACTGTAAAATAGATGCAAATTAGTACTGTAAAAAAGACAGTTCAGCTTCCAATGAACTGATAATACAAAAGCCAAAAGGAGGGGTTGTATTTCCCTTCTAGCCACTTACGTTAAAGGAAACTCTAGTGTGGTGGTGGGCCTACCGCCACGTCAACAAACCACAAGACTTCTGTTCGAGTGATTGAGAAGTTTTCCACTTTTTATGTTTTTTTTGGGTGGATTACTATTTACTTCAACTAAGTTAATGCCCATGGGTCATCAAAATTTGGACTCGTTGTTTTAGGTTTTAATCATCAATGGGCCTTAGGCCCATAAACCGTTGATCCACAGAACACTTCCACGGCGGCACCTATATTTACCATTAATTAACGAACAGCATGGCAGCATCGTTCAAAATCCAAACAGGAAGAAAGAAGCCATACAAATGGCTCCAAAAAGAGAGAATCATGTGGGCCGACCACGTCTCTTTCATCGATAAATTACTTTTACATCTCCAGTATGATACCCTAAATATAGGAGCTTACCTATAGTTTTTAGTAAATACAATGACATCTCTTATCAATTAAAGACTATTATTTCATACCCCGCTTATCCCTCTTTCACATGGGATTTTCATTCCCATCATGTTTCAGCATCAATAAGTTCCACTATTGGCTCATAAGTCATACTTGAATTTTATATGTCAATTAAAAGAGAAATTTTGAATCCCAAGAATATACAGATTTATATATATTTGCTCAAATTTGGTTTAGCATTTGAGTTTGGCGTCTACTTGAACCAATATATGCATCCATATACATGCACAACCTCTTGGTAAACAAAGAGGGGATTAATGTTGAGTGAAGACACGCAAATACCTAGTTGTACATAGCAACCAATGTTGATAATTCTCAGTTTGTTTTTACTCACAAAAGAAAACAAAGCACCCATGTGCATGCACAAACACACTCCAAAGGTTGGTGCTGACAATTTTTCATTTTTTATTATGAAATTAAAAGATGCTACATTTATTTGGTCGTGGGGGTTTTTAGTGAAAATTTGTTTTGATGCAAACTGGTGGTCATTGTTTTATGCTAGTCGTGATGGTTGTATATATATTCATTTTAAATGTTTGGGGTCAAGTGATGTTGGGTGTAAGGTGGTGGTTGTACGTAAGGGAGTCTGTGGTGGACGCTAGGTGTGAAAGAAAAAAAACGGAAACGCTCGTGTGTCTGTGTAGATTTTTGTTTGTAATGATAACTCAAATTAGTTGGTAATGTCCCACGTAATTTTTGAAATGGATGCACAAAACCAAAGGGGCTGCAATTATATTTTATAATTAAGAGCGTGTTTCTATAATTGGACATAGCTACAGAGGTCGTAACTAATAAATATCATTTTTTTTTGTCAATAAACAACAAACAGAGAGAGATTGAGAGAGAAAAAGATCGAAGACCAGTTCTTGGTTATGCATGCCTGTCTTACCTCAACCGCTCAAAGCCGGCACGACATTAAAGTACACAGACAATTTTCTTAAGCAAGAAAAATTCAAACAGCTTTCACAACGCTGTGATGCATAGTCAGTCTTCAATTCAATACTCTATATCAAAACGATGTGATTCATTCATTCCTCAGCTCTCTATATCTCTATGTGACTCTTTTTGCATCTTTCTCTTCCTTCAATTCATAACCAAACATGGCCAATCTTAACTCTCTCTTCACTTTCTTGATCCTCATAGTCTCCATTTCAGTTCCTTCTTCACTGTCTCAACCTACAAACAACAGTGTCTGTAATGGCATATTAATAACATACGTCTTTAACTTAGGCTATCCTATCCCACCATTCCTCCTTCCCTCTGATTCGACCAACCAACCCTACAGGTTCCAATCCACCCTTACAGTCCTCAACACTGGCCTTGAGGAGTTCAAGTCTTGGCGGGTCTTTGTCAAGTTTCAGCACAGGGAATTCTTGGTCTCTGCTTCCAATGCTGTGCTGGCTGATGGTACTTCGCTCCCAGTTGACGTCAGCAACGGGACGATTCTTGCTGGGTTTCCGGTGACGGACCTCAAGTCGGCGGTTCAGACTGCCGGAGACTATAATCAGATGCAAGCTCGGGTCGAGTTGGTGGGTACCCAATACGGGATTGGAGCTCCGGCTGTTCCTTTGCCGTCTACCATAACTCTTGGAAATGACGGTTTCTTGTGTTCTAGTAGTCCTAGTACAAACCAAGGTAACAAGTTTCTCTCTCTTTCTCTCTTATTATTTAAATTCGGCTGTGCTAAATTAATCTTCTAGAAAATCCTACTGCCCTTTGGATTAATTCTTATAAGTTATGTTCAGTTTTAGGATCACGAAGCTCCTGCGGACACTGAGAGGTAAAGGCTACTGGGGGGCCGCCCGCGTGAGTTAACCCAGGTCAAGCCGAAATCCTTAGTAGAGGGTTCTACCCCTTACAATGTTGTATGAGATAATTCAAGGTTCAATGATAGCAAATTCTGACTCTGAATGAGTACACAAAAAAAAGAGCATTTTATTGGCGAAAAAGACAATAATTCGAAATAGAGGACGTGGACAATATCGTCACTGTTTTCTGAACAAGCACATCTATTCACCTCTAATGAATATTGTCTAGTCGCTTTGAATTGGTTTATAATCTTCCTTGATACCATTTATCGTGTGTTTATAGAAACATATGATCTGCGTTATTACTTACTAGTGTTAGACGCTTATCCTTTATTAGTGTTGGGATTGTGTTTGATGTGTTCTTCTCCGAGAGAGGTGTTTTGTGAACAATGACCTCCTATTCAATCAAAAAACAGAGGTATCTTGTCACTGTGAAATGGTATATCTTCCTTGATTTGTCTATCGGTGATCACTTTGTCTCACTGCCATTTTGTTTTATCCCATCTACCGTGGGTTTTTACAAACGTATGATTTGGGTCTATTTGAACGGGGTTGCAATGTTCTTTAGATTAAATGATGCGGCTTTTTTCTTTCTCCTTCTCAACTGGATATTGTAATTTTGTATCCCTATCTGAAGCCTTCATCTGTGGTTTGCCATTTTTGTTTGTGCAGGGAACAATGAGACTCGAGTGTGCTGCTTTAAAGACTCGAGTGTGACATCCAACATCACCACAACCTTAGATGATGAAGGTCTCCTACCCCGCCAAGATGGCGATCTTAGCATCATGTATGATGTGATCAAATCATACGACTCGAATTACTTGGCGCAAGTTACAATCTCAAACCACAACCCCATTGGCCGTCTTGAGTATTGGCACTTACGCTGGGATTGGATGAGAGGTGAATTCATCTATGCCATGAGAGGGGCTTATCCTTTTATCATTGATACAAGGGACTGTATCTTTGGGCCACAGGGCCAGCACTACTTAGATCTTGATTTTTCTACTGCCTTGAATTGTGAGAGAAGGCCAACAATCATTGACCTCCCTCTGGCAAGGACAAACGACACCAACCTAGGGATGATCCCCTTCTGTTGTCGCAATGGGACAATTTTACCCCCTTCCATGGATCTGAGAAGGTCCAAATCAGTTTTTCAAATGCAAGTTTACAAAATGCCACCAGACTTGAATAGGACTCAGCTCATTCCTCCACGGAACTGGAAGATCAATGATACACATAACCCTGATTATCAATGTGGACAGCCGATACCCGTAAGTCCGAGCCTATTCCCTGACCCTAGTGGATTGCCAACAGAATCATCTGCCATTGCCAGTTGGCAAGTGGTCTGCAATATAACACATTCCAAATCGGAAATACCAAAATGCTGTGTATCATTCTCATCATTTTTCAATGATTCTGTTGTTCCTTGCAATACCTGTGCTTGTGGTTGCAACAACAACCCAAGCAATGTATGTAGTGCTACCACACCCGGCCTGCCTCTACCACCTGAGGCTCTTCTTTTACCATTTGAGAACAGAACTAAGAAAGCTTTGGATTTTGCTGACCGAAAAAAAAGGGATGTGCCGAATCCATTGCCTTGTGGGGATAATTGTGGAGTCAGCATCAATTGGCACTTACTATCAGATTATAGAGGTGGATGGACTGCAAGAATGACACTTTTCAACTGGGGTGAAACCGGGTTTGAGGATTGGTTTGCGGCTGTTCAGTTGGACAAAGCCATGCCTGGTTTCGAGAAGGTGTATTCATTCAATGGAAGTGCATTGTCTGGATCGAACAATTCAATATATATTCAGGGTCTTCCAGGTTTAAACTATCTTCTAGAAGAAAGAGATGGACATAATCCAAAAAAAGATCCTCGTGTTCCAGGTACACAGCAATCTGTGATATCATTTACGAAGAAGAACACACCTGGAATCAATGTGGCTCGTGGGGATGGATTTCCAAGTAAAGTATACTTTAATGGAGAAGAGTGCTCGCTTCCTAAAATACTTCCGAACAATGCTCCTCCTGGAATTGGCTCTACCATTACCGTCTTCAGTTTTTCTCTAGCTTTGCTACTTCGCCTGTTCCTCCAGCTATAGTTGTGTGCGCGCACATTTTTCTGATTACCTCTTTTTATCCACTAATGGCTACTGTTGTTAATTTCATTGATTTTGTTCCATTCCATTATTTAGTACCAATGTATGTTTGATCGCATTTAGCCCCAATCACGAACGGATGGATGATCAAATTGAAGTAGCATCCTTACAGCGATTATGCAAACCTAGCTAGCATGTAATTTAGCAAGTGAACAGTGAAATTAATTCAATTCTTCTTACTCTCATTATTAATTCAGGTAAAATCTACGTCCTCATGTCTGAAAGAATTGTGTCATCCTATTGCACCTGTACCATGAGTAGAAATCAGAAAGGCTTAGACTGAATAAGTTTACATCTTAATCAATGAGACGGACATGTATTTCAACAACGATAATTATTTTTTGATCAGTATTGAGACACATAAAAGTTTTAATCCGGAGCTAAAATATTATTGCCCTCAAGTATAAAAAAATTTAGGTGGGTTTTTGGAATATATTATCAATACGATGACAAATGTGAACGGCTTTAACGAATAATATTTTTTAGAAGGATTTTTTACATTTTGTAACCTGAAAATTTTTAGGATTCTCACTTTACAATCTCAAAAATTGGATTATTTATATTGCCCCTCCAATATATTAAAATTATTAGAATGTGACATTTTTGTTAACTTTTTTATTAATTAGTTGACTTTTGATGGAAAAACTAATAGACTGGTCACATTAATTTGGATACATTGAAGGTGTAATATAAAAAATTTAATCTTTATAGGTATAAAATAAAAATCTTAAATTTTTTTAAGTACAAAGTATAATTCACTATCTTAAAATAATGACGTACCAGACAGAATAAAAACAATTATTGTGACGTTGCAATAATGATCTTTATTTTTAGTTCAGTTCTTTATCGATGTAAGTTCTGTGTAAAATTAGTTTATTTCCCTTCCGAAAAAAAAATTAGTTTATTTCTTACTTAAAATAGTTTACATGCCACGTGTGGATTAACTAGAAAAAGTGCTTAATTTTTGTTTTTTTTCCCTATTCTCGAAGCTTTTTACTTTCTTGTTCAAAAAATACATTTTTAAATTCCCAAAGTATATTTAATATCTATTTGGTTCTCATTCTTCCAATTGTATTTATTTGATCTCTAAAACTTTTAATTTATATCTATTTAATCCAATCCAAAGGTCCATTAAAAGATTGTTAATGGTTCTAATTACACGTACGCAATCATGATTCATTATTTTATATATATTGGATCCCTAAAATTCATAATATGTGTCTATTTGTTTCTTAAAATTCTTACTTTGTCTCTATTTGGACCTATGTGATTGACGTGTGACCAGAGTCATTAACAATTTTTTGATAGACGTTTGAAATTAGACAATGTAGATATAAATTAGAAACTTTAGGGACTAAATATACGGTAAATATATACAATTAAAAGATTGGGACCAAATAAATATTACAAGCATAGTTTGAGGGCACAAAGTGTATTTTTCCCCCTCTTTTCTTCGAATGAAAAATAAGCATGACGGTTGAAGGGTTGATAAGAGGCAACCGCAATAAAAGTAAAACCCAATCCTCACGTGTTCTTGGGCCCGACGACATTAAACGAGAGCCAGATGAAAACCCTTCTTCGCAAGGCGATTTCTCACTCTCGATCTCAACGATGCTCAATAGCAATAACCCACTCTTTATAGACCCTAATAGAATCTTACGAAAACCAAACCCTAGGTTGAAATCAAAGTGATTGGATACTTCGGAGCTCTACCGATTGGCCATGCAATCCTGGATCTCTGCGATCGCTCTCTCTCGAGAGGACTCGTTGAAGATTAATCATCAGAAAGACTTGGCAGAAACATCTTATCCATACGATTGTTGTAGGCGTAGATTCAGCAATGGCAATCGATACTCATACCCCTAGGTCGAAGGGCCTCCTCTGCAATGCTGGAGCCGGTGCCGCCGCTGGTAGGTTTATCAATCTTTGTTTGTCTTCCTAGAAAATTGACTATGTGAATCGAAAATTTGAATGTTTTGACTTCGTATTTTATTCCAGGTGGTTGTTTTGTGTCCTCTGTAATCGCTTTGCTCTTGATTATAGATCCGTTATCTTCATCTCTTCGAAGTATAACGAAATCTTTGATGTTTCTTTGGTTGATTAGTGATCCAAATATGCCGATAGGGTTCTTGCATGTGAATTGTTTGTTTGAATTGGGAATTTGGTGCAGGAATAATTGCAGCTACGTTTGTATGTCCTCTGGATGTTATCAAGACTAGGTTTCAGGTTCATGGCCTACCAAAGCTCATTGATGGTAATATTAAAGGTGCGCAAGAAATCTGCTTCAATTCCTACAGCTTTGGACAAATTTGCTTTTGAAAAACTCACTTTTGGCGCTTATAAGACATTCAGTGAATATAGTTTGTGTGAAAGTCCACCATTGAAAAATATATAGTTGTGTACCTAATAGAAACAGACAACCAATTTATGCACTCATTATATGTTTTCAAACACAACCTGCATTAGCTTACATGGAACTCTCGAACAAATACTTGCAGTATTTTCAAAAACTTCATAAATTGAGCAAGTAAAACTGTGCGTGCATGTTGTAGCTTGTAAGATTTATTGAGCTATGGCAGAGTCATCGTAATAGATAATTAATCCTCTTCATTCTTGATCAGGTAGTCTTATAGTTGGGAGTTTAGAACAAATATTCCAGAAGGAGGGGTTGCGTGGCATGTACCGTGGGCTCTCCCCTACCGTGCTGGCATTACTTCCAAACTGGGCGGTGAGCCATTAGTCTCATTGAGTTACTTTTTTTTAATGCATTCCTGAAGTTTCTGGAATGATGGCAAGTTCAACTTTTCCTGGTACAGGTCTGCTAACTTTACTTTCTTTATCTGAAAGACTAGAATTGGTGTGATCAATTTTGTGGAAGAATTTTCACATGCTTTCACCCCTTCATGGCTGACTCATGCAAATTTTTTATATTGCCTTGATGCACTGATAGTACTATACATAATTACTCATAGTTGATAGTGCTAGACATAATTAGTCATAAGTTTAAAACATCGATATTCTTCCAGGAAATTAAGAAGCCTTCTTATCCCCTACTGGATTAGAGAAAGTCCACTTCAGCTGCTAATAAGGGGGATGAATGAGGAATACACAAGAATTACAGAAAGGAGCACCCTAGATAAAAGAATGAAAACAAATTTTAAATTTCTATGATTTTCCAGCCTGTCTGACCCATCCCATCACAAGGAACCTTGTACAACTAAAGGTGACTGAAATGGGTGTTTGGCTTATTGCATATAATAAGTTGACCTTACCTGGCAATGGATATTTACTTCCCTTTATATGTCTTTGCATGTTTTGACGTATGGTCTTTTTCCATACTAGTTCCCTACTGTTATAGGTTAAGGCTTTTCCGTAGGTTAAAGTTCAAGATATGTGAGATTTTCAACATGAGAGGTTATTTGCAAGGAATGATATTCTGTTCCAAGGATTTAATTGATGCAATATTCTTTCTGTAACTGAGGATGTTTTGGTAGTTTTTCAATTTTTGCAGTCTTAGATACTTTGAAGAATGTTATATAATAGATTTTCTCTTACTGACAAAAACCTTTTAGTCTTTAAATACAAGCTTCTTAGCCTTTTCTTTGTCAAAGGATATTAGAAGCGGGAAGGGTCCACCTAAAATGATCAACTTAATGTTGTGTGTGGTTTCCTTACTCTTTATGTGTAATGGGTGCTCCCTAGGTCATTGTCTAAGAGATATATGCGACCTTGATCATGGGTTTGTTTTTGTTCCCAATCATAAAAGGTATCCGTATGATATCAAGCACAAAATACAAAATGAAAAGGAGAAAAGTGCATGCATAACTCTAAAAGCAAGCAATATGAACATTTGTCAAGTACTAATCACGTGCTTCAAATTTAGATTTCACAAAACCATATTCCATTTTGTTATAAGATCATGTATATGGAAGCATTCTGGGTAAGCATTTTTGAATAGTTTAGTTATGTACTTGAAGGTGTTTCAATTATGTTTTCCATGTTCAGAAAAGTTGTTCCACCTTCACGCTTTAGCGTTCAGAACAATCCGACACCCTTGGTTATGCATTCTATGGTTGCTTTAATTCCCCATACATCTCCACTCCACGAACCGAACTGATGTGCATTTTACGTAACATAGGGTATATAGGTTAGATGAAAGTGTTTAACCGCTTCTTTTGTATTGAAAGCACTTGAGATCAAGCTCTTTTTCTATTCCTTCTCTTTTTCAAATTCTTTAGGGAAATTTTCCAGCTATTCCTTTTTCTCTTTTGTTGATCTTTAGGAGATATGTGGGCTCATAGTGGGATTTTGTCTGGTTTTCTTATTTTTATCTTTTGTGTCCATTGAGTTCCATCTTGCAGGGGCTTGTAGTGGATTCTTACTTGAAAAACATCCGTGCATGTTGTCCTCATTGAAAACCTGCAAATTTATTGTTCAAATACCATGGGACAATGCATTGAGGAAAATTAAGGGACTAGGCGACTATATTTCTGCCATTTTCTCATAGTACTGGTGAGTGGTGACTACCTCATCTCATAGGGCATGCTTTACACATTTAACCTAAAATGTAACTAAATTTGCCATTTTTTTTGGTCATTATGAATTTATCAGTATGTGATATCTGCTTTAAACTCAACTCAACACAACAAAGCTTTGTTCTAACATTTGGGTCGGCCACATGAATCCTCTTTTATCATTGAGCTCTATTAAGGATCAAATTTTCTGTTAAATCATAACTTATCATATTTTTCTTAACTATTCCATTTAAAGTAAATTTTGGTCTTTCTCTACCATTACGCTTACTGTCAATAGTTTATATAATTCTATGGAACCCACATGTGTCAGCACATGTGTGTGTGTTTCTGTGTATGGTTGCGCACATGCACAAAGGTGTCTTATTCGGTTGATTGTACTGGCAATGTAGCTTCTAGATAAGAGAAATAAAAGCTGACACTTGGAACACCTGGGAAGATTTTGGAGAAACTATGGGAAGCTTAGTGACACTTTGATGGAAATCCAAAACTCACTTCGGAGATACATAGCAATTTTACTTTGCTGATATTTTTTTATTGCTCTTATTGAATTAAAAGGGTTTGTTTATTGCATCATATACATACTAGATGTATGCAAGACTCATTGGGGCAAAAAGTTAGACATCAAGCATCAATCACTAGTTTACAGCGTAAGATCCATATGTTTTTTCTATATCCTTTATTTATTTGGGCGTAAAATTCTGTTTTAAGTATTTTTTTTCACTCTAGCCAGATGTAGGATTTTATTTGGTGGTAAGTCCAGTGTAAAAAATATAAAGTGGTAAATCTCGAGTTTAAATTACTTTTAAAGAAATTGAAGCTTGCATTCTCTCTCTCTCTCTCTCTCTCTCTCTCTCTTTCTCTCTCTCACACACACACACACTCACACTCTTGCACACACCCCAAAATCATGATCTTACCTTCAGCTTTGCAGCTTTCCTCACCCTCCCCCCCCCCTCCCCCAAAAAAAAAAAAAATTCCTAAGTTTCGATGTGTGCTGTATTGGTTGTTGTTCCTGTGATGTAGTGTGCAGAGCGTGAAGTTCTTCTTGTGGTCCTGTTTCTGTTTCTCTGAGGATGCAGAGTTACAGTGGCCACATATTTATTTTAGAATTTGATTTTGTTCAGTAGGTTTCTGTTTCCCTGCTTATTCCAAAATTTTTCAATTGGAGTTTCTGAATTCACCTGGCCTAATAACTTTGTACTTGTAGGTTTATTTTACACTTTATGAGCAGCTCAAAAGTTTTCTTTCAGCTGATGGTAAGTACATGACTTATTGCCATTTTGAAAGATATATACAGGGATTTATGTCCTGTTTGTCTATATTGATTAAACCATACCTGTGTTCCTAGTCTAGTTAATTTTATTTGATAGCTTTGCCGTCGTTTGGCAGTGCTTAATGTGTTGTTTTTTGATGTGCCTTTCTAGATGCAAATCATCAGCTCTCTATTGGTGCCAATGTGATAGCTGCTTCTGCTGCTGGAGCTGTGGCATCCCTTGCCACAAATCCTCTTGGGTTGTGAAGACAAGACTTCAAGTATATCGTTCGGTTTCAAAACCATCATCATTGCTTCATATCATATGTTATGGATGCTATATTAAAGTTATAACTCTTCTGTTCAATGAAAAGGGACATATCCTTGTTTCTTTGATTAGTCATTGTTATAGATGGTTTGTTCGTCTATCTTTTTCCCTGATAGATATAAACTGAGATTCTATTGCACCTCATATGTGTCTTTTTTTATCATCGTTGATTTTGCTATTCATGCGATGACAGTAATTTCATGCACAAAAAATAAAGCACGACAACAATTGTTGTTCCACCAGTACCTTTGGTGTATCACATATATTGACATGATACAACTCTTTTTGTCTTGAATGCCTTTTGGTTTATTCTTAAACAGTTCCCGTGGGAAAAAATTGTCAAAGACTTGAGCATCTTCCTTTTTCTTTTGTACTTATACAGATTCAAGGAATGAGAACAGGGGTGGTGCCATACAGGAGTACGCTAACTGCTTTGAGAAGAATTGCTCATGAAGAGGGTATTCGTGGGTTGTACAGGTTAGTTATCACCTTCATTAATGTCACCTGATCTCGCAATAGCTAGTGATTCCTAGTTGTGAGTTAATTTCTTAAGATTTCTGATGTCCTATATGGTGGGCAGTGGTCTTGTGCCCGCATTGGCTGGTATTAGTCATGTCGCCATCCAATTTCCAACTTACGAAAAGATCAAAATCTACTTGGCCTGTCGAGGTAATAGTTTATTTATTTCAGCTGTAAATGTACTTACTGCAGAAAATAATTTTTCCTTATTTGATGTGATGATCCTAGATAATACTACGGTAGATAGACTCGGTGCACGTGATGTTGCCGTTGCCTCATCTGTTTCTAAAATATTTGCATCTACGTTGACATATCCACATGAGGTATGGTATGAAGACAATATCCAATATTTGACTATTTATTTACTGTGCTCATTGCGGTAGAAGATTTTTATAGTATGGTAACTCAAAAAAGTTTGTGCCCCTCATCCCAAAAAAGAACCCCACAGCAGGAAAAAAAAAAAAAAAAGCAAAAGAATACTAATTTTTTGTTTCTTTCCTTTTTTTTTTTTTTTTGGTTGTGGAGGGTTTCTTTCTTTCTTTTTTGGTTGCAAAGGGGATGACAGAGACATTAAACTGATCTTTTTGTTTGTCATTGGGAAACAATTGTGAATGGATACAAAGGAGTGATAGCCCAAACCCCTTGGAATGATGACACAGCAAATAAGTGTCCCACGTCATTGTCTATACTGTATAAATCAGAGTCAATATACTGTAACTTTGGGAAAATTACCATTTATACCATTAAAGTATACACTGCCTATTTGGTCCCAGAAATTTCAATTGCAACAATCATTTTTAATGTTTTAAATGAGTTTCAACTTAGTCTTTATATCCAAATTCTTTAATTTATTCTGTCGGAATGGTCTTCAGTGGCTAACACGTGACTCGAGCAAAAGGTATATTTGTTTGGCGAAAAAATCATTCTTGCATAGGCTAGAATACCTTTGTTGCATGTATTATTTGATAAAGAAGATAACGAACCCAAAAGAACAGAGATAGAGAGTGAATTTTTAAGAGATTGTGAGACAAAAAGAGAAATTACGAGGTATCTAATAGACATGTTTAGCTGGACATACACTTTAGGCCAAGTCACATGAAGTCCTTGTGCAGGAACAAATTAATAGACCTAGATGGAAAGACTGAATTGAAAGATCTTGATGTCACCTCCAGAGTTACTGTTATTCTTGAGAAACTTGTAGCACTTAGAGAAGAGGTCGTATTCTAGGTTTTTTCTTTTTTGTAGTTGTATATGTTGCTCGGGGGCGGAGGCACACATTATATATGCTTTAATAAAATTTTCACTCTTTTCCCTCTAAAAGGTTTTCATACACACTAATCCACTTAATCATCCTTTAAATTTGGGTTCAACCTCTAAAATTCACTTAAATAGACTTTTTTTTTTTGGGGGGCATCACTTAAATAGATTTAATTAACATTTAGTTAGTTGAATTCACTGAACAAATTTTCAAGAAATATTCTTGCTGCTCTTTGTTTTCTTCCTCCTTATATCTAGTCCCTTTTGTTTCAGAGTTGGTAATTTGGATACATTATGCATGATAATTCTATTTAAACTTAATTTGCTTGTGTAATTAGCTAACCTAATCTACTGTTGCCATTAGTTGATAATGAGTCCCTAGTATTGTTGAAATCTATTGTCAATCCGATAACAACGATCGATTAAGTTAGGAAATTAGGTTCGGGCATTGATAATGAGATTATCCTATAGTGTTTCCAAAACATGAAACCAGTCCAAAACAAATATAAATGTGTTAAATAAAAGAACCATTTTTCAATATTTAAAATTTTTGATTTATTAATAGTTTAATTTTTTGTCTAATTATGGTTAAATTTTGCCCCCTCTAAAACTAATTTCTAACGCCGCCCCTAATTCTGCTCAGTATGTCCCCTTCCTCATTTGCACTCTTTCTCTCTCTCTGTTTCTGGGTGCTTGCACTTCCTATATGCTGGTTACTTCATTTCTATAATTATTCCTCTACTATAATATATGAAAACAGTTGGCTGTATCTCTTCAATTGTGTACATCGCCATCTGCTTCATCAATGTTGCCGTCATCATTTTCCATGCATCCATCCCAATTCTTCAATTGACAAAAGGAGTCGTGTTATGCCCTCATAATCTTTCATTTGTTGATTTTGTTGTCTTTCCTTTTTCTGTTAAATGGACTACGCCATCACTCTTTCTGTCTTGGTGGTCTAATCGTTCGATCTGGTCCCAACCAATTCAATTACCACTTTCCTGATGCAAAACAAAGCATGCCTTAAAATTCTTTGGCCGGCTGGCCGGCTGGCTGCTTTCTTCCTTGGACCTATTTAGCAGTTTTATTAGGGATTTTTTGCTTTCCTGCCTTATATATGCTTGACTGGGTTATCAACATTGCAGAAATGATCAAGTTATCATTACAAAAACTGCAGGTTGTACGCTCAAGGCTTCCAGAACAAGGGCACCACTCTGAGAAGCGGTACTCTGGTGTGGTTGACTGCATTAAGAAAGTCTTTCAGGAAGAGGGCATCCCAGGCTTTTACCGTGGTTGTGCCACCAACCTGCTTAGGACCACCCCAGCTGCTGTAATCACATTCACCAGTTTCGAGATGATTCACCGATTTCTTGTTACATTATTCCCTTCTGATTCACAACCTCACACATTGTAATTCATGCTCCAAATTGGGGATCTTGCACGGATAAAGTGGTTCACCTTATTTGATTCCTTCAGCGGGCAAGATAGTCAGGACAGCTCTATTTGGTACAAGACGATACAGTCTCTTGATTGGTAGTATATTTTAACCGTTATTGGTAGTTCAAAGCAACATACAGAAGCTATTGAAGCCATCGTTCAACTTCTGTAACAGTAAGCAAGAGCCATGTTATACGGACATTGATAATGACGATAACTTGTCACAGTGCACACATTTGAAAAATCCTTCAATTTTTTCTGAGTTGTTGAAATAATAGCAATTGATTTTGGTTAAAGCTGGCATTACTTATCGTTTGCATTCACGTTTCTGTTTGGGATTTTCAGAATTGAAAGAACAGAAGATATTTTACTGTGATAGTTAGTGTTAGGCTCGCCCCGCAGTCATAGTTTGGAGGACCTCTAGTCAGTAAGCTTACAACCGATTGCATTGATCCGAACACACCGACATTCTGTAGCATTGTGTTTTGGTCAGTATGCCTTGAGCCGTTGATGTCACCCTTTTTGTAATGTGTAAAATTTCCAGCGCACACATTAATTAGTAAGTGAGCTTTGCAAACTAGGCCCCTAGTTACTGTTAAATCAGATAATTTTCTGTGGCAAGTTTTCGACCCTTCCAAGTGCATGAACCTCATCTTAGCATCTGTAAAGAGAACGCTGACATGAAATAGGAATGTTTACAGGGTCATATAATGATGATAAAAACTTGAGCTATACCCTTTTTAACAATTCAAACTTTTGGAATAGTGATTATTAGAGCAGAAAGTTTTATGCATTCGAATATGACCTCATAATTAGATACTTGGCATATGGAGGGACAAGTTGAAGAATAGAAGCATTCAAGTTACGAACAACTTAAACTTTTACAGTAAATAGGAACATACAACTTGAAAATCTGACCATATATGGTCATTGCTATCAAGCGAAAAGCTATTGGATGTCATAGAGAGACTTGAACACATACTTCCATGAGAGTACACCAGGCAAACGTGAGACGAAATCCACCCTTATTTACTTACGCAGGTCATCAATGGGTTGGGTAAGCCATCTTGGTCTAGTTATTGCACATAACTGATGAATGTGAAAGATGAGATGGAAATCCCTCGTCCATGTAAAAAAAAACTGAAAAATCAGAAGAATCTGCTGCTTAACGAGGAGCATGCCCATACCCCACTCAAAAGCTTAAAGGCAGGACCACTAAGGTTTACAATAAAACCTTTCTTTTCCTTCCAATGCCAGATTAATCTTACTAATAAAGCAAAAGCAACACCCAACATACCAACTCATTAGCTCAGAAAAAGGTTTCCTATGAACTTTATCTTCTTATCCCCCCAACCTGGAATCCCATGCAGTTAATCAAAAAAGCCTTTGTTTGACATTCTTTGTGTAAACTTCATTCAGAAAACACATTACAATTTGGGTTTAACACTTGTATTAATGGGAGTGGGTGCTGTATCTTCTCAATGGAAGCTGAAGACGACCATGAACCCCAGTGAATGCCAATCAACTAGGCCATAGCTGATATTTTCCAAGTAGGTTTTGTCTGTAAAATGGATATTTAATTGGGTTAACAACTTATAATCTATTTAATATTTCTGCCAGTCAGTTAATCAAGGTGTCCTCCTCCTAGGATCTTTTCACGGGAAGATTAGGACAACCTGGAAGTCCAGCTAGTAAATCAAGTAGGCTTTTACTAACATTAATTGGAATTCATTGATGATAATTTTGGGAACTTTATTTGAAAGATGATTTAGATTTGGCTGGCATCTGTTTTTTTTTTGTACATAGAAAGCAAGATAATGATCAGTTATACTCAAGAGATGTGATCTAAAGTTCACAAATGTAGATTTTGATCCTCTTTTATGTTTTTTTTTTTATTATTATTATAGGATATTCAAGCTTGTGTCAACTACTCCCTCGAACTCTAAGTCGGCCACCGTAATTCGAGCTAGTTCAAAGACATGTCCCCTGATAAATAAGCATGACTAACCCTTAAGAGGTGTGAAAATTATTAAACCTGAGACCACTTGCTTGTAAGAGGACAAGCTTGACCGTTGGACTACCCTAAGGATTTGATCCCCTTTGTGTGTTTTTTCCTAATGATAAATCGCCACATATTATTAACCAAAGTGAACTCATTCTAAGTGAGTGAATCTCTTACTATTATAAAGTGGATGATCTATCGTGAATAAAAATTAAAATAAAATATACTGCAAATGATACGGATCCTCACGAAATCTATCAGAGACATGGCAGATTTTTTTATGATAGCTGTGAGTTAATGATGGTATAAGTGTAATTTCATTTTGTTTGGGTGGTGTCAAGAGATTGCTAACATATACAAATTATCATTTGAAGGGTATGATGAGAGTCAGAGGCATCTTTCGCCCCTCATCATAGTCTGGTCCCCAGAAGATGTAGGAGTGCGATGCTTTTCATAATTTATTGGGAATGGCCGGTAGTACCTTGGCCCCGCCAACCATGATACAAAAAGGAAACAAGTGATGATATTTCTTCTCTTTCTTCTCTTTTAGTTAATTACTAACTTTATATTTATTAAAGATTAAACCAAAACTTTTAACAACAAGCAGCACTTGTAGCCACTACAATAACAAACTGGAAAGTCTTATTTCTTGACAAACTATACTTGAAAACAAAGATTAACAATCGGATGCACAAACACATATAAAACCTTCTTGTGTTCCCCGGTCATGAAAATATTATATAAGCTCACAACATCAATCAATCACGTTTTTTACTTCAATGTGACATATCAACAACAAAAAAAGGTGCATAACATGGGACTTATTGGGTTATGCACATTAACGAGTAGAATTGTTGAGTTAATTTTGTGAGTTTAGTGGTATTTATTTTTTAATTTTTCGGGTTTTATTTACCCATAAAAAAAAAAATTTGGGTCGAGAGATTGACCGAGGATTAAATTTAACTCCAAATCCAATGGTAATGTTTTATGTTGTGGCCAACTCAAAAGGATGCTCGTGACGGTATCAGCAAACCACCATTGTAATAAGGAGAATTTCCACTTTTCCTAGTGACACGGGCATCACCTCTTCTTTTAATAAATGTGCAATAAGCGGTGATTTTGACATTCCTTTCACTACGTATAAAGAGAAGCTGGCCTAAAATCATGAGTTAATCAGATTACAATAAAAGCAATTAACCTTGCTAGACGTCTTACAACTATTTTGTTTTTTATGGTCTTTTTGCATCATACCCTTATTTTGGGTACATCTTATGTGTTGTACCCAAATGTCTTTCTAGAATTATTCACTTTAATTACAAAAGAATTACGTAATTTCTAGAATAGTTTAAGTGATAATAAAAATAAATTGTAAATTTATATGTGTAAAATTTGAATCTTGACAACTCTTTAAGGTAAAGTTATGATAAATTTATCCCCTATAAATACCCTAGTTTCGGCGTGAATAATCTACTCTTAATCGGACTGAGGAGAAAATTAATTGAAGCGAACATAACCGTTGAATTAAAAAAAAATTACGTGAAATCTATCTGTGACTTAATCATATTATTGCGGCAGCTTATTGAAAGTTGTAGTGTTAAGTATGTGAAAGCGAGTGTTCTAGAACTAGTCTCATACCCGACTCCTTTCCCTTTTCCATTAAGAGTAAAATAAATCAGTAAGTAATAAAAAAAACAGTGAGATTGTTGTCAGTTATTCTTACGAATAAATTATTTTGGTAACTCAAGTGTATAATTTCGTATCACAGGACAAAATTTCATGGCTATGCCCTCGATAATAAGTTATTCTACGCATAAACGCATCATCTATCATGTGGAAATTACATCCAACCCATCATTCCTAACCCCACTCTCTCCAAAAGCTGGGGGGGGGGGGGGGGGGGGGGGGGTCACAGAAATTATGTGAATGTGTCAGTGTCGGCAAAGCGAGGTATGAGTCTGCAAGGAATATGAAAACAAGCTTTGCAGTTGTCCCATACCATTTGCAGAGAAGGGGGTTAAAAGGGAAAACAATATTACATAAACAAAGAGTTAAAAAAATAATAATAAATAAATATTCAATGCATTTGTGATACCACATCATTACTATTACTATTACTATTACGTGGGTTACCATCTAATTAAAAAATTACAAGTGGACAAAGTAAATCTTACTATTTTTATAACTACCAATAATTATCACATTCAATCATCAATACATAGAATTAATAGGATTCACTATATCAATTTGTGATTTTTTAATCGGATGGTAACACAATAGGGTGATGCTACCGTGGTGTCACTTTGCATTAAATATTTTCTCCTAAACGATGAGAAGAAATACAAATGGGTAAAAAGGGTAAGAAACAAAACATTAAAAAGAAATGCAATGCTATATGAACTTAAAATATAGACTTAAAGTATAGATCTGATCAATCATTATTATTAATATGTTTCATCATTTATTGGGATCCATTATCTATTTAATGGTTACGATTGATTAAATTTACATTTTAAATTCATATTTTAAATCCAAATAATATTTCCCTAAAGAAAAACATTAGTGGCTTGTTTGGATGGATTTTTAGGGAGGGTTTGAATTGACTTTCCTAAATCCTTTCAAATTCAAACTCCTCTATGCAAAAATGAGATTCAACATTAAATTTAGTTCATACCCATATTTGATAAGCAACATATACACATGTAGAACTTATAGATATATTATAATGAGTAATGTTATTTGAACCTAAAAATCTGACCTAATTTGTTAACATAATAATTTGGCTTAATATAAATCATTGGATTAACATCAAGTTTCAATATTTGATGGGGCCTACAACCAATGCAAGGGTCACAATGAATTAGGTTAGTAAATTAAGTCAAATTTTTAGGTCCCAATAGCATTACTCTATTATAATTATTCCTGATAAAAAATATATATATTATAATTACTAATAACTATTTTTCTTTTAAATAACTATTTTACTTTTGATCAATTTAATTCATACTCATATTAAAAGATATAATTATCTTTTATATCTTTAACCTTTTAACTCCTCTTCTCAAATTTACCTCCTTTAAATTTGATGAAACTTATAATCATAAGTTTAATATTCAAACTAACAAGAGGCAGGATTTAATAACCTAACATCGAATTTTTAATTCAAATATGAAGTTCAGGGCATAGTTTTAAAACTCGGCCTGGACACCAGTCCGGAGAAGGGACCGGGTCAATAAATTTCTGGTTCAACCACTGGGTCACTGGTCGAACCGGTGATATAATAAAAAAATAAAAAATAATTATTAATGATGATAAATAGACTAAAAAATTAAAATAGTTATAAAAATAACATGTTTAATATATATTAAATCAAACAAAGTTATCAAGCCTGAATCACTTAATTGCATTCAATTAATAAACCAATGCATTCAATTAACAGCCCAGTCTCCACCCTCAAACTTGAATCACTTAATTGTATTCACTTAATTTTTGAGTTAACAAACACTGAACGAATGATTTAGGATTTAGGGAAAAACAGAAGGGAAAAAGAAAAAGACATAAAAATGTAAAAAAAATACATATTTATACTAAAGGAACAAAACCGGCCGATTTTGTAAACCCGGTCCGATTTTCACCAGTTCATCAATTTTTTGATCGGTTCACCGATTTTATTCCGGGTTCTTTGCTCAAACGGTCCAATTACAAAATTGGCCCGGTTAGGAGACCGGTTCACCAGGTCAACCCGTCGGGCCGGACCGAATTTTAAAACACTGGTTCAGGGAGTCTTTTAAATTATTTTTTTCAAATCTATTGCGCTTGTACCAAACAGCCCTAAATGCTGAGTGGCATTAACTTATTTCTTACGAAGTTTGAATAGGTTAACTAAAGTATCCAATGGTGAGATGATACGTAGTCAGTCTTTAATTTTTTTTATTTTATTAATTTATTTTCTTGTACTTCATCTAGGCTTATGTGGCAGTTGTTTATTGGCTTTGCACGATATTTGCTGAAACTCTTGTCAGGTTATAACAACTTCTGATTCCCGTGAAAAAGGGCCCAGTAGACACGCTCCGGTGGGTCCTACAGTTACCCGCAGCTAACGAGTCTGTACCAAACCTACAATTTGAATTTTTTGAACGTTGTAGAACAGAAATCTGCGCGGACGAATATACCCTTTTGTACATATTACTTTGTAATTTTCACTAGTACATGTAACTAAAACTTTGGATCTGGATCCGATTTACCATTAAACTGGTCTCCGCCCTATTGAACTGAATCAATTATCAATATATGATAAATGATTTAACATCGAATGAATCAAAACACTGGAATGAATTCTATTCTAAAACTCTAGATGAAATGTTGGGTTTTTGGTCTAATATACCACTAGATATAAAAAAAAAAATGAAAGAAATTTGCATCATGATTTACTAGTTTTATTTGTTTAATTTTTTTTCATGTGCAGTGATGAGTGAGAGAGATTCGAACGTTTGTTGTACAAATGACATTTTACTACCATACTAAAGTCGCGACTTAAATAAAGGGAGAGAGGGAGGGACATGAAACTCTATGAATGATAGCATAGATTGGGGAAAAATTCAATGCATAGAATAATCAATGTGTCCATGAATTTGGAAAATGATCATCATTTGAGTATAAGGTGGCACATTTTTCCTTTTTTTTTTTCTTTCTTTCTTTCTTCATCTAGATGATAATTAAAACACTTGCTTGAAATGATAAAATAAAATTTAAGACTAGCTTTTCTTGTATAATCAATACTTCTAGTAGAATATTCTGATATGAGTAAAAAGAATTGACAACCCAACCCATCCCCCCAACCTTTTGCCATTCTCCCCTTCTATATAGGATAAAGAAATATAGTAAATTTTTTAGATTATAAAGGTAGTTGTTTTTAAAAAGAAATGTGAATGACCCATAAAAGCCCGGTCCCCCTATTGAATTCCTGTAGTGGAGTAGGTGATGCCACGTAGCAACATAGACCCGTGATGTAGATTTTGTATACTTTGATTACAAAGAAAGCTAAAGGAAAACATATAATAAAACTAAGCTTACTTGGGTCTGAAGCCCAATGGTTTGTTGTATTGTTCGGTAAACTATGTCATTATGTTCCAAGTTAACTAGGCTGCTGGTAACCGTCTTCAACAAACCACTCAACTCAACTCATTCCCCGACAATGACGCATTGCCTGCTTACTGCTGGCCCACTTGAGAGTAACAAATACTATAATTTACCCTGATATTGAATTAATTAAGTAAGTTTTTTTTATTTTTCGTACCAAACTATTTATAATCATTTATGAATCGTGTCTAACCGAGTTTATATAAATCAATTTATTTATTTGACAAAATTATTGACCATTGAAACCTTATTATGTATCAAGTTTTAGCAAGCAGTGTTTAAAACGATTTGACTTAATCAAAGATAAAACATTACTCAGACTCGTTCCTCTCTTGATCTTCTTTTGATGCTCCATCTTCTGTTTGTAGTGTATAGAGTGATTAGACTGTTGTAGACTTATAACTGTTAAATATCAATATACATAAAATAAATAAATAATAAATAATTTACTAATGTGAGTGAATTTTAAGATAACTTTAAAGAGTAACTCAAGTAATAACAAATACGAACTATAAATTCAGATTTTTTGAGTTCGAATTTTGATAATCTTTTAGACCAGGTTTGAAAAATAAATCTTTTGTAAATACTCTCCTTTCGGCGCGCGATTGAACTTTTTATTGTACAATTATATTTAAGAGAGGATCATAATCCTGCCAAGTGGCAGTTGCCGGCTAAGCAAGCAGACTCAGAATTATAACACGATGTGACCACCTATGCCTTGCAATTTTCATCAATTTCTTTCTTACCCCCTCATGTTGATGTATGCTTAATGGTGTCTTAGGAGTTATTGTTTTGATTTTGTTATATATATATATGTGTGTGTGTGGGAGTGGGACAAACACACCTACATTATTTGAAATTTTATACATTGGGAGAGGAGGGCCCACATGCAATTTTTAACAACATCAAAATCCATGGTTAATAAATACAAATAGAACATGGCAGAATGTTTCTATTTCTAATATTTAAGAGCAGCATCAAGGAAGAGGACAAACAAATCCACGTCCACCTAATATATAGAATTCTATTTGAATTTGCATTAGAGGGATTTGCTTATGAGCAATGGATGACTTTACAAACTCGAGATTAAATTTCATCCAATTTACTCAAAAAATTATTCGGTTTACGGTCAACCATCCACTATCAATACTATTTTAATGGCATCAAAATTAGTAGCTCCAATGAAATGGTACTTTTACTCCCCAACAAAGATTTTTGGAGAGAGGCTAAAAACATATCGATAGTATACGAGTGCGTCATACCATTTGAGTCATTAAATTTAACCCGTCTTGTAATGTTTATAACGTAAATTGTTTGATATCATTGAATTTTCTTAATGAAGACACTTCCAGATAGAACCATTGCGCTAAATTATTCTATTGCTTTTTTGACCTTTTATTTTCCTCTTTTTAAGACTTATCAGCTTCAATTTAAAAAATTCAGAATAAAATAGCAAAAAAAAAATCAGAATAGAAAAAGATATTTTTATTTTTTATTTTGATAAAATTACTTTAAAAAAGGGGGAAGTTTTAATTTGGAAGGCCCCTGAGATATAAAAATAAACAAGGCGAGGTTGGTTTCGAGTTCGAGCCGGCAGGTTCGGAACAAGGCTGCGAAGTGGGAAAGAGAGATTCAAAGTAGTAGTCAGCAGTATAAAGCAGAGACTAACTAGTGGGAGAGTTTTTGTATTTCGTAGAGGAGGAGGAGGAGGAGGAGGGAGAAAAGCGAACATGGCGGAGAATGTAATGTATTAGACAGAAAACCATACTTACCATGTTCACATTGTTTTTCAAAACTCTCTCTCTGTCTGTCTCTGTCTCTATCTCTCCCACTCTCTCACTCTCTCGCTTAATGTTCGGATCTTTTGTTTTAAACCCTAGTTCCGCTTTAGTTTCTGTTTACTTTGAAAGAAACTAAAAGATCCTATTTTCTTGCCCCATTCTCTTGAAAAATACATCAGATTTCCTTTTTGTAGGAAAACTTGAGGTGGGGGTTGAAAATTTTGATGTTGGGAGTTTGAATTTTTGTCTTAAAGAATAGAAAGTGTTTTTGTGGTGGTTTTGGAATGGCGGCCGAAGGTTCATTGTCGTTCTCTGTAGCGTCGATGGTGGAGGATGTTCTTCAACAACATGGGACTCAATCCCGAGGTCTAGATTTGGACGCTCGCAGAGCCGAGGAAGCCGGTAATTTTTCTTTCGTTATTTGGCTCATCATAATTATCCTTCTTTGGCCTGTTTAAACTTTTGACTCAGTAGCAGATTCATTGGATCCTTTGATCCTTTCTTGTCACATGTTATGAACAATTGATCTTTCTTTTGGTTATCTCACGAAGTTCTGTCCCGTAATATTAAAATGCAATGCTGTCTTTGGTTGCCAAGAAACTGGGAAAAGAAGAAAAGCTATCAATTTCTTTGATTTTTGTGCTTTTCTTTAATTCGGAATGCTCAAGATCAAGACCCAAAATTGATGTTTCTTTTCTTTTCTTTCTCTTTCATCTGTTACCAATGCTGTGACTTGTTCCATTTTTTATGGGGTGTTACCATTGTCTGCCTTCTCAGTCTCTCTGATCAAGTTTCTTCTTTGTGGGCGATTGTCTTTTGATGTCAATTTTTTTTTATTTGTTGGTCTAAGTTTCTTTGTATAACACCATACCTCACCTTATGTTTGAGCTCTCTTCTTGTGCAATTTCTTTTCGGCTTCTAGGACCTGGGAATCTAAATTTAAATTTGCAGTTGCAAATAGGTGAAAAATAATTTATTAACCATCATGTAGTAGATGTTGGGTAATGAGTCCATCTTCAATTTGTAGCAATGAGAAGGTATGAGGCGGCTGCCTGGCTTAGAAAAATAGTTGGAGTTGTTGGGGCGAAAGATTTTCCTGCGGAGCCTTCTGAGGAAGAGTTCAGGCTTGCTTTGAGAAGTGGAATAATTCTTTGCAATGTGCTCAATAAAGTTCAGCCTGGAGCTGTTTCGAAGGTCATCCAATTCTTTCCCTTATTATTAAAATTGTTTCAAGGTGATGTTGAATGTTGTTCTTTTCTCCTTAAGTCTGACTTTGTACAATCAATTTCAGGTGGTTGAAAGTCCATGTGATTCTGCTCTTATACCTGATGGAGCAGCTTTATGTGCATTTCAGTATTTTGAAAACGTGAGAAACTTTCTTGTAGCTGTTCAAGAGATGGGGATTCCAACTTTTGAAGCATCTGATCTGGAACAAGTAGGTCTTGTCATTTCTAGGCTAGGACAGTGAATTCAAATTGATCATTATGCATTTGCAAGTGTTATTGCTATATGTAGAATTATAGATTTTTTTATAGCTGTGGGATTATACTTAATTGCATCACAACTACTTAAAATCTGGTCTGTCCATAGTGGTTTCATTGGAGAATAACTTTATCATTCACAATTTTTCAGGGAGGAAAAGCTTCGAGGATAGTAAATTGTGTTTTGGGACTTAAGTCCTACAGTGACTGGAAACAGACGGGTGGCAATGGAGTTTGGAAATTTGGCGGAAATTTGAAACCCACCACATCTGGTAAACAATTTGTGCGCAAAAATTCAGAGCCATTCATGAATTCATTGTTATGGAATATGTCAATGAATGAAAAGTCTCTGAATGCCGCATGTTCTGACAGTGAATGTAACAAAATGGTAGGTGAGCTGTGCTAATTGAAGATTGTTTCTGTTGTTGCCTGGTCATTACATGAATTGTATTAGTGATTCATATGAGTACTGTATATTCTTCCTTGTAGCCCGGTTCTTCTTTGAGTATGCTTGTTCGAGCGGTTCTATTAGATAAGAAGCCTGAAGAAGTTCCATCTGTAAGTGTGAATGTGCTTAGAGCTATTTTATTCATCTTACTTCAAAAAAATTCTTTGTTGATGCTTCCTGTGTACATCTGTGTAAACTCATATTTTTTTTTTCTTTCTGAATTGGGGTTTTTTTTTTTGGAGGGGGGGGGGGGGGGGGGGGGGGTCTGGGTGCATTGAGTACCCTATGGTTTCATGTACCAAAGTGCACAGGCAATCATTATAACCTCAATGTGTCTGATACTATGCACGCGTTATTGATGCGAGCCCTAAATCCACATTTTGGTGCATGAGACTAGAAGATAGATAAGACTACTAATTGACCAAATATAGGACATTTCCAATTTGTTGCAATCAATTCTGCTATGACATTCGTCATGAACAGCTTTCAAGTTTTATGCTTGGCTTTTGTAGAAGGGCTTCGTTGGATTGTTAAGGACGCTACTGATATCGCTACAGCTATATTATAATTAATTAATCCAACTGCCATTATGGCATTACTACAATTCATACTGAATAAGAATGTTCTTCTGCTTGCAACAGCTGGTAGAATCTGTCCTAGCTAAGGTTGTGGAGGAGTTTGAGCATTGTATAGCAAGACAAGTGGAACTGGTACATTTTATTGGTTTTTGTCACCCAGTATTACTACTATTCATCTCTTAAATATGTTTTCATCTTCGTGCTGACATTTTGTGGAATTTTTACATATAAGAACCATTTAAAGAATGGTTATTGGATGTTCTTTCTATTTACTTCTTATTTTATTTTTACTTGTCTAACAGAAGAAAGCAACTCCAAAAGATTTTACTATTTCTCAAGGTAACAAGCCTCTAGTGAAACATATATCTGGTGATACAAAGGTAATTGTTTACTGCTTAAAATTACATTTGCTAAATGTCATTAAGGACTAATATATGCCAGTAAATCGACAAAGTAAGTGTATCTTTTCTTCTGACTTTGTTCTTTTTTGTTGTTTTGAATGAATCAGATGGTAGAAATAAATGCCAAACTTGGGAAGAAAGAGGAAAGCTTTCACAAGAACAATATTACTGATGAGGAATTAGAAAGAAGATCTTTGAAGCAACTAGTGATTTTTGACCAACAACAAAGCGATATTAAGGTACAATTTAGTTGTGCTGCATACTTCACCATTTTTAACTATTTGCATTTCTTTTAGTGCATGAATTGCTGTTACATTCTTCTGTAGGAGCTGAAGCGAACTCTTTCTACTACTAGAGCTGGTATGCAGTTCATGCAAATGAAGTTTCATGAGGAGGTTAACAACCTTGGTGTGTATAAAGGATTACTTTAGTTTTTTTCCTTTTGGCAAATTTTAATATTTTAAATAGAGATTTGGGGCTTGCAGGGAGTTCTTGTAGGTAAAGATGGCTTTTATCTAATATTGATCTGATGTGTTCTTTATAGGCCTGCATATTCATGGGCTAGCTCATGCTGCTTCTGGATATCATAAAGTTCTTGAGGAAAATCGCAAGCTTTATAATCAAGTCCAGGACCTCAAGGGTGATATTCCAAGTTTCCCAAAAGCTTGATTATCATGGTTACAGTTATATTGTATTCAAGTATTCCAACGAATTGAAAGTTTGTTTGTTTTTTATTCAACAGGAAGTATTAGGGTTTATTGTCGAGTGAGACCCTTCTTGTCTGGACAATCAAACTATTTGAGTGCTGTGGATCATATAGAAGAAGGAACTGTCACTATCACTGTCCCATCAAAGTGTGGAAAAGGACGTAGGTCATTTCACTTCAACAAAGTATTTGGGCCCTCTGCCACTCAAGGTTGGTAAGGGTTTTGTTTGAGTGCTTTGATAATTCTGAATGTTGGAGCAATTCTTGACTATGTGCATTCTTCTTTTGTTTGGATGGCAGGAGAGGTCTTTTCAGATACCCAGCCGCTGATACGATCCGTTCTTGATGGTTACAATGTTTGTATCTTTGCATATGGACAAACTGGATCCGGAAAAACTTATACAATGGTGAGATAAATTGAAATTTTGTTGTAATTACAGTATGCCTGTCTACTGTTACTTTTTAATGAAGCACGCAAACGTTGATTTTCTTGTTCTTGTATTCAGACTGGACCAAGGGATCTTACAGAACACAGTCAAGGAGTAAATTACAGAGCGTTGAGTGACTTGTTTCTTCTAGCAGAACAGAGAAAGAACAGTTTCCGATATGAGGTTTCTGTTCAAATGATGGAGATTTATAATGAACAAGTTAGGGATCTCCTCGTTACTGATGGGCTTAACAAAAGATATCCTTTTATCAATGGTCTGCACTTGCTCCACACATAGTTATAGCACTCAAAGTAGGTGTCAATTGCTATCCCCCTTGAAATTGTAGGTAGCACAACTAGAAATTAAGCAATCGTTTGTTTTTCAGATTGATATTTTCCAAATGCATTCAACATCCAAATAAATTTTAATATCTTGATATATTGGTGAAAATCTAATTCCTGGGTTTTGCAAACCCCTCTCTTGTCCCCTCTTCATAAGTTTCCTTAATTTTTAAATACGTTAGAAATTCGAAATAGTTCTCAGACAGGACTCAGTGTACCAGACGCAAGCCTTATACGTGTGACTTCAACATCCGATGTTATTGATTTGATGAACATAGGACAGAGGAATCGTGCAGTAGGTGCTACAGCCCTCAATGATCGGAGTAGTCGCTCTCATAGGTATGATTATACTCCATTATATATACTTTTTCACTAGTCTATGTTCACAATGTTGACTAATATTTTTCATCAATTTGTAGTTGCTTGACTGTCCATGTCCAAGGACGAGACTTGACATCTGGAACTGTTCTGCGCGGCTGCATGCATTTGGTTGATTTGGCAGGAAGTGAGAGGGTAGACAAATCTGAAGTGACAGGAGACAGACTGAAAGAGGCGCAACATATCAATAGATCTCTTTCTGCATTAGGAGATGTGATCTCTTCCCTTGCCCAAAAGAATTCACACGTTCCTTACAGAAATAGCAAACTTACACAATTACTCCAAGACTCACTTGGTAAAGATACACGAATGCATTTTATTTTTCCAGGATATAGAAACGTACAATCAAGAAGGCTATGGAAGTATACATTCATGTTTGTTCTTTTTGTATTTTCTGTATTTCCTAATTAAGGTTTTGGATCTGTAATCCTATTTTAGGTGGTCAAGCTAAGACAATGATGTTTGTTCACATAAGCCCTGAGCCCGATGCTGTTGGAGAAACCATTAGTACCCTTAAATTTGCAGAGCGTGTTGCCACTGTTGAACTCGGAGCTGCACGAATAAACAAAGATAGTGCTGATGTCAAAGAGCTCAAAGAACAGGTTCTTGAATTCTTTGTTTTCACCTGTGTTCTATTGCATTATTCTTAAGTACATTGATTCACTCATTTGAGATGCATCAAAATATGCATTGATGTGCCAGATTGCCAGTCTTAAGGCAGCTTTAGTGAGGAAAGAAGTGGAATCAGAACCTATGGAACCTGTGATAGCTGGCAGCCCATGTGGCATGTTGTCGTCGCCTTTTCAATATAAACCACAGGGTGGAGATATGTTCACTGATCCGAACAGCCACAGGAAACCAATGGGCGATGTTGGCAACATAGAGGTAAATCCATAACAATCACAATATGATGGAAGCTTGTTTTAGGTCAAAAAATTGATTTATTCAGTAGCATCAAGGTGGAAACTGTCCACCATAGCCAACTGTGAACATACATCTCTATGGTATTCAGCTTCTACGGTTTTCAAGTTTTGACATATTCTGTATTGATGATCTTTGTTGTTTATTGTTGAGACACTTGCGAATTCACACTGGATAGCCACTTATGTATCTTATCACATCAAAAACAAAAAAATTATTTAATTCATGGTATAGCCTATGTTGCATAAAATAATGTTTCCGCATCATCATCATTGTCAGGTGCCACTATGAAGAACCTATTTTTAAACACTAAATATGTAACTTCAAATAACAGATATGAAGGGTTCAAATGTAGACCCAAATGAGGAGGTATATATGGTTGCCTGTGGTGCAAAGTTTCTATCTTTGTGCTTCACATCTTTTTCCATTTTTTTTCAATATGGGATGCTTCTGCAGCAAGCCAACATTTATACCTAATCTGGAGCATTGGGTGAAGGTTGAAATTTATGAATATTTTCAGGTGTGGGGATGGCACCATGGACTGAATTCCATTTAGGAATATAGTTTGTTTACCATATCATAACATCCTAGATAAAAAAGACTTTCTAACATCTATTTGTTAATACTTCCAAGAAGGATTTTGTGACTTAATTCAGATTAGTCACTGGATAGAAGCCCAACTGTTACAGTTGGTAAGTTTATGATTCAATGATATTATTGTTAGACATACTCCACGAGGGCTAGTGTAGTAGTTTTAATGATACTATTGCATTCAGTTTGTTCATCTATGTAGTAGTTATATGTGCCTATGAAGTCCAGAAACTCAAATTGTGGATATTGGTGTATTAAATATGGCCTCTGTGTTGGACTGATAAACATGCTACTTTTCTGTCTAAAGCCTAAATGTCATCTACTAATATTGTAGGTATGCAACAACACTGCATTGAGGCAAAGGAGGCAAAGCTTTGATCTTGACGAGCTAGTATTCCGTTCACCTCCTTGGCCTCCATTCAACAGTCCCGGTCAAAAGGGGGAGGACGATAAGGACATGGGCTCTAGTGAGTGGGTAGACAAGATCATGGTGAACAAGCAAGATGCTGTACATGGAGTTGAAAATCCCTTAAAATGTTGGGAAGCAGATGGTGGTCATATGCCTGATGCCTTATACCCAAAATATCTCTCAGGTTCTTCCAAAGTATACACTGAGCAACTGTATAACGTATTCCCAACCAGCAATCAGTCGGACATTGTTACTACTGATGATCTGGATGAGCTTGATGCTGCAACCAGTGATTCATCCGAACCAGATTTGCTTTGGCAATTCAATCATTCCAAACTTACTGGCCTAGCCAATGGGATCGGGTCAAAGACACAGAAACCTAATGCCAAGCAGGTGAATGGGCCAGAACTAAGGTAATGCTAGTGAACTTGCATTAATATATACTCTCTCCTACTCAAAAAATATCTAACCAAGAATCAAGTTTAACCTGTGTTTGATTCTTTCATTTTGTACTTGACTCATAGCAGCCGGAGTGTGATCCCTAAACTAGGCCCTTCACCGTCAAGAAAATTGACAAATGGGGTTGGCCACCCTCCACAGCGAAGGGGGAAGCAGGCAAACTGTGCTGAAATGAAACGAAAAGCTGGGAATAGAAGGTAGGAAAGGTGTTAGGGGCTGTCAACACAGGCATTTTTTTTTTTTCTCTATTTCAAATTTTAAATTGAAGAGTGAGTGAGGGAGAGAGAGAGGTTACGTATAGGTTCTTTATTTTTATTTTTTTTCACCATTTTTTTGTGTTAATTTGTATTATGTACGTCAATGAAGCAATAATTCCAGTTGCTTGTATTTGTTTATCGTAAATCTTTACAAAATGTTGTAACTCCCGGCACTGTTTTTCTAGTGCTTTCTTATACGACTATGTGTAAAGTCGATTTGTAAATGGTTTCGCATTTTATAAAACTCTTATATCTGATTCAGGGGGACTGATATTTGCTCTGGACTTCTTACTACATTTAGATTTAACTCTGGACTTTACTCAAGTTGCTTGTGCTTGTTTATAATCGAGCTTAGCACATGTACAAATGCTTTGGTTGCAAAATAGTCTTTTGCAAATGAATGGTAGTTCTCACGATACTCCGATGTTATTAAAAATTCTGAAACTATTTTTAAGATTTAGATATACTAATATTTAGTTTGGTTGTCATCTATTCCGAACTATTCATCTATATATATAATAGATAAAGAAATTGAGCAAGTGCTTGATAAAATTAAGTTGAAATCAAAAAGTTATTCAATAGATTTTTGTATGAGTTGTAAAGTTGAATTTCGTCAAATAATCAGATTCAAATCAGTTTTAAATAATTTTCAAGTGTGAATGGATCGATTAATATTCAACCCAAACTTACCAACAATTCACCAAACCCGCTCGCCCTGCTTGGGCCATAAGAAGAGTAAACCGCTTAGGTTGCATAGAGGTGCTTGGGTTGTGTAACTACCAACCCATAATGTGAATTAACAATTGGAGCAGTCCGTCAATCATCTAGAAGGATGGGCGCCACTGTTGTTGATTCCGCTGCTCGACGTTGAACGTTGACGCACAGGCTTTCTCAATTTTAAATTGCCACCAAAAAATTCGTACACTCAGAGATGACTCCTCAAGTGCTCTACGTTCAATCTATAAATACCAATCAAGTGTTCTCTTCTTGCACATCCATTGCTAATTGCAATACTACTTCTGCTAATCCAATCTATCTTGCTTTTATCGATTCCTTCTGTTTTTCTATATATCTAAACTCTAGGCAAGAATGGGCGTCTTCACCACCACAGAGGAGTACACATCTGCGGTTGCTCCAGCGAGGATGTTCAAGGCTTTGGTCGTAGATTCTCACATCCTCATCCCTAAGCTCGTCCCTCAATCCATCAAAAGCGTCGACTTTGTGCACGGAAATGGCGGTATTGGCAGCATCAAGCAAACCGTCTTCCCCGAAGGTTTGTTGCTATAATAACTTGGTGGATGAAAGCAATGTAAAATTAACAATCATGGTTAAAAAATACAAGACTGATTATCCTTTTTTTTATTTCTTAGCATGTGTTAGTACATAAAAGAAGTAACAATAATAATATTTTTATGATTGTGGTATTTCAGGGAGTCACTTGAAATTCTTGAAACATAGGATTGATGCCCTTGATGAAGCCAACTACCACTGCCAATACACTTTGATTGAGGGGGACATATTGGGTGATATTCTTGAAAAAGTTGTTTATGAGGTGAAGTTCGAGTCTTCAAGTGGTGGGTGTGTTTGCAAGACCACAAGCCATTATCACACTAAGGAAGGCGTTGAGCTTAAAGAAGATGAAATTAAGGCCGGAAAAGACAAAGCCACAGGAATGTTAAAGGTCGTGGAAGACTACCTCCTGACGAACCCTGATATCTATGCTTAAGTTTGCTGTGTTGTATGTATATGAGGTAGTAAGTAGCTGGCTAAGTGTACTTATTTACCTTTTGTTTGTGTGGCTTTTCCTTCTGGGTGATTTTGTTGTTGGTTTCTATTTTGGCGAGTTGAGTTTGCCAGAAAAATAAAAATGTCCCTTGTCATGTTAGGGGATCATTTGCTTCATATGGTTGATGTCACTAATAAACCAGAATTATTGGTTACTTTGTGGATTCAATCACATCAAGTTATTCTATGGGCACTTTCTATCTTTGCAAGGTATAATTCTATCCTTAGGAGTTCTTATATTAGTAAAATATAGAAAAAGAGCTATATATATATGTTGCCATTTGGAAAAATGGAGTAAATTATTGATTTGGCATTTTAATCTAGTTCAAGAATTTGACGTGTGGTTGAATAAGAGAACAACTTATGACGTGACATGAATCAAGTCATTGATTGGTCAATAATCGAATTGGGCCAAGGCTTGCACACCCAAAAAAATTTTATGACCCATGACCTACCTATATAGCTTGATCAAGTTATTTTTGTAATTAAATATTTGCTTTCATGAAATTGAAAACATAGTAATGAAATTGAGGTTTTTAAAAATATCAATTTCATTGATTTGAGTAAAAACCTATAATATTAGATTGATGAATGAGAATAATTTGCACGACTATGTGCAAAGTCCTTAACAATAAGTCGACATCTTATACCCATCAATCTTTTATAATACAAAACAAAATAAATTTTAATAAATTTATCTGACGGTCTCAAATAAACTCATCTAATGATCACTAACATATATCTTAAAATCATTCATATTGCATTGTATCTCTTAGATACGGGTTACCCTAGTCATTTATAAATTTCAAATAAAGCATATAAACAACATGGGCATGTTTAGTTTGCGTTTTAAAAAATAGTATCCGAAAATAATTTTTGAGAAGAGTTTTAAGAAAATAGTTTTGATATTTTTTGAGATAAAAAACTTGTTTGGTTAGATGATTTCAAAAATAATTTTACAGTATAGAAAATAGTAAAACATAGTTAGACAGCCTAAATATATGTTTGAATAGTAATTCAAATATTAATAAAAAAATATAAAAAAATTATTTTTAGATTGATAGTTTCATAAAAAAAATTCAATAAACTAAATTTTAAAATATAATATATATTATAATATATACTATTATATAATATATATATATGTATATTATATTATATAATATAATATATTATAATATATATTATATATTATGAGAGAGAGGAAGAAGTAAAAAAAAAATGAAGAAATTTACTGCTAAGGAGACTCGAAGGGCAAACCTTATTAAAGTCCAAAATTGTTCTCCTTCTTTTCAAAATTTTTAAAAAAAACTCTGAAAATAAACTAGACTTGTTTTTTATTTCTTTGACTCAAATCTCATTTTTTTCAAAATTTTGAAAATAAAAATGCTAAACAAATAAGTTTTGGATATTTTTGAGATTTTGAGAACAAAAATAGTTTCCAAAAACTAAACAAACAGGGCCCGTGTTTCTTAAAAAAAATCTATACTTTTATCTAGGGGAAAAGGACAACGGAGGATGATACTGATCTCTTAAATTTGGGGAAAATTTTGCTTTGATAATTTTGTGACAAAAGAGGATTTGTATGATATTTCAAGTAACTTAGCAGAGCAACACATGTTTTGCACGTGAATAATTTTTGTATATAAAATATTAATAAAAAAAATATTAAATATGTGTGTATTTACATTAAATATCATATTAAATTTATCAAAATTATATTGTATCACTCATATTATACTATAATATTTGAAAAAAATTGTCTTTTTTCAGAGTTTGTTGTTCTAACTATAAGAAAAAAAATAAAAATAATTCATTTGATTAGGTTTTAACTTATAATTCATTGAATAAAATAACAATAATTATCAATATTCTAATCAATAATTACTATAATTAAGAATTAGTTAGGTCAATAGGGATAAAATATAAGGTTAATTACATTTTTAGTCTCTAAAATGTGGGTTTTTTTTGTCAAAATCGTCCTTAATATATGAATTTTGTCAATTTGGTTCATAAAATATTCAATTCTTGTTTAAATAATTCAAAATCAGACAATTCATTAAGTTTTATAACAGAAGTGATCATATGTCATTTCGTCAGATAATATCACGTGACTAACACGTGATTATGTTTTTTAAAAAACTTAACAGATTGTTTATGTATAGATCATTTAAACACTAACTGGATAATTTAGAGACCAAATTAACAAAATTGATACAACAAAAACTAAACTGATAAAAACATGAATATTTCAGAGATTAAAAGTGTCATTAACCCTAAAAATAATATACTACTCTATAATATATATTTTTAAAAGAATATTAAAAAAATTCTAAAATTCAAATTTTACTTAAAAATACATTATAATTTTTTAATATAAGCTATTAATAAAATATAAAAATTTTACTGTGATTGAAGAATTATGTTGGTTTAACATAAATTATTTTTTTTAAAAAATTACATAAAATATTATTTTTATCTTAAAAATAAAATGATTAAAAATTTGGATAAAAAAAATATACATATATAAGCATAATATTATTTTTATATTTGAAATGAGTAATGTTATATTAATGCAATTTTTGAAGATTTTTTGAATGTTCTATTGAAGAGCAATACTATTGAGATTTAATTTATTGAGCTAATTTGTTAATTTAATTCACTATGACATTTGGATTAACTGTAAGGCCCATCAAATATTAGAACTTGGTGTTAATTCAATGGCTATACTGAAGTCACATTATTATGTCAGCAAATTAAGTCAAATTTATAGGTCCCAATAATATTACTCTTTATTGAAAACTATAGTGATACACATATTTTTCTAGGAGAAACGTAATCAATTAAAAATTTTCGTAGATACTGATGTTTATGCATAGTGAATAGAGAATTAAAAGAGATGTTAGGAGTAATTTAGATATTTAAACACATAAGTGTATGATAGTAATTTAGATATTCAATTATGCACGGATAGTGTGGTATTTAAAATTTTTTATAATAATAAAATAGTGAATCACAAATTTTTCGCTCTAAGGTATTTTTATTAGTAGTATAGATAGAATATATATATATATATATATATATATATATATATATATATATATATATATATATAAATATAAATCGACATAATGTTATTTTTTTATTTGAAAAGAGCAATGATCTATTGATTAATTTTTTGAACATGCTATTGAAAGTTATAATGATGCACACATTTTTTTAAGGGTTATATAGTCAATTAAAATATTTCATAGATATTGATATTTATACAAAGATAATAGAGAATTAAAATAAATGTTATAAGGTAATTTGAAGATTTAAATACATAAGGTTATGTGTAATATTTTAAATTTTTTATTAGGGGTAAAATAGTCAATCAAATTTTTTTCAACAGTATCAATATAAGTTAGGGTTCTTCTTTTATACTTTAGAAATATCAAAGGGGTTGTTAATTAATTTAGGAGAAGTCAGCCCTAAGCTCGACGCCTCCTTCAATTCCCTCCCCTCTTAAGTCTTACCCTTCGAACAAGAAGACGATTACAGAAAATTCGCCTCTCTCTCTCTCTCTCTCTCTCTCCTCTCTCGTGTTTAAGTTATGTGTGTGTGATTGTGAGTGAGATACCTTTCAAGAGTACAGGACTCTGTATTTGTTAATCACTTCTATATTTTTTCCCAATTTTCTTTTCTAAAATTTTTAAGCCAACATGTTCAAAGAACTGAACAGTAGTATAAATGGAGATTCTTCAGAGAAGCTCAGGAGTTTAGCGATATCGTCTCTCGAAGAGGAAGATGATGATAATGATAACGACGATGAATATGATGTCGATGATTACGACGACGACGACGATGAGGAAGAAGAAGTACCTGTGGCACTTGGTTTTGTTGAAAAGCCCAAGAATCGATGGTCACTTCTTCGCCAGTTATTCCCAAGCAAGGCCGGAGGCGTCCCTGTACTTCTAAAACTCCGATTCTTGTAACATATTTTTTTTTGAATTTGGATTGTAGGAAAATCCTATTTGAGTTCTAAATTTCATTTTACACAATGTAGGCTTGGTTGGATCCAATTAACTTGCCATCTGGAAGGTCGTGTGTTTGTGACTTTTGTCGGGAACCCTTGCAGTTCTTGCTACAGGTATATGGATAAATAACTTACTTTGCATATATAACATCTGGTAGGTGACAATTTTTTATGTGGGTCCTAGGTTTATGCACCGCTCTCTGAGAAGGAATCGACATTTCATCGCACGTTGTTTGTGTTCATGTGTTCATCTATGGGTTGTCTTCTCCAAGACCAACATGAGCAGTGGAAACGCCATCCAGAGAAGCCATCTCGAAGGTATTGCTTTGGAATTTATATAACAAGAAACTATTAGTAATCAAATTGTGTGTTTTTTATCAACTTCTTGCGGCTGATTGTAAATTATTTTTTTTTTTTGTTTTTTTTCAAGTGTGAAGGTTTTTCGTTGCCAGTTGCCTCGTTCTAATTCTTTTTACTCCAGTGAGGCCCCAATAAACGATGGGACTGACAAACCTTCTGGAACTGGAGGTTAGTTTACATTTGATTCGTTGCTCTTTTAAATTTATATAATTCTTTTCTTACAGAGCCGAATTGACTGCGTGTTAAGAAAATTAGAGTGCTATTAATTGGTGTCTACCAAGCTGTGTTTTATTTGTTTGTTCGTTTTAGCTAAATCTATTTGCTTATTTATTTTTTCAACTAAGGAGCCTTTTACAGTGTTCAGCGTAAATTTGTGCACTGTCTTCCTGCACTACGCAATTTACTGTTGGGCGTGGTATTAGTTGTAGTGAAAAAAGATGGCTCTAAATGCAACGCATTGTGGAGTTCAAATGATCTTAATTAAAAGGAATTCCGGAAAGGTCGTACAGTGTACAATGTGAAAAATCTCCTTTGTAATGTCCTTTTATTTTTTTGGAATTTTGAGGGACTCTTTATTTTGAACTTTTAATGGTCCAATGTTTTCTTCAAGTTATTGGTAATTGAGTAGATGATGACACAGATGTGTTCCATTTCTTTATTATTCTAGTCTAATTTATTTGCACTGATGCTGCTTGATTTAGCTGCACTATGTAGCTGGTGTGGTACCTGGAAAGGAGATAAACTTTGTAGTGGTTGCAGAAGAGCACGTTATTGCTCTGAAAAACACCAGGTTAGTGGACAGAATCCTATTTTTGTTATGTTTTGTTCAGATAGGTCATCAATGCTAGACTTTTTATTTCCCTCTTCTATTTTCAGGCTATTCACTGGCGGTCAAGCCATAAGGTGGACTGTCGCCAATCAAGCATTTCACCTCAGGCATCGGACTCCAGCTCCATAAACAATTTTGCAGAGACGCAACAAGGCCAGTATCATAGTCTTCATAGGTCATGTTAACATGGGCATTTTTCTGGTGGACACATTGAATGTTTATATGTAACTCTCAGACATGTTTGTTCATGTAGCATCATAGATCCAGGTCACACCTTGGTGAGATGGTAGTTAGATCTTTTGCATGATTCTTGTGATTTATTGCAATAACTAAACCTAGCTCTATGTAAAAATGGTTTGGTCTGATGTCTACAAGAAAGTAACTGTTGGGAGAAGTGGAACATAAATTAGTACCATGAGTTAGATTCCTTTCCTATGCTCATGACACCTTTTGCCTTGGGTTGCAGGATATGTGCCCATGAGTGTCATATCTATGTGCTTTTTAATCTCAGTAACTTTACATCTAAATCATTGTTGCATAGTAAAATTATCATGAGATTGGCATATTCACATTTCCACAGCTGATAGGAATCCTCATTTGCAAACAGTTGCAAGCAACACTCTCTGGGCACAATACGAAATCATAAATGAGGATGAATGTGAATTTGACACCGAGGTGTCTGATGATAATGGATATGCTAATTCATTGGTCTCTAGAAGTGGGAGTCGAATGGACGAAACAGTAAAGTCACTGATGGACAGTTTTGAGGTATCGATTGCTTTGGCAATGATGTTGGGATTACATTAATATGGATAAACCTTTACAACCTCTTTTTATTTGTTGGTGAGCAGGGGGATGGTGACAGGAAGAGTTGGGCTTCTTTCCAGGAGCGAATAGCCAAGGCTCCTCAGCAAGTGTTGAGGTGATTGGATACATTTAATACAAGGATCTGTACTCAGTATTGCTATTCATTTACAACAGGCATGCACTCAAGATACCCCCCCCCTAACAACCCAAAAAAAAAAAAAAAAAGTCTTCCCCTTTCTCCCCCACTTCTCAATTTGATCTGTATGTCCCATAAAGTCTCTTTTGCCCTTTTTGCAAGGTACAGTTCACTGTTACAGCTCCCTTTTGTTGGATAGTGTAGTAAATAATGCTTAGTTAACTTAAAAATGGACTGTAAGTACTCCCACAAGAGGAAACAGCTAAAATAGGTTGGATCTTCAATTATCCCAATTTTGAATGTGACCAAGCCATATCTTGAAGTCATTAATCAGTAATGATCCCTCCTCATCCTCCACCCCCTGGTGGCCCTCCCCGTCTCTCTCTCTCTCTCTCTCTCACACACACACACACACACATTATTTATAATGCATATCACCTTTAAGCTATCATAATAACTTGGTCAGTTGCTTCATTTGGTGTTTTAGGTATGGTAGAGCTAAACCCTTGTGGCCTATGTCAAGTGGTCGGCCCTCAAAAGCTGATATTCCTAAATGCAGCTACTGTGGTGGACCTTGTGGCTTTGAATTTCAGGTATAGTAGTACTCTCTTTTAACGTATTTTTGGTCTGTTACAACTGCCATTGCTGATTGCCTTGTAGTTGTGGAATTTAATCTGTTGCATTGTCTGCCTCCTTGTTTCATTTCGATGACCAACCGTTTTTTAATGATTTTTTTGGTTCCAGATTTTGCCACAGCTACTTTATTACTTTGGGGTGAAAAATGATGTGGATTCCCTTGATTGGGCCACCATTGCTGTGTATACGTGCGAAGCCTCTTGTGAGGTAACTATGGCTTACAAAGAGGAATTTGCTTGGGTTCAACTTGCTTCTCAATCAACAACGGCACTTTCATAGTTGTATTTTGTTTAAGTTATTTTCCCCATAGTTGTATTTTGTTCAAGTTATTTTCCTCTCTCTGTGTGGCAGAGTAAATGTCAGGCCTTTTTTAACCACAGATGTTTTATTTGATTTTTTTTTTTTTTTTGTAATATAAATTATGAAGAGTTGCCGAAAGAAGCCTATTTTTGCTGCTTAACGATTGTATTTGCTTCTCGTTTCTTTGTTCACCTCTGTAACGTACAGTAAAAGTTACAAGAAATTCACGAGTACCAGGTTCCAAAATCTCACAAGGATGTCTGTCACGATAATCACTCAAGATATGGTAAAGCTATTAACTTGTAACGATAGAAACACCAGCCATTTCATTGAGAAGATGGTAGCCACAAAGTACATGTTCTTAGTTCAGTAAAGAGATGACGAAAACTTTTATTCCAACAAACAACTTCAACAATTTTCGCCCCTTATACCTTTAATCATTTTGGTGGCAAACCACACTACACAAATTTACATTGTAAATAAAAAAAATTGAAAAAAAACAAATGAATTAAACATTGAAAAGCAACTAGTGTCCGAGTTGTACTTCACTACCAAAAATTTCTTACATATGAATGAAAATATGAGGCTGTACACCAGCAACTGAGGAACAAGACACCAGTTTGGAGGAAGATGGAAGATCCTGATGGGCATATTGTTGGAAAATTATCCACAGGCATAGGAAGTGGAAATGGAAGAAGCATTTGGTCTCTCATTGTACAGATTTGATGAAACGAATGGTTTAATTCTAGTTGGAGGTATCATAGGATAGCAATACGACTTCTTGGGCACAGAGGAGAGAAGCAAACTGAAGAGCAATTGGTGAATGAACTCTGGAGGTCAGGACATGGCTCGGGAGACACGTTTTCAGAAAAGCCGGACACGTTGGAACAGAGCCATGATGATGTAGAAGGGTCAGAAGAAATGGAGAGGGAGATATTTGATAGACAAATTGAAGTGAACGGTGATTCAGAGATTCCAGTGAAACTCCCGGCTGTAGTGATATTGGTACCAACAATGTCCTTGAAGGTAATGCATTCAACAACTGGGAGGGCTTGAGGATCAAAATTTTCATCTGGATGTGTTTTACAATCACCTGTTGCCTTCAGTGCCAGCTCAACATTTTCCATTTCCACGCCCGATATAAAAATGTCTTCCATATAACCACCTCTACCTATTGCTGTCTTCAGCTCGATACCTACGGATGAGTCGTGTATGTAGAGTTGCTCCACAAGTATGTTGGAGATGCCACCGGACATCTCACTGCCAAAAGCCAGACCACAGCCTGCAGAAGACTGAAGGCGAACCTCACGGATGTGGACATTCGTGGTCGGTCTGCCATAGGCAATTCCATACTCATCCCATCCACTCCTGAGCGCAATGGCTTCAAAGCCCATGCTAATGTTGCTGTTCTCGACGCAAACATGCTCAGAAGAATCTGTAATTTGCATTTAGGGCGTTTGGTTACACAAGAAAAAATATATGGACCCTTGAAATGATGAAAAGGAAATTACTAAGTGTAATCCACTATGTGATAAGTGGCAAAAATAATTCTAGAGCATCATGTCTTGTCTATGTAAAGAGCAACAAGTATGTAAACCAGTGGATAATCCCAATTAGCTACCTCAGTATGCAAAGTAGATGTAAGTTTAGTGCAAGACTTAAATTTATGAAAACTTCTGCATCAATCTTATATATTATGAAAATTGAGATCCCATTACGGGGAAATAAATAAGATACAGAATGCGACTTTTCTGACAAACCTGGGACTATTCCACTCGTGTAAGGAGATTGAGGTGGAGAATGAGCCGTTATGTTTTGAACTAGCACATTACTGCAGATATCCATATACAAATTATAACTGGTAAAAAAGAGCTTAAGAACACATTCAACTGAGGTAAACTAGCTCTTAGAAAAGGTCAACCAATTTACCTGCAATATACAGGATAAATGGTCCAGGCAGGGGAATTCAAAAAGGTTAAATTAGAAATGATGACATCTTTACAGCTAATGAATTCCACAAGATGCGGGCGGCTGTAGTTTAAGCTATGAGAATTGAACTGCTCCCACCAGATAGAACCTTGGCCATCAATAGTTCCATTATCACCTGCACAATCAGCGACATGTATGCAAGTCGTCGTTCAAGAACAACCATTATTTGTTTCAGTCAGAATAGCAGTTATTACGATGCCTACACACACACACACAGAAATCCATCAAATCAGTAGAAAAAGCAAATCTGCCTGCCTGTTATCACCACATCAGTAATGTTATTTCCAGAAATCAAGCTGCGATATCTGGCGCCTGGAAGTTCAATACCTCGGCCATAAGATGGTAAGGGTTCAACAACATCCCAATGGGCATAATCCTGCAAAAGCCCAAACGAAAGCACAAACTACAAATTATGCCACTATGGTATGGACACAGGTCCCAATAACAACTTTAAAAGCCGTCTCCACAAGCTTGATGACTAATACTCAATTGTCAAATAAAAGGAGTTGTGATATAGTTATAGTGTTCGGCTATCACAAATTCGAAATGATGATTAAACCTCTTTTATTCTAAACTTCTCAACTGGGTTGCATTAAATAGAGAAATTTTGGTGAATCATGAGAAAATCAAGAAGAATAAAATTTTCCTGGTGTATCCGAATCAAAATACTATATAATAATTTGCCTTATTTTCGGAAATTGGACCAACGATGACAAGCATTTGCAGTACACAGTGAAAAGAAAACCATGTTGAGGCAAAGGCATAGCAGATAAAGGTGATAAGAAAGTAAAAGCCTGATGTTAACACATACAAGTGAAGGCAATCAAAGGGCTTATGCAACAAGGAGGAATTTATTATCTAGACAAGAACCAGGTCAATAATATTCCAATAAAGGGAGAAAAAAGAAGAAACACCTCTTCGCAATTTAAGGCAATGTGTTTGTGTCCACTAAAACGGCTTTATATCGACACAATAACATCAATTGAGACCTTTGAAGCGTGGGAAAAAACCGAGAGACAAATAGTATATCAATCCAAGGGTAACTCCCTTTTCAGTTCACAGCCCTGTTTTGCACTTTTTCTGTTTAATACTAATACTATGCAAAACAAATATATAACAAACACCATGGGGCCATAAGCGTTCATACTGAAAGCCCTAAAACAGATGCAGCTATAGGAAATTTTTGTCATGATTGCAATGCCTTGTTACTTAACATACATGAGAGTTCGTGGCTGCCACAATACCACAAAAGGATTTTTATTTTTCTTAAACCTCAATATAATTTTTTTTTCATTTTCATGAAACATGGAAAAAAATAATTTAGAATAAGAACCTCAGATCCAAGAATAATAGCTTCACTCTCAAGAAAGAGTGTGAGGTGGCTGGTTAGGTTGAAGCTTCCTGTAAGCCACCTGCCTGGTGGGACATAGAGCTGAGCACCACCCTTGTCAGTAAATGACTTGGCATAGAAGATGGCATTCTGAAATGCTACAGTGTTCAAAGTTTTCCCATCCCCAACTGCACCAAATTCCAAGATGGACACACTGTGTGGTCGGGGTTTCAAAGGCTTATTGAATTTGCATTCTTCCTCAAACTCAGTCTCATTGCATTCAACTGCATTACAAAAAGCCAGGAACAAAAGCAGGGCCACCTGAAATGGGAGAACAAAAGAAAAAGGTAAAAGCATTGTAACACTGACATTCAACTTTCGAACTGTTCCTACGTTTAGAAACCGAGCTAGAGTTAAGCCATATTTTTGTGTACAAATTGTCAGTGCCATTTTCAACTTCGAATGGATATGCATAAACCAATTCCAATCAAACTGCCACCAATAAATAGTATACGTCATGCTATGCAGTTGCTTGATATAAGTATCTACTCATGGATTAGTGAGAACAAAAATCAAATAACAGTTGGGCAATGAAATTCTTATGAATTAAATTTGACTTGGTGCACAGTGGAACCATTGAAAGGACACATTTTGACTGAGACAAATTTACCATTAAATGATAGGCTAGAAATAAGGTATCATACCAGGTCATTGACTGCTGAACATCAAATATGTAAGCAAAATTTTGGAAAAAGGTATAAAAGAAATGGAATCATAAGGTTTAGAACATGGCGTAGATTATAATAGTACTCTGTATGATCAATTTGAGAGCTCGTGTTACTTTCTGACTCAATACTTACTTCTTTTCTTGGGTAATTCTTTCTGACTGAAATTCAATATACAGAAACTACTAACAGAAATGGCTGATAAAGATCACAGTGTTCTGATTCATGATTATAACGAGAAAAAACAATTCCACCTCTACCAACTAAATCCACCTTCTTTTTATTGATAAACCAGAGCATTTCAAAGATAAAGACCAAACTAAAATACTGAGCCCTAGACTTTGTTGCCTCCAGAAGCAGAGCAGACAAATGAACAAGCACCAAAAAGAAGAGAAAGATCACAACTTTATCTTAAACAGAACACCCAAATCATAAGCAATTCAAATCAGTACAACTAAAAATCATTGTCACTGCAAATCTAAATTTCGAAGAATGTGTATCCCTAAACATCACCAAAGTTAAATCAAATCAGCATTCCTTATAAACACATCCTCACAGAGGAAAGTGCGATCTCCTTATCAAAATTGAATTGAATAAGGATGCTAACATTTCATAAGCAATAATTAACGAAATAATCACAAAACAAGAAGCCATAAATAAACCAGTAGCGAACTTAAAACAACGTACTTACTAGCCTCTTCATCAGTCTCTTCTCTCCCCCTCTCTCTCTCTCTTTCAAGATTACCCACAAGCAAACTGTACACACAGTGAAGAATAGAAAACTGAAGAAGAAGAAGAAGATGGGAAAAGAGTAAGACAATACGAATCTAATTAAGGAGTAAATGAAGCAAGAAATACCAACGGGTGGTAAGATAAAGCGGCAGAGCTAAAAAGAAAAGACAGCTCTTCATGCATATACATCAACCCAATTATATGGAAAGTGCAATGAGAATAACTATTAGAATCATAATTAATTGCCCATTAATCACTCTATGAAATTCCCTATTTCAAACGGGTATTGCCGACACACAACGGCTGACTGAGAGACTTCACGCAGAGAGAGAGAGAGAGAGAGCGGTGGGTATGTAATATTATTATGATTTGTGTGATTAGAATCTTAATTTTTGGGAATTAATTAGTACGCGACAATCTGGGATTGATTTTTGGGATCATGTGTGTGCATGGATTGGGTTAGAGGAGGGTTGAGTCTGGGTGTCATGCCATGTAGAGGAAAGAATGGGACCTACCTCCAATGATGTATCGGCAATGCTAGGCTGGCGTCAGTCGGTTCGCCAGATCATAACCCCCCCCCTTGCCGTCGTATTGATTGGACCCACCAGCCTCTTCCACAAGTGTATAACAACCCCTTCTTTTACGACTCTGTTTATGTCCTATCGTGGTCCTCCTTGTCCTTGTGTTCCCACTGAATCTTTAACCAAAAAATTGTTGTGTCTGAAGTAGAGTTTGGCCAAAGTGACATTTTTACCCTCCCTCAAACATTTAAAAGACTCTTTCACCCTCCGAGTATTATATTGTGTTTAATTTTCGGCTTGTGTAATTTTTTAGTCTACTCCAATCCCACAAATTTTTATGCCTAACTTATTTAATTTTTCATTATCAAATTACTAAACTCACTTCTTCTATATCCATCACATCTATATTATAAAGTAGATTACAATTCAAATTTTAAAAGATAAATAAAATGACTTTTGTTATTCGCGGTTGAGATTACTTTAAATTTTATTTTAAAATTAATCTAACGGCTAATATTAACACCTTAAATTTAATAGAAAAAATAGGCCCATAAGGGTATGTTTGGAGTGACTTTTTAAATATACTTTTAAAAATACTCATAAATAGTGTTTGAAATCATCCCACCACTATCTCTACCATCACCCCCGTCGCCACCACTGTCGCTACCACCATCGTCGCCGCCACCTCCACCACCACCACTGCTGCCACCACCGTCGCCACTACAACCACTGTCATCATCACCATCGTTGCCGCCACTACCACCACCGCCGCCACCACCCCCACTGTCACCAACATCGCCACCGCCATGCCACCGCCACGGTCATTATCATCCACCACAATCATCACCATCTCCTATCATTGTCACCGCCGCCCACCACTTCACACTCTCACTACAAACCGATACTTAAATTCTTTTATCTCTTCTTTATGTTTGTAATTTGATTTTGGATATGAATACAAATATGTTTATTGATTACCATTTTTTATTACTCTGTGTCTTCAGGCACAGGGAATAACGAGTTAATAAATAAGTTTACTCCATACTACATATATTCATTTTAATAAATAAAACTCACTTTATATTTTGTCATAATTTGAGTTTTATTTTTTATCTCATTTCATGCACTCACAAAAATACTTTTTCAATATGAATTTTTTCAGTGAGATACATGTTAGTATTTATTCTCAATTTAATTATATGTTTGATTTTATGTTTGTTATATAAATTTTTATTATTTTCGGTAAACTTCGATATCTCTATCAAGTATAATAATTTTTTATTTAGAATTTATATATATGTATGTTTTCAAATTTTATTTTTTTCTGTTGTTATGGTTTTGCATCTATACTTGTTATTTATTTTCTTGTTCGATTTTGTGTTTGTGCTTGATGTTTTTTTTTTTTCATATTCAGTTTTGTGTCTTGTAGTTTTACTTGTTTATTTAATCTTTATTTGGTTTTTTTTCCCTTTTTGTTTTAATTTGCTTATTTTTTTCTATGTTTTTTCCTTTTTTCATTCTTTTCTTTTTTGTTGTTTCAGTTTGCTTATTTCTTTCCTATTTTTTTTACTTGTTTTGTTTTTAAGTTATTTTTTTTCTTGTTTCAGTTTTGCTTGGTTTTTTTTTTCCTGTATATTTATATTTATACATTAAACTAGTTATCTTCTTTCATTATTTTTTTCTTACGATGACTTTTTTTCATTAAAATGGTGTACATAGAATGAGTGAACTTAACTATTAATGGAGTGTATATAGTATGGGGTGGACTTAGTTACTAATTGGGTGAGGTATAGAAATGGTGGATTTAGTAGTTTGATAATGAGAAATTAAATGAAATTAGAAAGAAAATTTGTAAGGTGGGAATTGTCCCACCCATTTTTTTTTTCACTATATGGTGTTTAACCTTGCATTGATTATTCTCTTGAAGTCGAATAATGATCACCATAATCCGAATGAGTTTAGAACATGTCATTTGAAATATAAGGATGACTGATTTTTACAAGGTAAGAAAAATATTGAATTTAAGGCCTCTATGCAGTGAACCAAAATTAGTAGAATTATGACTCAATTTTCTTTCAAGCAAAGTCACCCTATATAGATTTCTACATATTAAAGTCTAGTTGAATCATGTTTTAATAACTTTAAGTTAAAAATTATTTAATCTTACAAGAATTCATATAATACTGGATCAAATTGTTGGAAAGTTCACTAAGATAGGTTTTTTATTTGTCATTATTCACCAAGAAAGTTGGAGGCGGCCTCAAAATCAATTGAATAACCCTCAGAAATCAAAACACTCTCATCAACACAAAAAACCAAGAACAAATAAATTTCACCATTTAAAGAAAACACTCTTTGAGTAATGTTAAAAAAAAAAACGATATGCCCATTCTTTTTCTCTATTATGCTGTAGAAGTTAAACCCCATCTATCACTAAGCAATAAGCATGATACATCAAACCCAAAAAAATGCTTCAAGTTCTAGCATTGCATCCCTCATTTCACATTAAAACATAATGACATTATCTCCATAATTTAGACAAAAAAAAAAACGTAACTTTCAAATATCCTCTCTTTTCATTCCTCTATCTACCACTCGAATATTCAAACGTATACACAATTGATCACCTACTATCGCATGATTTGATTTACACAAAATACAGAAAGAAATTGCAAATCTCTCTAGACAAATTAACGGCTGATAACGGTAATTCAAACTTAATCTGATCAATAGTTTTATAGAATCCAGAGAAAAATATAGGTTGGTAGAAACATTCAAATCCTTGATAAACAGTGAGATTAAAAAAAAGAGAGAGAGAGAGAGAGAGAGAAATAAAGAAGGGTAGTTTGGGTCAGGCACTCAATTGTTAGGGTGAGGAAGAAATGAGTGATATCCCAAAATTATTAATAGTGAAAAAAAAGAAGAAATGCAGAGTTGGCAGGTTCACTGTTGACTGTCTGCCAGGCGTTAACTGATATCCACTGTCAAAGAATCAACGGTAAGCGCCACCCTATACCACCAATCACCCATTGGATACCATGTGCATGATTTGACTCCCATCATTTTCAGTCACTAATATATACTATATTTTTTTCTCTTCCGCCGGTTTCAGTCACTAATATATACTATTTTTTCTTTTCAACACTTAAAGAGTTTTTTTATTAATTTATGCATATTTTTATTAATTTTTTTTTATTTAATTAAAATTAAGTTATTCACGTCTGAATTAAGATATTCATGAAAAATAAATATTTCAATTCTTTGTGATTTGATTCTAAGAAATATCAAAATTCAAATTCAATACATCTAAATTTACAATTCATCACTATTACTACTTGAACTATTCATGAAATTAATTCATACTATTAATATATAAGAGGAATGATCTCATATTTTCTCTTCAGTTTTCGTCTTGATTAATCATCAATAATGTGTTTTAAATGAAGTTTATTATATATAAGTGAGTCATTTATTTATTAATAATTGATGATCCAACAAAAAAAATATATATCGAAGAGAATCTGAATTCTAATACTAATACAAATTTCCCATGACTTTGTCTCCTTAATTTTTCGTTTCCTAGTTATCTCTCTTTCACACACATTCAACACGTCTCGTACACCTATGATCAACGTCATACTAAAAGTATTACGCATATGTATTAAATTACAACGCGTGTGTCATGGCAATCAGTTTTTCACAATTGAAAATGCCATTTTTTAGAAATTGTAAATTGAAAAAAAAATTATTGTAATTTTGTTTTGAGGTTTGAATTAATGACCAATTTTCGATGCCGTTTGAAATTTATTAATTAGGAATCTATTTCTAAAGTCAAAAGTCATAAAAAAAAAAAAAAAAAAGGCTAGTGCTGAATGCCCTGGTGCTAAGATAGTAATGGGCTCTGGTATACTGGCTTAGATCCAAATCAATTCCCACCTGAAATGATTTCGTTGAGAAGTGGGCCAAGCTGATGCAACTTCATTGGGCTTACACACAAAACCCCAGAGCACATTGACTCTCTAAAAAATTTAGTGAAAATTGGGGTGAGTTCCTCTAAATGTATTTGTTTAGAGATAAGTTCGGTAAGAGAACTTATAAAGAGTTATTCTATTGCAAATTCATTGAGTTCCCATTTTACATTTAAAATCAACAACAACCTTTTTACTCTTTATAAACAACATATGATGCATTAAAAATTAAAAATCACAAAGGGGTTTATCAGTATCATATTTATAGTAACACCAATAATTTAGTAACACCCACAGTATCCAAGTAAATCCATACATTTTCTAGTTTATGAAATCACATAGTAACCTAAAAAGTTTCAATGAATTATGCGACCAATGATTTTTGAATTGCTTGAACAACGAAAAAAGCAACAAACAAATTACACAACTAATTATATAACATATTGATTAAGCAATAGTAACATGAATAGCTCTATCCCCAATGTCATATTAAGCACAGTAACATCAAATTTTGAAAAAAATATAGTAAAAAATAATTCAAAAATTAATGTTACTATCATGGACTAATGGCAACATAATGTTAATGGTTTAATTAGGATACTCAATACATATCAATAACATCAAGAGATTTGATGAGAAAATTTTTAAAGAATCCCAAAGATTTATGAAGATTTCAAGAATGCTGAGACCAACTATAGATTTTCGCCAATGAATCTTGAACAGTAAAATCGATTTTCGGTTCTTGTTTTAAACAAGTTTGAAATTTGAAATAGATTTGGTTTTGGGTAAATTTTGAGTTCTTGGGTTTTTCGAAAAAGATTAATGAGAAAGATTTGCGATTTATGGCCGGATTTCTCGTCTGGAATGTAGGGGGAAGTTACTAGGTTGCCGAAAGAAATGAAGGGGAAGTTCAGTTTGGAAACCAAAACGGCAAATTTGACGCCGTTTGAGGTTTTTCACAAAATAAGGGTATATAAGTAAAAGAAGCAAATGGTGGATTTCAAATCAAATAAATTTTCTTGCAGGACTTATCTCTAAACAAGTTCATATAGGAAAATCGTCCTCCAAATTTCTCCTAAATTTATGGTTCCACAGGACCATAAAACTATTAAAATTCAAGTTCTGTTCAAAATTAAATGTTTTATTATAATTTTTTTTTTTGAAAACTTGAGCAAAAAAAAAACTCAAAAATGCTAAAAGAAACAATTGTTTTTATTCCAAAAATATTCTTTTAAAAATAAAAAGAAAAGAAACTTTTTTTCTTTAAAAATGCATTATTAAGAATTTTATATTCATCCTCAGAATCACATATAAAAATTTTAGGCTAACAATTTTTTATATGGTGAAGTACTCAATATTGGCTGAAGTTTTTTCTCTCAACTTGTATCCTTTCTATCAGGCTTTTACCGGTGCATTTCTTAACCTAGGAATGACTAATTGTAGTTATATAAAAATTTAAATAAGACATATAAGAATTAAGAAAAATACGTTGTCAAACTTGAGTTTTGTAGATCGAATTTGCTCTTTGAGCTACTTCTAAACATTTTTAGTAATTTATTGAAATCTATGAAGCACAAATACTTCATTGAGGTTGACATACCCGTATCGGATACGATACTCGTCGGATATTCGATGATGCGTATCCGATACACCTTCTACATATCCGATAATAATTAAACATTATGATACTTCACGGATACTTTTATAGTCGAGCAACATATATAATTTTTTAATTGACTTTTTAACATCTCTTTTCAAATTCACATACCATACAATACATTAACAAAAAATTCATATTACTTTAAAGACACATGAGTGCTTTTTAAGTATTATTTACAATTACATGTCAAAAGAGTATAAAATAAAGCTATTACATTATAATTTTAGTAAAAATTACTTCTAAATACAAAGTAATTATTAGTTTTGATTCATTTAATTAGTCAATTCACTTTATAAATATATCACAACGATACGATATATATATTTTAGAAATTAAAAAGAGTTACTAATTTTCTTTATTATATATTAAAGAACTACCAAAATATATAAGTATTAAATTGATTGAAAGTAATTAAAATATTTTATTATAACCGTATCTTGTCCGTACCCATATCTGATTTTTTTAAACTTTATCGTATTATCGTATTCGTATCGTATTGTACTCATATTTCATATCTGTATCCTTATTTCATAGATCGAAACATAATTAGTGAAACAATTGTAAGGTAGACTCACATGTTTTAAAGGATTCCATTATTGCTGATCAGAAATTTTTTTGAATAAGAGGATTTTTAATTATGTTCCAACTTTTATGTTTGGCAATTATTTTCCAGCCACTTTTTCTTGTTGATTGGATAGTTTTGGTTTTGTGACATTGATGCGGTTTTTGTTTGTTTTTTTTGGAGAAATCGTCAACGGAACTCAGCAGTCTCTACAAAAGACTGACGAGATAAAAAACCTTGTCGGTATTGCTCAAGGCCCAACAAATCGGCATGGACCATATGGCAAGGGTGCAATAAAACAAAAAGGCATGTCACATTAAAAAATATTTTATGTAAATATAATTCAATGTAATCTATATAATAAAATAGAACGATTTTGAATTCAAGAGACAAAGAGCGGTTCAGATAATTTTGAGATCAAAAAAGACATCATCCAACGGCCGACGATATTTCAAACTGTTTCAAGCTATTGACGTCTCAGATCGTTTCAATCCGACGTACCATATTAGCTCTTAAAAATTTTTTGCTGCTCAAAACTCTTACTTTCCAAAACTAACATCTCTAAATTTAATTCCCCAAACTAATCAAATCCGACAATTAAGCGATCTCTCATCCCCCAAACTCTGTCTCTCTCTCTCCCTAAGATACAAATTACAACTTTTATCATTATTTTCTTGATTTTATTTCCTATGTTAAGGGATCACTTTCTATACTAAGACATTGACTGTCCCTCACACTCTCATCTTTCATGATTTTCTTTCCAAACTGTGACGCATGTCTCCCCAAAATTCTATTCTAATGCAGTTGCTCTCTATCTTTACTGTTCATCTCACACGCACATCTTTACTATACATATATATAGTACAAAGATCGAAGACATACTATATCTACATGTTATATCTTAGGAAAAGTTTCATCTAAATACCACGTAATTTCAATAATTATATTATTCCAATGAATTTTTTATTTTAAAACGTTGTATTATAATTTTGTTATAATATTAATCATCATATTATCACTTATTTGGTTACATAATCAAGTTTTTTATAGTTTTTACAATTAAAAATGATTTTTCAATAATAAAAATAACAATTGATAAAGTCAATGTCAAAATCTCATCAATTTCTAATTCCTCTGCTATCACATGTCCTTCACAACGTCGTCTCACTGCTCCTCACACATCACACTTTATATAAAAAATTTAAAATTATTTGATAAAATTTAATATTAATTGAATAAATTTGATCTTAATTTTGATAAATTTAAATATTAATTTAGTTTTAATTTGATAAAATTAAATATTAATTTAGTATTAATTTGATTGAATTTAATGTTAATTGAATAAATTTGAATGTTGTTTTAATAAAACTAAATGTTCATTTAGTGTTAAATTAAAGAAATGACATTAATTTGATAAGGTTAAATTTTAAATTAATGAAATTTAATAAATTTAATATTTTTATTTAATAAAATTGAATTTCAATTTGATGTTGATTTGATAAAAATAAATAATAACTTAATATTAAATTAAAGAAATAATATTAATTTGATGAAATGAAATATTAAATTAATATAACTAAATGCTAATTTGATAAAATTAAATATCAATTTTGTGTTGATTTGATGAGATGATATGTTAATTTAGTTTAAATTAAATAAAAAAAATTAATTTGATAAAATTGAATATTAAATTGATGAAAATAAATGCTAATACAATAGAACTAAAAGGGAGTGTATTGAAATTTCATAATCAAGAAGGGATGTTGTTAAAGTTAAGTCTATTTACAATAGATGTTGTTAAAGTTAGGTTTACTTATAAATGTTGTGGATAAAATTTACCTTATAAAATACTTGAAAATATTTTTATAAATCAACCATCGGCATTAACGGTGTAATCTGACAATCACTAATAGGGAGTGATAGCAAAATTTCAAAATCGAAAAGAAGTGTCATTGAATTTAGACCTAATTACAAGGGATCTGAATAAAATTTTCCCTTATATCTATACAAATTTATATAATAAAACACACAGGATGTCGAATTTTATCCTCCCATCTCCCAAAACCATCACATCACTCATTTCTATCGCATGCTCAACCATTTAATATTTGATTAATTTGTAATTTAACATAATTTTTATTTAAGATATTATTCATACATGATAGTATAAATCTGTTAAAAAAATTTATCGAATTACATATTTTGAGAAAATTTGTCAATATTTTTAAGAAAATAACGGGTAAAAATAAATTTTGAATGATTTAATCAAACAAATGAAAGAAAAAAAAATATTATTTAATATAGTGATATCAATTTTTTAAGACTCAAATTTTTTGTTCTATCGTGCCTTCAGACACTGGTTATGATCCTTGTATAGTGTGTAATGGTCAAGTCTGATCTGCTATAAGTAACAAAAAGTCTCAAATTTAATATTTTTATATTTTTTAAAAGCATACCTATAGAATAGTTAAAACTCCAAAATAACTAAAATTTAGTTATTTAAAGACAAAAAAATTTTAACGAAAGTTGTTTAGAGTAAATAAAATATAATTTTTGCTAAAATGATATTCTATATAAAATTTCATTAGAAATGCTCTAAGGGACTATTTGGTCTGTTTTTTGAGAGGAGTTTGACTTGACTTGTCAAAATCCTTTCAAACATAGTGATGAGATTCAAAAATGAGATTCAACATTTAATATTGTCCATACCCATGTTTGATATGCGTAAGAATATATATGACTATTAGGATAATACATTTATATATAAATAACTATTGTGTCTTTTAACTAATTTGTATATATAAAATATATAAGATATATGTGGGTATAAATATCATTTTCATGTTAATCCATTAACTCACATAAAACCCACCCACCCCCTTGGATTTCATGAAATCTATCAACTTGAATTTCATGATTGGGCCTAAATTAGGTCGAATTTCAAAACCAAGACTCAATATGTATTTATGGAACGCGGGTTTAAAGGATTTATTTTTCAACTGATGTTCCAAAACCATCCCAAAAATACATACCAAACAAGTCATAAGTGCTCGTCTCGTACATTAGCACGTGGCTTAAACGGATCACCCTTCTTTCCGAAAACCTTTTCGTTTGTTGGACTAGATTACGGTAGCCAAATGGAATATTTCGTTTGCTAGGAATTACGTAGCTCTTTCTCAGAGCAGACACCAACAGAACCCCAAATTTTGGAATTGGGAAGTGTGATACGACATCGGAGTCACGTGCCGGTACACGGATCATACTAGATTTTGTCATTTTGACTTAACCCTTCAATCGAATCGAACTCTTCGACGGCGACCTCCACCGGCATCGATTCCATTAACTTCTGGTACCTATGAGATTTTCGCTTGCACGTCTGAACTTTGCTCAAATTTGCTTTCTCTCTCTCTCTCCGAACTAATGTTTCTGGTCTTTGCAGGGCTTGTTTAGATTTAGAGTAGAAAGGCAGAAATATGGCGATGTTCTTAGTGTCTCGTCGACTATCATCAGATGGATCGACAACGTCATTTTTAGAAGCTTCATTGCGTCACGCTTCTTGTTGGAGATCATTTTCAACGTCTTTCAGGGAGGAAAGAGATACATTCGGACCCATTCACGTTCCCTCCGACAAGTTCGTGCTTTCTTATCTTTCTCTTTTAGCTGCTGCTTCTTTTTTTTTCCCCAATATTTTCTTTTAACTTTTAGCGCGCACGATTGCAATATCAATATGCCGGTCTTCGCTGTTCTGTAAATTCCAGTGACGCGCTTGGATTTAGATTTCTTGTGCCAATTACTTGTCTTTTTTTTTGTTTAAATATCATGTCAAAATTCCAAATTTCCGTATACGTTTGACGTTTGATGCTAGAGTGCAGTTGTTTATGACAAAGTTCTATTGCGATTTAAATTCCTTTTATCTGAAACATTTAGTCAGGGGATACTTCAAATTTTTGTTGTGATATCTCCCAGGTTATGGGGGGCTCAAACTCAAAGATCCTTGCAGAATTTTGATATTGGAGGCGAACGTGAACGAATGCCTGAACCAATTATTCGAGCCTTTGGCGTCCTTAAAAAATGTGCTGCCAAGGTTGCTTATGAGTTATGAGTTTACACTTTTTAGTTGCAAATGCATCTACATTGCCTGCTAGTTCTCATTTTTGACCTCATGTCAAGATTGTGAAATTTAGTATCAATTAAATGTTTGAGATATTGTATTAATGTGTTAATGAGCTATACAAATTATCTGTCTGATTTTTTCAATTGGCTTACGTGAGATGAACTTATTGTCTTATATTGAAGGTGAACATAGACTATGGTCTTGATCCATCCATAGGGAAAGCAATAATGCAAGCCGCCCAAGAAGTGGCAGAGGGAAAACTAAATGATCATTTCCCACTAGTGGTATGGCAAACTGGCAGTGGCACTCAAAGTAACATGAATGCCAATGAGGTAATCTCAGGTGTATTATTTGTGTTGTTTAGCTTGTCATTGTTGGCATGCCGTTTAGATTGCTAGGATAACTTTTAACGGGTTAATTTTCCACGCTAACAATTGTGTCATTTGGTCCAAATTCAATAACGTTGTTATTTGTGGTCTTATATTTTTGACAAATTAACAAAATGTGAGTTTTGTGCCTTTCCAAAATGATTAACTTAGAAGTAACCCAATCCCGTGAAACACATGACCGAGGCTGCAAATCTTTCAATTTAGCCTAATTTTCTTGGAAAATCACCCAAAGAATTCTTTTAGGCATTTGCTTTTATGGATCAATCAGACATACACCCGAGCTGCAGATTTATTCTAGAGGACCTACATGGGTGAGGTTGGCTGAATCATCTGATTGGTGTTGATTAATGCTGTATCCTGGTCTGTTAATCATTTTTTAGCTGCGGAAATGTTATGGATTTCACGGCAGTGAAAATAGATTTTACTTGGTTGAAATTATATACATGGGATTTGTTGAGACCTTTGGCACTTATCCTTTGTTTTGCTTGGCCTAAGTAAGGAATTTTCCCATCTTCCCTTGTCATCCTTTTCAATACTGTTGTATTCAAGTTTCTTTTCACATCCTAGCTGCGTGTTACGTGTTATGGAGTTCTATGGCTTACAATAGTGGAGTTCTATGGGTAGATGTATAAACATAATTAATCTTGATAATCACTGTGGGGAATGACCTCGGGACCAGGTTGGTTTCTTGCGACCTTCCATGTTTCTGGCTTTCCACAGCAATGTTGTGATGATAACTTTAAAGTTTGCTGTATTGTCATGGTTGACACTTGCAACATACAACTGTGATGAAGTGGGAGTGCTACTTGTAAAGTACTGGATGGTGCCTGGTGCTTTTTCCAACTAGCATTGGTGCTTGAGCAATTGCTGTAGTTACCGGAGTCAAGCAAAAAAATTTACGATGTTTGAGCTAAAGCTAATCCTGCAGATAGTTTAAACCACTATTTCTGCATGTGCATTGTCTAATGTACAGGCTGGGATCAAGAGAGTTTGTACTGCATCTCAAAATATATGCGTGCTTTGACTGACTAACTGCTGGTGACTGGTGGCTGAGCCATTGTTGAACATACCATGTGGATGATTCTTATCAACCTTGCATGTTTGGTGGAATGTGGATACATATAAATATAATGCTCTGGCTGGGCCCATATTTCTTTCTTTGAGATGTTGCATATTGCCGTACAGTCTAATTGTGAGGATACAGGACCATTGATGCCTGTGTGTGTGTGTGTGTGTGAAGTGTTGTGTCTGCGGGTGACTGTACATGTGATCCACAACACCTACAGGTTGCTGAAACCTTTAGTTTGGTTTTCATTTAGTCATCACTAGGATGGATATTCTCATCAAAGAAGCCTATCTGTGAGATATTAATGGTTTTGGTCAATGTTTATTTTTGTCAATGAGGAGATGGTGACTTGTTGTATTTCACATCCATTAAACATATGTTTTGGTTTACATTGCATTATCTGTCCTTTGAAGGTTATTGCCAATAGAGCAGCTGAAATTCTTGGCCATAAGCGAGGTGACAAATTTGTCCATCCAAATGACCATGTGAACAGATCACAATCTTCTAATGACACATTCCCAACTGTGAGTACCTCTACGGAAACTGACTATAATTTTAAGTATCTGTGAACTGCTTAATCAATTGTCCTTGTTTGAACTGTCATTTGCTTTGGTTTTTAATATGTTACCTGGTTTTAACTTACAGGTAATGCATATTGCAGCTGCAATGGAAATGAATGGAAGATTAGTACCAAATTTGAAACAATTACACACTTCACTGCGTTCAAAGGTTTAACTATATCTTTGTTTATTTGGAAACAAACTGTAACTGATAGCATACTTTGTCTGGTTACTGCTTCATGTCAAATTAAGAACACCTGCTGATTTAAGCATTGTAAATATCTTTTAACTGGTTAGGGATTGATGCATCACTATTCAGTGCCAAGACATGACTTCACATTGGCTATGTCAATCCGAAACTAGAAGTCAAAGATCGCCCTCCATCTATGATCGTACTTTAATTCGTTACTGTATGGCTTTCGTTGCACATATATATGACTGACCATACCTATTCCATGCTAGACTATAGGCATGCTATAGAGAAGGGTTTCCACAGGTGGGGCCATTTTTCCTTTTTCCTCTTTGTGATCTTGCCTTGCACTGAAAGTTGTTTAGATTGGTTACAAATCTTATCAGTTGGTGGCTTAACAGTTGAACACAATTGTAAGTGAATCATACTTTTTCTTTTTTAGGTGATAAAATCCAACCTTTTCAGATTAACTAGTTACCTTTTGTTTGAAAATTTATGCTGTTTTGCTACGTGATTTAAGTTGATGCCATAAATACAATACTCATGTTTTATGTAACACGTGATGTGTATAATCTTGATGATTATCATAGAAAAAATCCTTACAAATGTCATATACCTAGATGAAAGGATTGCTCAAATCATTTGCGAACTAAACAATTGTGAAAAGGCCACTGCCTGTTATGTCCTTGTCGGAGAAATTGGGAGTGGGCTGACTAGCTATAGTATACACTTATACATTGAACATATTTTCATATTTAAATTTGGATCCCCAATCTTCCCATTGTTAACCTAGTAAACCACATGTTTTATAAATTATTCCTTCAAAAGAAAGGTAATTGATGCCTATTTGAACCAGCATTGAACTTTGGCTTAGGCCATAGCTGAGTAAGAATTGCATCATCTGCAGAAATTAGTCATGAAACTTGAGCATCAGCATGGCAATATTGGCATAAGTCTTGGGTCTAGCAACCTTATAACCAGGGGGATGATTTGACAGTGGACAGTCCTATCCTTTTTTTTTACTGTTAAGCAACAAGAGGAATTTAACTAAGAATTAAAAAGTTGCTACATGAAGGATGATTGATCCTCCAAAAAGTGAAAATAAAGGAAAAAATAACCAACAAAAAAAGTTTGACCTCGAAAAACAGATCTCCAATCTGTTGGGAGAAGTCGAAACCCAAAAAGAAGCCAAGAATCTAATTCTTCCAAAACTACCTTCTGGAAAAATTATTGGTCAAAAACCATCACTATTTTGCGGCTCCTGATCATCCTGCAATACTAGTTGTGAAGGCGAGCCGATAACTGCTCTGCCCTTGTCAAACTTCTGATTCTATTTAACTTCGTATGGCACTTTGAGTTTTGTGCTTGTCTGACAGTTTCATGCCATATTAAATTTTCGTCATTTTCTTAAAGATTTCACAGGCCATTATATACCAGTTTTGTGAAGCTCTGTTCAGATAATTCCCTTTTAGTGTGTTATTATCAGTTCTCGTAGATGCTGTGATTCCGAAAAGGTATCATTAGATTCATTGTTCATCGGAATGCATTTACCTAGTTATAACTACTTTGTAGACTACAATGTATGATGATAAATTACATGGTCATACGAAATGCTATTCCTTTTGTCTTCGATCATTGTGAAGAAATTGTATGATCAGGCAGTATTTTTATTTATAAGTTTGGTCATGACTTTTTCTTTCGTGACAGGATTTTTTTTAATGCTCTGGCCTCTGTATTCATGCACACCCACATCATATGTCATGGCAGTAGTACAACTGCAGCATAACCTATTTTTCTAATTATTTTGTGGATTATGTTTTTACCAGTCAATTGAATTCAAAGACATTATTAAAATTGGGCGTACTCACACTCAAGATGCCACACCTTTGACACTTGGGCAAGAGTTTAGTGGCTATACCACACAAGTAAGTTTTCATCACTTTCACCCTCTCTGGTATTGGTTGTTACTATTCCAGTAGATTTGAGTCAGCTCCTGAAAGGGTAGCATAAGCCCCTATGTTGGGATGGACTCATGAAAGTGATGCTCAATGATTGCAGGTGAAGTATGGAATTGATCGAGTCACGTGCACTCTCCCTCGGATGTATCAGGTTTGTTACTAATATTTCTTAGGTCTTAAAAGTTGCATGTTTCCTCTCACCCCCAAAAACAAGGACAACGACGCTCCAATATGTTCTAACAGATTGGAGATTTCATTTGAGCAGCTTGCACAGGGTGGCACTGCTGTAGGGACTGGATTGAACACAAAGAAAGGGTATGCCTTGAAATGTTTTCTGGTTGAAGCAATTGCTTTGCGTTTCCAGTCATCTGACCCCTTTCGGTGGTTATGCTTTGTCTCCTGCATCATGTGCGAGAACTGTTTTCCTATTTTTTTTTTGCTTCATCTCTGATAGTATGAGCTGCCCGCAATCGACGTTCTTCCAGTAGGGCTTGTTTAAGACAAGTTTTTTTGGATGATTATCACCTACAGTTACACTTTTTTTGTGTTGTGTTACAAGAATTTTTGGTTGTGTTAAAGAAAAACTATTGTACATGAAAATACTGGATACAAGTAAAAGGCAGTCATCAATCCAGTAGGATTGAGGGCTGCCTTTTTTTTGTTTTATTGTATTCGTACTGGTGGATGAGAATAAAATCCACGGAATTGTATGTTTGACTTATTTAACATGGATTTTACAATTGATTGGATGATTTATATACTGGTCCAGCTTTTCAAGGCTTAGCTATGCAATCGTGCAGTACCAAACAGCCTAGCAGCCACTAGGCCCCATGGACACTTTTGCATTGAAGTTGACATTTATTTTGTGCTCAAGAAATAGACATACTATAAGCAGCCATATAAATCTCCATATTGGGGCTTTGGATTGAAGAACGGGAGGCAAAGCAGAGATGAAGAATAATGGAGTGCCCAACATTCTGTATGCTAAGCTCAACTCAGCAATAGTCCCAATTATTTGGGGTTGCCTGCATGTATTCATTTATAGTTAGCTCTTGGTGTAGCCATCTTCTAGTAAAAACACAGATTTGATTTGTTGGTTAAAACGAGCACAAAACTCTATAATGTCCTGTGAGATACAAAATCCTTGGATACCTTCCTTGGGCGTAGAAGTGATACTGGAAGAGTCCCTTTCCTACTTAAAGTTTGGAAAATCATGCCGTCTCTTGCGCGCTTCAGGCCTTTACATCCACCTTTTTTCTTTTGAGTGTATGCATGCATCCTCAACACCTCTGAACATGCTATCTTTTTTTTTTTTTTTATCTTCTAGCATTTTATTTTCTTCTGGTTAAACCTCTGAACATTTCATTTCCATCGCTTGTCATATGCATGCACTCATTTTTCTTAGACATTTCACAAACTGGCATTAATGTTGTTGCTCAGAGCTGTTGATTGACTATAAGAGTGATAATCCCTAGAAGTAGATAATTGCTTATGTTGATCCCCCCTTCCTTGGGATGGGCCCCCTGGGATCCCAATAAGACGGTATCTGCTAAATCTTCCTAGACACGTGCAGTCAATGCCCATCACACACGCATCAGATAGCACTCACTTGTATAACATCCAAGGGGACGTAACTATGGGGTATCACTTGAATTGAGGACCTCCAAATAAATGATGAATATGCCAATGGATGACTTGTTTGCTCTGGCCAATTTTTTTTATTCTGGTTAATGCACTTGATATTATTCTTTGACGTACCAACTGGCCAAGAACAGGGCATTTCCGAAAATAGTTGTTATTTATTACATAATGTATGTCTCTATTTGCATAGAGTTAACTGTTGGGCTTCCTTGGTCAAGGATGCTGAGAGAGGCTAACTGAGAACAGGCCAAACCTCCAATGTTATTTGCATGAAGTGGCTGCCATCTGACTAAAACTTTTCTTCTCATGGTGAAGGCCCAGTTTTTATCATAACACCAACAACGGCTCTGCGTCAGTATCCATGTAGTGTTAAGTACATACTTCATTTAGATTACATTGCTATAATGTAGTATCATGTAAATTCACCATAAAGGGTATGCTGCATTGTGATGTATGGTTATGAAGACCAAAACTTGACCAAGGGCTGCTAGGATGTACATCTTTGATTACTTTTTTGTTGATATTTTGCTATTGTGAATGCCTGGGAAAATGCCTGGTGCTTATCACAATAATTGGGGATGTTAGACAGAAAATTCTCGGGGGCAGATAGTTAATCTGCTTTTGTACTGTTTGCGAAATTACACCCTCTGGTTAGAATGACTAAAGTGCTTTGTCACCTGGCCATAGGCATCTCAACCTTTGCCAATATTTGGCTAGAAGTGTCTCTTTATCATTTCCTCTTTAATGCATTGATCATATTCCGTATTGTCCATTTTTGTTTTTTGTTGTTTGCTTGGTTTGATACGAGGTCAATCTGTGATTTTTGTTCAGGTTTGATGTGAAGATCGCTGCAGCCGTAGCTGAGGAAACCAAATTACCATTTGTAACGGCTGAAAACAAGTTTGAAGCACTGGTTAGTATCTGTTTATCTTGAAGTACTTTCTGTCTTTCTTATTAGCTTTTTAGAAGCAAATACAATTGCCTGTCTAATCGCCAGTTATCTTGGGAGACCCCAAAATTTTTGACTAACAGAACTATTGAAGTAAGTTTCACTGCGAGTTTCTTAAGTGAAAAAATCTGCTCCCATGTATGATTTTCAACATGAAAATATTTACACAAATTCCCAAGATAATTTTCACGGAAAATGTGATACTATATCCAATCTAGGTTGCATGAAAGTTCCCAATCTCTGCCTTATTACTAACAATTATTGTTGTTAATAGATTCCATATTAATTGCACAAAGAATTATTGTTGTTAATAGATTCCGTATTAATTGCGCATATTTCAGTTGGTAAAGACATTACTTATAACTATTCTAATAATTGATTTTGTAAATTTCTTCCACTATTTATTTTAGGTAAAAGAACTGCAAATAATCGATCATGAAACAAGGTTGCTCAAAAAATCATTTACTAAAGAGTTAATTGAATCATAAGATATTAATTATTTTGGGTTGCTGTATTCTCAATGTTCACACTTTATATTTGTATTATCTAATGACATATTGTCTATGATGTTATGTTTCTCATGTTGCCAGGCTGCGCATGATGCTTTTGTTGAAACCAGTGGAGCTCTAAACACGATTGCTGTGTCTCTAATGAAGATTGCAAACGATATACGCTTGTTAGGAAGGTATGTTTGTTAGTTGGATTACCTCCTTTTCCTCATTTTTTTCCCCGGAGTTTTTACATCCTTTTCCCTATTCAGTGGTCCACGTTGCGGTCTTGGTGAACTCATTCTTCCTGAAAACGAACCTGGCAGCAGTATCATGCCTGTAATTTCTCCGATATTCGCTTTTTGAATAAATATGTCTACATGAATACAAGCCTAATGGCTAGATTTGGCAACTTCTTTTCGCCTTTGATGTTATATTATTCGAAATTATTCTTTCAGGGTAAGGTGAACCCTACTCAGTGTGAGGCTCTTACAATGGTCTGTGCTCAGGTAAAATTTAGCAAAATTACTCTGGCTTGTTTATATGGTCAGGTTAGAAAATAAATTAGCTATTTAGTTTTAGATTTGAAATATTGCTTCTATTAGATCAGAAGATCATGTATTTGTTGTAGCCGGAACAAGAATTAGTTGGCATCAGAATTTGTCTAGTTCTTTGCTGGTGTAATCAACCAATCTGTTTTACCTTGCAGGTTATGGGAAACCATGTGGGTATTACAGTGGGCGGATCAAATGGCCATTTTGAGCTGAATGTATATAAGCCTATGATCGCTAGTTGTCTCCTACATGTTAGTTTCTGTTTTCCTTTCTATTATTTATGATTGTTATGCTGCAGTAAAGCATGCAATTTTAGAGCTGATGTTCCTCTTAGGAGGCACCAAAGTTATGGAATTGGACTTTTACTTCAACACACTCGAAAGTATTTTTGTTTTAGTAGATATTATAATTTTTCGGACATCCAGCTGAATATATGATTTGGAATTTTATGTCCCACTATTTAATCGAGTGCTCATTACCCCCTACTTATTGAATGTTTTAAATGTATTTCTGACAGTCACTGAGGTTGCTAGGTGATGCGTCGGCCTCATTTGAAAAGAATTGTGTGAGGGGAATTCAAGCTAATAGGGAAAGGATTTCAAAACTACTACATGAAGTACGTTGGTTAAGGGTATATGGAGAGTAATATTTTTTCTTAATTATATGCCAAAGCCCAAGTTTGACTGATCCTTTTTTTTTAATGTGCTTGCAGTCACTTATGCTTGTCACATCTTTGAACCCTGTAAGTTTTTACTTGCCCTTTTTCCCTGTCCTTCTCCCCCCTTGTTCGATTCAACATTCTCTTCAGTTTCAGGTCAATCATAACTGAACCGTTGTTTGTTTTAGAAAATTGGTTATGACAACGCAGCAGCAGTTGCCAAAAAAGCCCACAAGGAGGGAAGTACTCTGAAGGTGATGGCCATTCCCCATTTTGTATGCATTACTGAGACGTCTTTCTGCAACCTAAATCTCTCTTCGTAGTTTGTGTTAGAAATATTTTTATCTTTTAACATATATTTGCCAAAAAACTTGAATATGCTGAAAACTAAGATCTTCTTATGCCAAAAATGTTCAATTCTGCAGGATGCTGCTTTGACTTTAGGAGTGCTCACCCCTGAAGAGTTTGATAAACTCGTAGTGCCAGAGAAAATGATCGGTCCCTCTGACTGACCAGCTCAGGAAGATTCAGGCTTCTGGTTAATATATACCAGTGGGAATCGAGAATAAAACTTGAGTGACACTATTTTTCTTCACTTCCATTAGACGATATTCTTGAGGATTTCTCAACTGTTGGCTAGTGCCTTCCGGGCCAATCCCATGATACAGGAGTCTATTCGGTTAGTATGGGGAAGGCCTCCGTAATTTAAATGCTCATTAAAACTAATGAAATTATTCATAGATGAGGGAGGATCTTGGCGCAACGGTAAGGTTATTCTATTGTGACTTGGAGGTCACAAGTTTGAGTTGCAGAAACAATCTTTCTGTTTACAAGGACTGCGTATATTTAATTTTTCCTAGACTAATAATGGGAGTCTAGTGTTTACGTTTTTTTAATCATAAATGAGTGTAATTTCTTTCAAAATAATAATGGAATGGTTCTTGGATGAGATATTATATCGAGTGTTTTTGTTTATCTCTTGCTTTCCCAGTTTGGTGTTCATCTTTGATGGTTCAAGGTTGGCTATTTATAAGTATATAATAAAACACATAAGAAGTTGAATTTTATTCTCTACATATTTTTTTTTCTAAAATTATTGCATCATTCATTTTTATTACATGTTTAATTATTTAATATTTAATTAATTTATAGTTTAGCATAATTTTTATTTTAGACATTATCCATACATGATAGTATATATTTGTTAAATTTTTTTTATTAAATTATGAATTTTGGAAAAAATATCAATATTTTGAAGAAAATAATAGTTAAAAATAAATTTTGAAAGAAATAAAAATTTATTATTTAATATGGTGAGATAGATTTTTTGAGAACTTGAATTTTATGTTTTAGCGTGTTTTTATGCAAGTGTTATAACTAATATATATATATATATATATATTATTGGTGGACTTGCCAAATAAATTTTATAATTTGCACGTACAAGTGGACAATGGGTAACCTAACCATAACATATCAGACCAAAAGTAAGTTTGGTAGAAGGTAGGTGAACACTATTAGACTAGTCAAAGGATTAAATTTTATTTGTTTTCAGAATTTAGTTTATTTTTTTTACAAATATCTCACAGTTATCATTTTTACAAATCATATATGAATGAATTACAAATTAAAAATTTAATGTTATTCGAATAGATTATAATTGGATTTGCACTTGGATCAAATTTTAATGAAAAAGGGTAGGATATTTGATGTGATTGATTTTTCAGCATTAAAACAAAATTCATCAACAATCCAATTTTGTTTTGATTTTTCAGCATTAAAACAAAATTCATCAGCAATCCAATTTCCACAATGTTTTAGGCATGGCATGTTCTGAACCACACACGAGCTTTCAAATTCAATGCATTGGAAGGGGGATAAAATCGAGTAAGAAGTCCGGGACACTTAACCAAAAAAGTAGAGGGGCAATGGTGTCCACACTCAGTCAGGGGTACATTGTATCTGTTCTTTTATCTATTTGTCATTTGTTGACCATCCAACGCATTACACGTGCGAATGGTGGTGGTTCACGCAGTGGATCCGAAGCAGTCCTCTCAACTCAACGCAAGTGCGTTGCGCCTCCGTCTTTAGCCTTTAGCATCAGTGCGTGTTCGTCGCCATATTGTCCGTGATACCTTTTGCTTTGATACACTTCCCTCCACTTTACTCCCTTTCCTCGTTCTCTCTCTCTCTCTCTCATAGTTTGGAGTAAAAAAAGAGATCAAATACTCAGACAGTGCGAAACAAAACAATGCGGACGAGAAGTTGTTCAGATCACAGGCTTTAATTCTTGTTTATTCAGGTAATTATGTCTTGTTTTTTTTGTTATTTTCTGACGCTTTTAGTGAATTATTGCTCCGTTTGGCTTCCGAGAAAATTTGAGCAATATAAAGAAAGAAGCAATATATTCACTTCATATCCAGAAAAAAATTCGAGATTTCAAGTTTCTTTTGTTTCTTTAACTCAAATTTTCTCAGTAGCAATACGGAATTATATTCTCGTGCTTTTTATTCCTTGTTATTGAATCTTTGAATAAAACTTATGCGACTAGTCTGATTTGTTAGCATTATATCTGTTAAACTGCTACGTGATTGACTTATCGGAGCTGACCATTACAAACTTGATGATAATAATTTTGACTTTTTTGCTTCTTTTTTTTTTTGTTAATTTTAGAAAAGAATTACTAACTATTGTTTGCAGTACATTAAATTGTTAAAATAGTAAAATAAGTTAAAAGTTGATCAGCGATGTGCATAATTTCTCTTGTGAAATTTCCGTATAAGAGAACTGATCGGTATATAAGGAGTGGAAACTAGGTGGAACGCCTCAAAAAAAAATCGATACCCAATCGGTAGAATCAAAACAAAACTCCGTTCCTTGCTTTTGGGGTGTAAGTATCCTCTAACCAATGCTGAAATCAATTTTACTGGTTACAAGCATATATAGGTCAGGCGAGTATCAGAACAACCTTTTATTATCGGCAGACAGAATTATGTGAAAGGAAGATGGTACTGATTTCTTGTAACCAGTGAACATTGACAACTGTGCATACATCTTCAATTTTACAATTTTTTGTGCGTTATGTGCATATCTTTATATTATTCGTTGTGGCACTATTTGAGAGTCTAGTATAGTGTCTAATATTCGTCTCCCTAAGTCAGTGAAATCAATATGGATGGTCCTTAGCAATTTAGTGCCAATTACTTTATAAAGGGCCTTTTGTAGTGGTATCTGATTTTACACAAAATTTCCTAGCAAATTTCAAGAATTTGGTACAAAGTTTCGCGGTAAGTTGTTAAAAGGCGGAGCTGTGCTGTTTGTCTCCCATGCCCTTGCTCCAAGCCATGCGAGTTGTTGGTCTTGGGTCTTGTTACAACTACATTTTTTCCCTTATCATTATCTGGTACCAGTGGTTTTGTAGGGGGTTGTTATGAGCTTTCCTCCACATAGCAAGAAAAGGGTTCTTCTGATCTTAGGGTTCTTGGAATTTCGAAGAAGATATGGCGGTTTAGTATTTTAATATCTCATCTCATTTACATTCAAGTGGAAACATGGTGCCATTTGTTTGGCATTTTTTCGTCTTTGCTTTGTTTATTTATTTATTTGAGGGGAGGGGGGGGGGGGTGTTTGCGCATAGACAAGAGCAGTGCATTACCATTTGAGGGCAGGGGGATTTTATTTAAATGATCTTTCAGGAAGGGACAGTTCAATCCCCTGTCCTTTTAGTGCTAATGGGTTCTTCCCTCCTGGAGATCCTACAAATCCCATGAAGGGCTTCTTTTCTTCGTCTTTTTCTTCTTCTCTTTTCTATAACTCGTCATTGTCACTGTTTGCGGTATGGCGCAGCTTCCTAAAGCTTTGTAATTGTAAGAGTCATGTCAACTTCTAAATTGGCCTGAAATACAATCTGCAGAAACTTCTGATCAAATATTTTCAGTTCCATCAGCACTATGAGCATTGCATTCTTCATGCAGATGGAAGGCATTGGAAACAGAATTAGAGGGCTCTATATATGAGTGACTATTTTGGCCAAATGCTTTTCCAGTCACCATTATGCAGTGTTGCTCATGATGAAACTAAGTTTGTCTGCTCTTCACTCTTTATAATGAATCGCATCTGTTGATAATCCCTCTTTCAAAAAGCATAGCTTGCCTTAGTTAACCTAGAAAGTTTAAATTAACTTTGTTGAGTTGGCTAAATGATAGCTTTATAATTCCTCCTTCAACAAGTATAGTTTGCCTCGGTTAACCTAGAAAGTTTAAATTGACTTTGTCGACTGGGCTAAATGATAGCTTACAAATGATGTTGTGTTTTTCAGATTCTCTGGGGCAGTTGCTGGATAATGGAATCCTGCGATTGCATTGAGACTCAATGGCCAGCTGATGAGCTCTTAGTGAAATATCAATATATATCAGACTTCTTTATTGCCTTCGCATATTTCTCCATTCCCTTGGAGCTTATTTATTTTGTTCAAAAATCTGCATTCTTCCCATACAGATGGGTGCTAATGCAGTTTGGTGCTTTCATTGTACTTTGTGGAGCAACCCACTTTATTAATTTGTGGACATTCTCCATGCACTCCAAAACTGTTGCTGTGGTGATGACTGTAGCAAAAATGGCTACCGCTTTTGTATCATGTGCAACAGCTCTGATGCTTGTTCACATAATTCCTGATCTGCTAAGTGTTAAGACGCGCGAATTGTTTCTGAAGAACAAGGCTGAAGAGCTTGACAGGGAGATGGGCCTCATTATAAAGCAAGAAGAAACTGGTAGGCATGTCAGAATGCTGACTCATGAGATCAGAAGCACACTTGACAGACACACAATATTGAATACTACTCTCATTGAGCTGGGTAGGATGCTAGATCTAGAGGAATGTGCTTTATGGATGCCATCTCGAGGAGGTCTGAATTTGCAACTCTCCCACACTCTAAACAATCTGATACAACTCGGATCTACTGTGCCAATCAATCTTCCCATAGTCAATGAAGTTTTCAGCAGTGGTGAAGCAATAAGGATTCCACATACATGCCCACTGGCAAGGATCCGGCCTCCAGTGGGAAGATATGCTCCACCTGAAGTTGTTGCTGTTCGTGTACCTCTTCTACATCTCTCAAATTTCCAAATTAATGATTGGCCTGACCTTTCTGCAAAAAGTTATGCTGTGATGGTTTTGATTCTGCCAATGAATGGTTTAAGAAAATGGCGTGCCCATGAGTTGGAGCTCGTGGAAGTTGTTGCTGACCAGGTTTATATGATCTACTTTACTCTCTTCGCATCTGCCTATAACTTTTATTCCTACTGTTAAGTCATGAAGTGGCTTTTAGTGGCCGTATTATAGTAGTTACAATGCCACGTTAGGTTCTTCAACAGAAAATTTTCAGTAGAGCATTCTGAACCATGTCATATGATCGAGCATTGAAAGCATGCAGGACAATTTGCACACTTCTGTAGATGCTTATTTTTACGAAAGATATCTGCAGAGCAGTTGCACACTGCTGAGGATGGCAGAATTCAATGAAATGATAATGAAAATTTAAAATCAATGTTGACTTATAAGGCCCCAAATCAGCCCTGTTTTACCAAGGTGTTGATGCTCCCCCCTACCATCACCTTTATCCTTCCCTTCTCCCATCTATTAGCTTCTTTTTCCTATATGGTTTTATTCCTTGTCCAGTTCACTTGGAATCCACATGATTGCCATCAGATTGTGTCATGCTTAGTCTACTGTGATTTTTTGCACAGGTTGCTGTTGCTCTTTCTCATGCTGCAATTCTTGAAGAGTCCATGCGGGCCCGTGATCAGCTCATGGAGCAGAATCTTGCTTTAGATTCAGCTCGACAAGAAGCGGAGATTGCGATCCGTGCTCGCAACGATTTTTTGGCTGTGATGAACCATGAAATGAGGACACCAATGCATGCGGTTATTGCATTATCTTCATTACTTTTAGAAACTGAATTAACTCCAGATCATCGGGTTATGATTGAGACCGTACTAAAGAGTAGCAAGCTTTTGGCAACACTCGTTAATGATATTCTAGATCTTTCTAGACTTGAGGATGGCAACCTAGAACTAGATACTGGAACATTCAATCTTCATGGAGTGTTTAGAGAGGTAATTTTCCCAAGTTTCGCAACCAAGTACTTCATATCTACTGCTACAAATTCAGGACATAATCCTGGACATCCTGGCAGCTTATTTACAGACATCGTGATATTGCCATTGGTTTTCCTGAAATTGCAGGTCATCAATCTAATAAAGCCTATTGCATCTGTAAAGAAGTTATCTATGACATTGGCTTTGGCTCTGGATCTACCTGTCTATGCTGTTGGTGATGAGAAACGAATTATGCAAATTATCTTAAATGTTGTGGGCAATGCCATTAAGTTTACAAAACAAGGTTATGTTTCAATCGAGGCTTCCATTGCGAAACCAGAGTATTTAAGAGACTGGCGACCTTCTGAATTCTATCCTATGTCGAGTGATGGCAACTTCTACTTATGGGTGCAGGTTGAGTATTCCTTTTTCACTCCATCAGGCTATAGATTAAGTGGCCTTTCCATCCATATTGTGTCTACGGAGGTTGCGAGGTTAATGCATCCATTCATGTGTTATACATGATTGTTTATCATTCAGTCGCCGACAGACGTCTAGACTTATTGCATTTGATTATATGTGTGTGTGTGTGCCTTTTTAAAAAAAAAATATATTTATACATATATATATAACGATGCCTCCCAGCCAAATTTGAAGTTTGCGTAGTTTTAGCTCCATCGGTATCAGGGTAGCCAATATCCGGAAGTGAATGTTTAATTGCTAAAAACTTCCAATGGGGGCAAAAAGGAAATTTTAATGTTGACAATATCAGGTCCCGTGTTATCTATTTTTTCATCATACCCTGTGGACGGATGGCTACTGCTTTACCTATAGTATTGAAACTGCTGGTTAATACTTGAAATTCTTTCTTGCAGTTTTGAAATTGATTTAACTACCTTTCCATCTCTCTCTCTCTCTCTCCAGGTTAAGGATTCTGGCTGTGGTATTATCCCGCAAAATATTCCACTACTTTTCACCAAATTTGTTGAGTCTCGAAGTGCATCAAGTCGGAGTAATGGTGGTGCATGTCTTGGACTCGCCATTTGCAAACGGTATGCTTGTGAGTTATAAATCAGTAATTCATATTATACATTTCACAGTGTTCTGATTTGGCGTCCCCTTACTTTGTGATGGTGATTCCAAGTTTCCAACCTCTTAAATTTTTTATGTTTAATAAGTAGTTCCGTCAATTTGGCACCTAAAATTATGAGGGTCACTAAATATTGCTTTGCTTGCTTTGGATACGTTCTTATGTTGCTTGTCTTTGAATTTTTGGATAATTAGCTCCGAGCATCTTTTGTAAAACTTATTTGGCTATAAATACTATTTTCAAACTTATACTCCATTAAGTCTTCTTTTTTATCAAATAGTTGTCAATAAATACACATTTTAAAATATTTCAAATTCTTTTTGAAATGTATTCCATAATTACCCTTAACACAATTTTCAAGTTAGGAGTTGTTATATTTGAAAACATTGAAACTAAATAAAATACTTAATTAAAAATTTAATCATTGCAATAGAATGACACCATATGTGAGTATTTATTCTGTTGCGGGGTGTCACTATTACAATGATTAAATTTTTGTTGAACATGTTACTGTTTGATATTATTTTTTTGTTGAACATATTACTGTTTTGAATTTACTATTTTTTTTGTTAAGTGTGTTAATGTTTAATATATATATATATATATTAAAAAGAATATAATTTTAATGTTAACACAATTTCCAAGATATGAGCTGTTAATACTAATACAATTCTCAATATAGAAGTTGTTAGTTTTTTAAAACAAGTTTTGACTAAATATAACTATTGAGGATATTTTGGATATGTAGATCAAAATTGACTTATTCCCAAATAAGTGTTTTGAGTGTACTTAAGCGTAAATAAGTCTACAAAAAGGGATTGGCCTCCCTAAGGCCCTTGAATTATTTCACTCACCTTCTCAAAATGATGGAAACAGGTTCGTGAAACTCATGGGAGGTTACATTTCGATAGAAAGTGAGGGCCTAGGCAAGGGTAGCACAGTTAAATTTGTCGTGAAACTTGGAACCTGCGGCAACCCAAATGAATCAACAATGCAGCAGATGCTTCAAGATAGAGCAAACCAAGGTAGTGGTGATCTCATCGGAAATAGGCAGGTCCTCAAAAATGACAATGGGATGGCCTCTTCAGTTCCACGCTATCAAAGGAGTCTTTAGGTGACAGCAGCAGTAGTTCTGGTAGAACTGGACCCAGTTTGTGTAAGCAATGAATTCCTTTTCTTTAACCATTTTTTCCATGCGTCAAACAACCGAGGGGGAAAATATATCACAGCAACCTGATCATATCTCTGCGTTCTAACAATTCAACTGTTCTCATAAAACCATATCAGGCTAAAATCCTTTTTCAGTTTCAGTGTGATGTATGAACACAATTTAATGTGCCTCTGGGGAGTGCTATATGGTGGGTAAAATGATGCATATCATTCACATATAAGATTGAAATGATGTTGCACTGCACCGACGCTTTCGGTTCCACCATATGCATAAGTTGGGCTTTCGAGTTTAGCAAGGTACGTAAATTTTCATCTTCCAATTCATTAGGGAATCAGAGACGGTTTCTTTTCTGGTCCAAGCATTATATAAACATTTAAGTGGACATAACATGAAGTTTTTCCACTCCCGCCAGGACGTACGGCAGATTTTTTCAGCATCAAACTGTGCGGTAATATATTGCAGCCATTGTACACGGCATTCCAAGAGTTGTGTGTAAATATATCGATAGCTAGGCCTGGGAGGGCCATATTTGCTGTAGAAGTGAAAGACCATCAAGGAGAATCCACAACGACGCAACCTCCCTAACCTCGTCCGTATGGGCTAAATGAGTCAACCTCCCCGACATAGGATCACTATAAATTCATCATATGTATTGAACTACATGGCATTCCAAGATTTTGGGTTGTTTCTTTCCTTCAGTACAACGAAAATTACCCATCAATTTTGTTTATTGGAAACTCAACAGAGCATGAAATGGCAATATAAGTGACCTAAAGAGAGCTCGACACCAATGCTCCGCCCAACCAGTGGCACATGCATTCAGATGCACAATTGCATCCTGCCAACATTCACACCAAACATCCCCCTCAACCAAAAACTAGATAAAGAGAAATGCATTGATTGTGGAAATTAAAACCAACAAAACGGAAAACAAAACAAACTCAACTGAAACATAGTATCAAGATATTAATTTATTCCTTTCATCCAGACGAAAAACGTTCCATAGAAAGGAAACACCAAAAACAAAACACGGGGACAAAAAACAGCTAGACAATATGGAGTCACTAATCCTTTAATGCACACATTCAAAGATATCACTTCTTTGACTTCGTAGATTTCCTGTACACAACAGCAAATGTTATTAAACCATATTATCCTAACAACTTGATCCACCTGAACAATGCATCTACTGAATTACTTACTGAGTGGGTTGGGCAGGAGGCGCTGCTGCCGGCTGTTGTGGTTTCTCTCCTGGTCCCTGTTTGTGTTCAAAAAGGAAGGAAAGGAATTAGCTCAATATTAATTATAAGGGAAAACTTGACCTCAATACAATACAGTTAAGCAGAAAAGTCGCACAGTTTAGACAACTTGGGGGGGTTCACAAGGCAATTAGGCATGAGATGAATACATCATCCTCCAAATTTTAGACTTACCTAGTTTGAACAAGAAGTAACTGAAAAGCCAATTTATATCTGCATGTAAAAGATCATCTACTATCATGCTAAAAGGGCAGTTAAGAAAGGGTCGTGGTTGGGGAAAGAGCATTTAGGTGGAATCCATTTCTTAACAACACATAAATGAAGTATATTGGAACCCAAGAGAAGGAGGCTTCCAATGTAAACTATGCCCAACCAATTCTTAACATTGGGGGTGCTCATTTTGAGTGGGTTCCAAGGAGAGGGTGAGGTGTTATGGGAATACCTTCATGTTCCTCGCACACCAATTAACAGTCTACACCATTCTCCTAAACAACCCCATTCTAAGCATATTTTCTGTCGTAATCTTATTAAGATGGAGGACTCCAATAAACCATTTTCACATATCTTACCTGGGCTAAACGTTCCTCCCTCCTGGCATTCTTCCTTTCCCTGCTTGCTTTGTTCTTTGCACGCTTAGCCTCAAACTGATCAGACAAGGTCTTCTCTCTAGCCTTTTCAGCCTTGGATCTGTGGATGCTCTCCATCAGCACACGTTTATTCTTGAAAACATTACCCTTCACCCTCATGTACATGTCATGATACATGTGCTTGTCAATCTTCTTTGACTCCCTATACTTGCGAAGCAAGCGCCTAAGGACCCTCATTCTCCTCATCCACAAGATTTTTGTCGGCAACCTTGCTTCCCTTGTACCCTTGCGCTTACCTGAAATCATTTGAGAAAACAGCATTAAAATCCAGGCTCGTCTCTCCCCCTTTCGACCATAAACAATGAAATACATCTGAGACACAACTGGAGAAGATACTGACTGGTCGCAACAATAGTTGCAGATAAGGTTTCCTGTTAAGTTCAGCAAATTTCCAGCTACGTCACATCTAAGGAAGAAATAATGTCTAGCATAACTACCCAGAGATAAGATAAAGAAAATTTTAAAATTTCAACCAGAATTGAGATGATTTTGGTTTCATACTCTAATACCTAAAACTTCATCATGTTACAGCTTTAATTAAGTACAGTTTAAAACAAAGTGGTCGGCCTCTAAATTCAACACAACATCAAGAAGGTTACTGAGTCCAAAATACCATCCGCACCAGCCATGTTACCAAAATCAAAATCCCCTCTAAGCAAACTCAAACTCTAGTTATTCTAATAGATAGAATGCTATACCATATCCAGAGTGACGGCCCTTTCTCTTGGCCTCCTTCATCCGGCGTGCACGAGATCGTGAATGAATCTTAGTTGGTTTCCGGATGATAAAACCATCCTTAACCAGCTTTCTTATGTTTTGCCCTGTACACAACCAAGCCAAAAACATACATCAGCACCACTAATACCCAGGGACATCAAGCATGATTGCAGCAGGTATAGATGATTATACAAAAGCAAAACAAACAATCACATGTTTTCAAAACATGAGGCATGCAGTTGCTACGCAGCAATCACAAATAATGTTCATCTTAGCACGTTGTCAAACTCTTAAAACATTTTGGCTAGTGCAACAGCAAATTTGTGCACAGGTTTCAGCTGCGAAAGAAAATAACAAAAACGATGGAATTGAAATCGCAACCAAATATAGCAGTAACATGTTCATCTCAGCCCGAATATGGTTTTTTTGACTTATCGAGTGTAAAATATCTTCGGACTACAGATTTCACTACAGAAGTAAACTGCAACACCATTTACAGAGATGAGACAAACAAAAAGTTTAAACACCGACGACGATATATCAATAATTGTTAATTGGAGGTTTGCAATATAAGAAAACTACTCTGCCTGCACATATGCACGCCCATTCTTGTATTGTATATTACTTCTCCAACTCTAGGTACAACTTCAATTCAAATCTTCTGGAATCGATATTTGTTTGTATGCATTTGCCTATATACAGATCCACCGTAACAATTTCAAAAAGTAAATTTCAGTTGTGCATAATTGTATATACATCTATCTAAGACTGCAACTGTACATACGAACCAAAACAAAGAATGTAAACAACTGAACATGTAATAGGAAATAAATCGATCAGAAAATAATCAGATCTCCAGAAAGTAGAAAAGTTGCATTAAAGAAAACTGACAGACCATATCACTTCATCATTTACACAACAAAAGAAACACGCGCACACACATACACATGTAGAGACAGAGAGAGTGAAAAACGTACGAGAGTTGGCCATGGAGATTTCGTTGCCTTCATTGGGATCGAGCCAGACCTTGCCTCTACCGCATTTGAGAACGCTGGCGGCAAGCCTCTTCTGTAGCTTCAGCGACACCATCTCTCTCTCTCCCCCCCTCCCTCTCCTCCCCTTTTAGCAGCTAGAAATGAAGAGACGACGAGCGTGGTGAAGATAAGGTTTTATATCACAACCACATGAATGCGCTAGGGTTTTGATGGGGCTTGGTTCTGATAGCTTTATTGTTAACCCGAGACCACACATACCCACAAAGGCACCAACTTGTGGGTTACGGCCCAAATATTCATATGGAACAGCCCAAACACAAAATCACAGACTTTGGTTGGGCTTTACTTCTTGTTGTAAAAACCCAAACCATTTAAAGAGCAAATAAATTACCAGCAGATAAAGACAAAATGGGTTTCAAATCCATGGTATAGTTTTGGTAGATGCCATCTAACGGACTCTCTTGTCCTTTAATTGGAGGTTTGAACAAACACTAAGCTAGCGGAGAAACTAATTAAAAAGACATTAATTAGGGGAAAAAACAAATATTCCTACTCATATAAATGATAATATACAAAGAATTTCATGTAAAAAAATTAAAAAATAATTGTAATCGATAAATTAAGTTGGGTTTGTTGTAATATAATTGCTGAAATAGAAATGGTGCTCTTAGTAGAAATAAGTGTCAATCCAAGCTTGTAGTTTTGTTTGCTAGATTTGCACCAAGAGAAGTTTGTACAATAAGGATAAGGATAGTTTTCTTTATGATAATAGATGAAGGTTATCAATATGTCTCTGGTTGTTGTTCTATAACTAAACTCTACTTAAAACAACCAAACTAACATCCAACCTTGTCAACCAGTTTAATTGCAACATCACTTATGGCATTTATAGGTTTTAAATGCTTTCTAGAGCAACCAATATGAACCCACAATAGACCACCAGAATAAGAAACTGTTTTATGGAAGTCATTTGAATGAATCTATAATCAACAAAGTGTTGAAAAACTTCACTAACCATTGCAGGTGTTAATTGAATCACTAAACTATTGCTCCTTTTGGCTGCATAAAACTTTTAGGAGTATTGCACATAATAATAAGATAATTCCATGGTACAAACAACAATATTGTGAGACTTTTCATTTGTATTATAATTCATGAAAGATACCTGATAGCGAAATAAAATTTGTTGTAAAGCCGACAAACATAAAATTTGTTAATGGCTCATATAAACTAAGAGGGAAAATCCATTACTCACAACAAGAAATCACCACTACTTTTTAAACTGACTCATACCATAGGAACACCTATGAACATATTAAAGAGGAAGAGAGGGACAGATACCAGATGCAACCTTGAAACCACTATACGCTTAAAACTTGTTTTACCTGTATTATTTTATTGAAATGAAAATTATATCCTACTGATGAGATGAAATTTATCGAAGGCTACAACATTAATTCAGTGATCATCAATCCTATAAATAGTCATTTGTCAATAATTTTATTACTCCATGGTGTTTAAAAAAAAAAAAACCACCAAAAACTTGTGTTTTAAAGCAAATTTTTAACCGAGTTAAATGTCTAATATGGAACTCGTGTGGCATGCTACCAAACTAACACAACAATGTAAGTTTTAAAAAAAATGAGAATGCAAAAGTTATATCCACAACAATAAAAGTTAGCACCTAAAAACCAAAATAAAGTAAGAATATCCTCTACAGTAATTTAAAATCACAAGCACGTAATGATTTAAAATCTTGGAGTCAGGAAGAGAACCATCCAATATGTTTTTCACCTAAAGACGATGCTATTCATTTTTTGGATTTACCCATCTGGTGTGTTTTTCCTTGTGGTTGCATGCTATTCATCACATATGCTTGCATTGCTGCCTCTCAAGAGGTAAATAAGTACAAGGGTTATTGTTGTGCCATAGCATACTTATATTGTGATAGGATTTTCTTCAATGTCAACCACCTACGACCTTCTCTTTTTGGCCACTTCTCTCTATAGAAATAATGGTGGAGAGATAAATTAGATTGGAGAAAAGGATTAACAAAACAAGAAATTAAAAACCCATATAATTTCCATGTAATTTCAAAAACTCGCACAAAGGCTTAAGGATAAAAGATTTTAAAGGGGGATTACTCTCAAAGCTGCACAATATCATACAAGATCTCAGCTGTAATTCTACAAATATTTCAACCAAACAATATTCAATAGAAAAAGATGATAAAATTCAGTATAACACCTTGGTGGGTTTATCCTCCTAATTAGCTTTTCAACTCATCATCTATTATAGAAAATTTCTCAACAAACAACTTGGTAAATGAGAAGTCTACGAAAAACTCTCAAGACATGTCAACCAAAAATTTGCATCATTGTAAATATGGGCTGTGTGAGTCATGTATTCAATGCATATTAAATATGAATTTCCAGAAGTTGTAAGGTCTCAACCTTAAGTAAAATTGGCTCCAAGCATTAAAGGCAACCAAACTATCAGAAATTGCTACATGAACATGTGGTCAACTATGACTTATGAGAAGTTGTAAGGTTTGTTATAAATTGTATTAGAACATTAATTTTAAAAAAAGAAAATAAAGAGTATATAATAATTTAGAATATTAAAAGACATAAATGATACGATTGACATTAGAAAATAATATAAAAAGAAGATCAAAAGATATGATTAACATTAGAACAATCCGTTCTCTGTGTGTAATTCTACTTTAAGATTCAAAAGTTCAATAGTTCTTCCATTTTTATTTTTGCATCAATTGTGTCCGTTCGAACAATTATCATTACACCATAAAATAGTTTCGAAATGCTCAAAAATTAATTTAAAATTCTTTTAGAATGCTGAGTTAATCTATAAAATTACTCATCGAATCAATTTGCCCAACTGTCTTGAATATTGGCCATGCACAACATAAAAAAATATAAATAAAAATATGAAAGGGCAAAAAAAGAAAGAGAAAGAAGTATGGACCAAAATGAGTTGTATGATATCTTATAGCAAAATTCACCATGCATTACAAGAAAGTCTCTCTGTATCTTATGGATGACAGAGAAAACTATACACCTTCGCACCTATATGTTATCTGAAAATTGAAACCCTTTTTACACTTCGTTTTTCCACACCACCACCACAGGTGAAACAACTTGGTGTTTCCCACCATCCGTCCATACGAGCTTTCCCAGTTCAGTCACTTCATTCCCAGGTAACACAGTTTGCTTCTCAGCCTTAATCCTAACCACGTAACTATGTTTCTCACCCTTCCCCTTAAAGTTTATCTTCGCCGGATCAACGGTCACAATTGCACCCTTTGGATTCGTCACCGTTACAGTGTAGCTTGATGCACCCTCACTAACATGCGTCACAGTTCTTCTGACCACTACCTCCGAATTGGACGATCCTGATTTATCGAAAGCAATAGTAATTGCGGGGTAGTTGAAGTTCCACGGTTTACGCTGCATCGGATTACACCTTACTGTTTTGCGAGCTATCTGTGTTATAGCTTGACGGCTATAATCAGATGAACAAAGAAAGTTTAAGTAATCGTTCACTGTCAGATCATAAACCAAGCCAGGATCTACGGCTCGTTCAGGGTCCACGTGTCCAGCACCCATGTCCCACACCGTTGATACGTGATTTGATTTCTCATCCAGTAGTTGCTTGCCTTCACGGTCTTGCATGTACGCCGTGGTCATCAGAGCTGACCGAATCATCGCTGGAGACCATTCAGGATGGGCCCCTTTGAGTAGCGCAGCCACACCTGACACGTGTGGGCAAGACATTGATGTACCGGAAATTATATTAAATTCTGTGCGCCGCGTGTCTGAGGATAGTTCGGTGGGTGCTACATCATCAGGCCATGCCGCTAGGATGTTGACACCTGGCGCAATCACATCGGGTTTGAGGATATATGTTGATTCAATACTGGGCCCTCTCGCTGAGAAAGACGCGACGACAGGTGCCGGTTTAACACCAACCTCAGTGCCACGAAACACCATCCTGGCTCTAGGGTTTTTCGAAGAGTTCAGATAATTGGCGGTCCGGCTAGCGGCGGACTCGGTAATTGCTATACCAGGGATCAAGTGAGCGTCGGCGATTAATCCTTCTCCGATGGGTGCCACGTTGGCAATGACGACGCCTACCCCACCAGCTTCCTTCACGGTTTGTCCCTTGGCGACGCGTGCAACACCACCACGATCACAGACCACAATTTTGCCACGTACGAGCTCTTTGTCCAGCGAGTCCGGCATGCAAGTGGCAGAAGAGAAACTTCCTGCACGTTTGATATCCACCGGGGCATTCCCGGCGTATATTAAGGGCAAATACGACTTTTTCGGTAGCGGTTTACCATTATACAGTGACGCACCGGTGATAACGGTACCGTCTTCAAGGACGAGATCTGCCGGAAAACTGCGGTCTATTGTGCTTGCACCGACGGTGGTGATCCATGGAGCTACGTTTGTGACAGTCATTTTATTGGGTCCTTCATTACCAGCGGAAGCTGAAACAAGAATTCCTTTCTCCATCGCACCAAAAGATCCAATGGCAATTGGGTCAATGTTGTAAGGTACAGCACCGCCGCCGACGGAGATGGAAATGATATGAACACCATCTTCGACGGCTTTGTCGAAGGCAGAGAGTATGTCTGAGTCCATGCACCCTTTTGTCCAACAAATCTTATATACCGCTATTCTTGCTTTGGGAGCGATTCCAACGGCCACGCCTTTAGCAAAGCCGAGGAGGGAGGCGTTGTTAATTGCTCTTCCTGCGGCAGTAGACGCTGTGTGAGTACCGTGGCCGTCGGCGTCTCTGGGGGAGTTGATATCGGTGGTGTTTTTCAATTCGCCAGCCCCGACTTCGTACCCGACATTGAAGTATCTAGCTCCGATAATTTTTTTGTTGCACTGTTTTTTGGTGAATTTATCGCCTTCTACGCATTCACCTTTCCAGTGGGGAGGGACGGGTCCGAGGCCTTCGTCGTGGAAACTACGACGTTCCGGAGATATACCTGTGTCGAAGATGCCGATGATGACGTTGGAACCGGAGTTGGACTCCGTCCAGAGGCCGGTTGGGTTCGTTGAAGCGAGTCCTAGGAACTGAGGTGACCGAGTCGTCTGAATTTGACGAAGTTGGTCTGGTAAAACAGCGAGAACTCCTGTTCGATTTTTCAATTCTAGGGATTGTTGCGCGGTGAGTCTTGCAGAGAATCCATGAAAGACAGTCTTGTAGAGATGAAGGAAGTCTTTAGCTTTTCTGGTTTGCTTGGTTAATGGTTCTTCGGAGTCTAAAGGGTTAGAACTGAGGCTTCGAAGAGTGGAACTATACCATTGTTCGACATCGGGAAAAACAGAGGGCTTTAAGTCGTTTTGGACTCTGACTATGTAGGTATGGGTGTTCTCAGCATCCTTTTCTCCAAAAATGGCTGCCAAAGAGAGCAAAACACAGAGAAGAGGAGCCCAAAACTGATGACCCATCGAGAGAGAGAGATGGAGAGAGGCAATGTTACTTTGTGCAGTAGTGGCTTGAAAATTTATAATAGAGATAAAGCCTTGAAAAGCATAAAGAGAGGAAAAAAGTAGTCATAGAAAGTTGAAAGAAAACGCTCAGAAATTCTACATCAGGACGAATGAAAAGTGGAGGCCAGAGAGGCATGAGAGCAAGGTGGCGAATCTCTCTATGGCTATGTTTGGAAGCAATCCAAATCCTTTGTCATTAGTGCGTTACTTTTAATGGGATGAGAGAGATTTACTATTCTGTGTCCATCAATGGAGATAGAGATGGAGATTGAGAGATGATGCTAGAATTAATTGTCACTATGTCATGTTGGCAAAAGCTTGTGAACAGCGGGAAAAGGCAGCAAATATGGCAGAAAATGAGAGTTTTAGTGATGGAAATGGCTGCCTGTGGTGTGCCTGGGACAACTAGACTTTTGTTGTTTTTATCCCCTGAACCTGACGTGGGTAGGCTTCTAGAAGGAGGATGGATGTTCAAAGGTCAATACAACGTAATGTGTTAGTGTTGCTTTTAGGAAATATCATAGCATCAATTAATATGTTTGTTTTGGAAGAAAAGCAGAGTAATAAGTTGCAACATAACATGCGAATGTTATGTGATAGATACCATAATATTGCTTACTCTTGAAAGTACCTTAAATACTAATCCATGACGTGCAATGATGGTGTGCTCATAGATAATAATTTACGAAAATTATTACTTAAATTTAAAATATTGACTTAATTTAATAATATAAGCAATCACAATCATTAAATAAATAATGAGTTTTAATAAATAACAAAACTCTCCGTTAAATCTATGTAACATTTTTCATAATTTATTGGATACAACAACATAATAAATGAAGAGAAAATGCTATTTAAATTTAAATTGTGAACTTAAAATACGTGCTATAGCATTGCTCACCATGAAAAAGTGTCAAACAATTTTCGTATTTTTTTTCGAAAATTAAGAAAGATGAAAAGTAGAAAAGATACATTTTCTATCCGTCATGAAAAAAAAGTATAAATGATACACTTTTCTTCATTTGTGTTTAGTAGGATAGATGAAAAATAAAAGTAATTAATTTTTTTTTTTTTTTGTGCTGACTAAAATTAGGGGTGACAATCAAGTCGTGTCGTGTTAAGTTCGTAATGGATCATTACGAGTTTATGTCGAACATTAATCATACCTAAATCAACTCATTTAACTAATTGTGTCATGTCGAGTTAACCTATTTATTTTCGTGTGGTGTTTATATTTGTATTCGTATTGACCTGCATAAATTTTAAATAAAAAATTTAATGGTAATATTTTAAATATGTTAACGTCTCATGTCCGGATTTCAGTTCTTATTTTGTCAGTTCAATATTTCTGTTTCCATTTAATAATTTTTTGGTAGTAGCTCATTTATTTCAGTTGTTATTATATTCTTTTGCACGTACATTGGGTTTTCTTTTTTACTTGGATGAGAAGAAGCATCTTCTTCCTCTTCCTATGTGTTTGTGAGAGAGAGAAAGAGGTGTTCTTGGTGAGGTTATATAATATTTTTATTATAGGTAATTCGTGCCTCAAGTTATGATGTAATATAAATAATATTGAGAAATGTTAGTGATCATAAGATAAATTTATTTAAAATTATCAGATGAATTTTTTATATTATAAATTTCTGACAGATGTTGTTTAATCAGACCAACAAATTGATACCATTCGTGTGATTGGGTCACACTTTGTCCGCCACACAGCAGATTCTATGGGTTGAGGTCCAATTTTAATCCGGTACAACATAAAGGGCCAAAAATTCCTGGGCCTGGATATGGGCCTTCACTAGGCATTTGAGAAGCTAGGTTTGAGCCCAATGTGAATTTTTTTTAAGGCTTTCAAAAAAATGGGGCTGAATTTTTTTTTTTTAATGGGGCTGGATATTACTTGTCAGCAATTCAGTATTCAAATACTAATGCGAAAATTGGAAGTGAGTACCCGACATGTACTTGTTTGGTGATAAGTCATGTAAGAAAACTTATAAGGGGCTAAGTCCATGTTTAAAATTATATGTAATGACTTAAGTCCACTTTTTTTTTTTTTATTTCAAAAATACTTTCCTTGAAAAGAAGTTAATTTTTTTTCTCTCATATCTATCTATATTCATATATAGATTAACAATTTGTCTAACATTAAAAAAAATAGTAACATTTAAATACAAAAAAAAAGTTACTATAAATTTGAATAGTTAAATTCAAATTCATGTTACTATTTTTTTTATTATGTTACTATTATTGTTGAGTATGTTACTGTTCATATACTATTATTTTTGAGCATGTTACTGTTTTTGTTGACCATGTTATTACTATTATTTTCCTAAATATTAATATTCAATGTTACTATTTTTTTTTTTTTGAATATTACTATTTTTTTTTTGAATGATACTATTTTTTACGTTTAAATTTGAGAGAAATAATTTATGGTTAAGTATGTTATAGTTTTTGTTAAGTATGTTACTATTTTTGTTAAACATGTTAATATTTTTGTTGAATATGTTACTATTGTTATTTTTTAAAAATATTAATATTAAATATTTCAACTTTTTTATGTTTAAATGTTACAATTTTTTTGTGTTTAAATGTATTATTTTTTGTATCCAAATGATAATTTTTTTTTGTATTTGAATATTACTATTTTTTATTTTTAATGGTACTATATATATATACTAGTCATTACCCGTGCCTAAAGGCACTATAACAGATAAAAAAATCGCAAATAGTTGTAAGTGCCTAAAGGTTTTATAAAACAAAAAAAAAAATTCAATTATAATAAATAAAAAAGAGAGACAACTGGACTAAAAATCGATTGTCAATAAACTTGTAATTGTCATTAAAATAAATCTAAAAACACTTTATCCATTATATAACGAGACCATAACAATGAATAAGGGATAATGTGTTCACAAACACACAACATTGTAGAACCCATGCCTTTTTATGATAACTCAAGGCTACACACATCTTATTAACCGTATATAATGTAAAATAAATTGCAACAATCCATAAAATAAACCTAAAAATAGGAAAATTTTCATCTAAAAATAGGAACTCAAAAAATGTCAATTTTTTTATAAGCCTACACTTAAGAACAAACAACCCAAAATAATGTCAAAAAAATATAAAAAAATCGAAGTCAGAGAATGATTTCCTCAAGAGGTCTCTCTCTTCCTAAAGAGATATGCACATTAAATTGAAGGATATACAGCTGATAAAAATTACAAAAACTATGTTATAAACCCAAGGAACTAAAACTATTTATGGTTGAAATTTCCTGCCACAATTCTTACAACCACTATAGCATTTTAGAATGAAAAATTTAATGACCCTTCGAAGTGGTTGTTGCTACACATTGAAATCCTTGCTAATTACATACGAAAAAAATAATAAAAGACCTCAGGATGTAAACAAAATTAAAGTATTGATTAAAAAACTAACAATGTGATTCTCTATTCTCGTAAGGATAACATTGGCAAGTATATATAATCTAAACTTGGTTCATAGAATTCAGTTCACATGGAATCCAAACTTTGATTGCATCCACAAAACTCAAGATACTAACATTTGTGTGTTGCAATTCATAAAACCACCACAACAAAAAGAAAAAATAAACAAATTAAAAGAAAGTTATTATTATTCATTGCAAGATGGTATATAGACCCCATAGAGTGTTATGGTTCTCCATACCAATAGCTTATCTATAGCAACTATGTTTATACTTTATAGCAACACTAAAATAAGAACACGCACGTGTGAATGACTTAAATTTTGGAGTAATGAAGTTAGATAGAAGCCACCAATTATACCTGGATGGGTGAATTTCTTTTCCACCGCGTCCAATAAATTTTTCAACTATCCTTGTTCTAAAAGATGGTTGCCTATTTATATAATCCATCATACTTGAAGTTTTCACACCTACCTTTTGATATTTGATGTTGCTTTAAACATTAAAAGAGAACCTACCTAAGCTTCCAATTTTAGTTTATTTGATGGAGCAAATTGACTCAATATAGAAAACATCAATAGAGCAAGAACCCCCATTGTCCGAATGACTCCCAAATTCATAGGACCAGACAAAATTTATATCATAATTTTATATATACTTGAATCACCAAAAATTCAAAACATAGAGCATCAATTAAGGAGCAACAACTTAAAAACTTGGCATCTAAATTTTTTTCAAACAATTGGTGAGTAGAATTCTTTCAAACAACCCCACAATTAATCATCAACAATTAGCTTTAACATAAAATCATAATTAATATTGATAAGAAGAAACATTCCTAGATTTTTGTCAATTTAATATCATGGGGCACAGAATAGTCCTAATAAATTCAAAGCTATACATTTATTTCAATCAAAAGCAATAACGCAAGTCAAATGAAGTAAATGGCTAAATATGAACCAAGTAATATACAAAGCGTTGGGAGTCAACTTCATGGTCAACAAATTGATAAGTGGGACACCATGTATGTTCTGAATTATCTCTCAACTAAATTAACTAATTCCATAATAGAACCTATTGTATATTACAACCACAAAATAATCTCTTGGCCATGAAAATACGCAAACTTTGATCCCTTTGCAAATTTCAAATATTGAAAGAACATCATAGACCCACAAACCATTTTCATAAAATGTACACACAATACTCTGTCACAAAAAACAAAAACATGACAACAAATTATATGTGAGAAACGAACCTAGTTCAAGCAGCTTTATTGGCCTTTTGAACAAATTATGGAAAGGTGTTATTGTGCCCTGCCATTTTGAAAAAGCCATTTAGTTTGTTGTAATAGGAAGAATTCTTACCAAAGAATATTACAGGAAAATTTTGTCCAAACTACAACTTTAACATACTTTCTTTCCCTATATCCTGAACACCAAAAACCCAAAAAAGATATTAGATCCAAAATATTTCATCCAAATTTACCTGCAAAGAGGCTTACTTCAATATTAAACCATAAATTTGAATCGAAAAACAAATTGAATCCCACCAAAAAAATCAAAAACATATCTCATACCTTAAGACTGGGCAACGACGATTTGCTCTGGGTTGTGCTACGTGTGTCCTGCTGTGGGCGTTGTGTGTATTATGCGTGTGGGGTGTGTTCTGTTTGTGTGTGTGTTCTGTTGTGCGTGTGTGGGAGACAAATTATGTGTGTGGGGTGTGTTCTGTTTGTGTGTGAGTTAGTCATTACCCCTTCGACATTGATCGAATAGGTTATGGGCTCTGTGCGATGTGTATGTTGTGTGTGTTAAATAAGCAGCCGAGACAAAAAAGCATAGAGATAGAGAGAAAAAGACAACAAGAAAGAAGCATATGTATACCTGGCAGCGGCAATTGGTAATGGCGGTGGATGACTAACCACTGGGTGGCAACGGATGTATGTTAGCCATAAGAGAGAGGAGAGAGAAGAGAAAAGAGAGAATTAGGGAAGATGGAAACTGGGGAAGATTTGTGAGGGAGAGATAGAAACGTGAGATTGAGAAATATTTGAGAGATTTGTGGGGTTGAGAGATTTGGACCTGAATTTGGGGAAAGTTAAAGTCTTGATTATGGCTAATTAAAATTGGAAAATGTCATGGGCGGGAAAACAAAAATTGAGAATGATTTGGATCTATCAGATCAACATGTTTGAGTTGATCTGAGCCGCAAAAAAGTTGAAGATAACATGGATCCTCGGATATAACTTTATCTTTTGCTTAGAATTGATCTGAACTTTTCTTTGTCTTTTAAATTCAAACTTCGTTCTATATATATATATATATAAATAAGAGAGAAGAAAATTTTTAATGTTAGTTAAACTCTTAATTTATATATGAATATAGATAGATATATGGATATATATAGATATGAGAGAGAAAAAATTTTAATGTTAGTCAAACTCTTAAGATTTAGGAGTTTTTAATTTTTAATTTTATTCCACTTCTAAAGGGAAGGGATAATATGGTAAAATTAATAAAAAACGAACTTCATAACAAATAAATTTTCTTGACGGACTTAATTTCAAACAAGTACGTATAGGGGACCAGCTTCCAAATTTCCCAATTCTAATGCATAATTGTGAAATCGGGATCGGTTGCAAATATTTTATATATCTAAATATGGATTCATTAACTGACATACAACTCACTATATACATAATGTCAATTCAATTGAGTTTGAGTTGAATTAACCCGTTCACAAACTGCCCAACTCACTCGGTTTCCACAGGTAAATGCTACATCCCTTGAGAAAATGGTTTGTACATAAACTAGATGGCTTGCTAATCTAGAGATCATGCTACATGATGGGTTAGTAATAATCAGGTTTTCAACGTTGAGATGTCAGATGCAATATGAGTAAAAAGAGAATAATATAATAAACTATCATCCCATGCAGCAATTTAAAGAATACCACCATGAGGATCCTTGTTCATAATCTAGTTAGTGCCATCCAAGTCCTCCAGTTTTATCTGTCGTCGTGCCAACAAGTAATGCACTAACCTTGTATATTTTATTCTGCCAAGCAGATTTGAGAATATTACACCGACCCCCCCCCCCTTTTTCTTCTCCCGCGGCGAAAAACAAAAAAAAAAAGAGAAAATTTTATTTTACCCTCGGAAGATATAAAAATTTTGGCTTGCCCCTCAAATAATTAAAATTTTCACATTATATCTTTAAAGAAATAAAAAAATTGTAATTAATCAATCAAGAAAGGTAAAATAGGCGGATGACCAAACAAAAATTAGACGATGAGCCACATTATAACATTTTTATTTCTTTAAATTTAGAATGTGAAAAAATTAGTCATGGGGACAACTAAGAATGTTTGTATCTTTATGGGCAAAATGGGATTTACAAAAAAAAAAATCAATCAAGTATCCGTACGGTCTTCTTATATATAGTTCTTGGAGGTAACTCTATAATCGCAACAAATCCTTACCCATTAACGCAGACAGTCGGACGTACACCAGGTGTAGAAATGGCTCTCGCTATCTCTTCTCTTGCATTCACTATGCTTCTCCTGTCAGTACTGGTGGTAGTAACTGCTCCTGCAAGTGGTTATGAATATGGCCCAAAACCAAAGCTTGAGAAACCTGCTAAGACTAAGACAGAAAAGGACCTGCTGGTTCCTGCCATCATCGGCGTTCAGGGACTTATTTATTGTAAATCGGGCCCTAAACTCATCCCACTTAAAGGTAACTTCTACCTCTATTATGATTAATTATTTTGCTTGCTCACTCGGAAAAATACAATCTTGAGCCCTAGAACTTATGTAAGTCTCATTCTTATTCTTCCAATTGTGTCTTTTTATCCGTCCAATTTTTATTTTTTTTGATCCAAAAAAAAAAAATTATGGATAAATTACACTTTCACCCCCTGAATTATCATCTTTTTTTATTTTATTCTTTCAGCTACCATATTTTTCACATTGTACCCTTGATTATGTGACTAGTTTCACATTGTCCCAATTGTTAACATTGTTATATATTTAACGAAAAATTATTTTATTTTATCTTGCAAACTATGTAATTTTTTCTACTTTACTCTAACATGTCAGCGATTTCCATCCAAACAGATAACAAACGTTTGTGATTGGAGTAATGTGAAACAAAAATGTTAGTTTAAATAGCAATGTAAAAAATTTGACAGTTGAAGGGGCAGAGTGAAAAAATGGTGATAGTTTGAGGAGTGTAAGTATAATTTGGCTAATGGTACCTCCTCCATAAGAAGTGTTTATTTATATGGTAGGAGGGAAGATGACTCCTACCCGATGTGGAATGGAGGTAAAAGCTATAGTATTGCTTTAAAAAAGGGTGCAGGCCAGACAGAATCTTTGGTGTTCAAGAATGAGATCCGAACGCGCAATTTCTACCTCTAACATCAACCATTGAATACAGGAGCTGTAACAAGAATAACTTGCCTGGCTGTGGATGAGAATGGATACGAATCAGCTCCATTCTCGGTCTTGAGTCGGCCATGTGATGAAAAGGGTTACTTTTTTGCCACATTGTCCCCTTCTCAGATTGAAGAAGACGCATGGTGGAGAGTCACCGAATGCAAGGCTTTTTTGGCCAACTCTCCAATAGAGACTTGTAAGGTTCCCACTGATGTGAACAAAGGGATTACTGGTGCCCCTCTTGCTTCTTACCGCCACCATGGTGACAAAAACATGAAATTGCACTCCGTGGGCCCTTTTATTTACACTTCGGACCCTAAACCAATCTCCAACTCCAAGGGTTACTAGATCACAACGTCCTATATTTCAGAGCTTGAACCGCTCATATCATTTCTTTTTCTTCCTTTTGGGTGTGGAAAAGATTGTCCTCGTTTTTTTTTCCCTCTAGTTTTAATCTTATTGTTTTGAAACATTAAATGTATTTGTAGTCTATATTTGGAGAATAAAGGTAAGAAAAAAAAAAAAAGAGCATAGCTACTCTCATGAAGGGGTAGAAACTCTCGTCTTTGGATGGTTTAAAAAAGATTAGATATACACAATCTTATCTTAATGTCCAAAATAAATAGTATTTACATGACTTTTACTCATTAACAACTTTATCAAACAAAAATAAACTTACTGTTTCACCAAAACCCAAATTCATGCCATGCAAAACAAAATGATGTTATAATTTGTGACAAGAAAAAAGCGAGTAACATTAACAAGATCACTTACCGAAAAGTTGGAATTGAAAAAACCACTTGCCAAAACATTAACAAAATCAACCAACTGCTTTCTCTTTACTTTAACATGTGATTCGGTGAGAGTGATTAATAAGATGTCCTAGCAAGAAAAACTACTCAAGAAGTTGCCAAAGATAAAGTTCACATAAGTTTGTGAACACTTTATTATGCCAGAGGAAAAAACAGATCCTAAATACATGTATAGTGTGCTCTATAACACCCTTTGTATAAATGTGTCACCCTAATTTTGAAAATGCCTTTACACGTATACTTGACAGATTACTACTCTTCTTTGTCTATACAGGTCCCCCCAACTCCACATGCTCATTCGTGTTGACTGCTGCTGCGCCAAACAAATAGACGACAACTAAAGTGCTAAATACCCAAAAAAAATCTCAAATTTCTTAATGGAGAACTTTTACTCAAGCCTCCGCCACCTAACCCGATCACCATAACCACAGAAAAATTAGCATTCCAGAACTGGGTGGTTTTCCATTGAGCTTGGCCAGCTGCAACCAGTGGACCATCCTAAAACCCCAAGAATTAGATCGACCTTCGAACAAGCACTAACCTGGATGAAAATAAAACAGTTCTCCTGTCAAATACAACAGTGAATGCAAGATAATCGAAAGAATCACATTCTCCTTAAGACATACCAAGCTGTCCAGGCTTGATTCAATATGAAATAACATGACGGCCATCCCCCTTTCCCTGTCGATCTCGGCCTGGTAATTTTGGAATAGAGTTACAGATATTGCGGGGGTAAAGGGACTAGGCAAAAAGAAACATACATAAAATTTATATTTCACCACAGAATGGACTCACAGCACAAGAACATATGGTGATGCTTGCAGCTGCCAATGCTATTGTGACGTCGGCCATCATGCCTGAAAGTAGTTGCATGTAAGAATATTAACCTAAGTACAAAAGTATCTCTGTTTATAAGAAAGCTCCCTGCCTGTAGACACATTAGAGCATCAACCACAAAAAGGAAGTCCCAAAAATTTGAAGTTCAGGTAGCACAACGGTGTCATTTTTATCCATTCGTACATGGTAATGACACATTCCAAGGCATCATATGGTTATAATTTGGAAGTACTTTTATCACTGAAACATAATTTTCCTTGAGTTTTAATAATAATAACAATAATAAAGAGCCTTACTTTCCCAAAGCTAATTAAAATAACATCCATGAAAAGATACATCTAATGAAGCCTTCAGTCACCTGTGTGCGCACTAGTACCAATTTGCCATTGTATTTGATCCTTGAAAAACAAGAATCACACATTTATTGCTTGGACCGGAAAAAGAAAATTTACCTCTTCGGTCAATACAGACAATGCACAACCATTGGATTGAGTGCCCTTCAAGGTTGTGCCAAGAAGCAACCTTGCCAGCTTGCCAGCTCTCTAAGCCAGGCAACACTTCCCTGTACACTGGAATGTTGGCAAGTATCATCTTAGCGACACCGTTTCCCTGGGATAGCGTCTCATCTTTGGCCTTCAAACTCACATTCTGCATAAGCTTATTATGTTTTCCATTAATCTTGGGGACCTGGATACTACCATTCTGGGATTGCAAAACATTTTCGCCAATTGTTTTTGAGGAGGACATATCCACAACATTTCTGACAATTTTCTCCCACGTGTGTTTGCTACCTTGAGAATAATCTACAACCTCTTCCACTTCACTATCTTCTTCAGAATCAGCTACAAATTCAGTTACTTTATCAGCAGTTATTTCGGTTGCTGATAGTGCAGCTTGCTCTCTCAAAAACTGAACACGACATGAAGTCTGTATTAATAGATCGAAGGAAAGGGATAATTAAAGACTATCCATATTTAATTCCATGGGAAAACCTACTTTCATAATCTTGTGTCTAGCACTACGTGTTTTTGCATGTTGCAGCCACTGCTTATGCCTCTGAAAAGCAGATTTGCTTGAGAGTGCCTGTTAAACAGCAAAATTAGAGGAAGCAATAGAAGGCAGTTGAATACTAAGTTGTGCTGCTGTTTATTCACGAATATCTTATTAAGGTAAATCTTAGAGTTGAAAAACAGAAAGAAACCGAAACAAGCCCTGCAGATCGAAGAATAGCATACATGTACATGTTCACTACAATTCAATGGCACCATACAATCCCAAGCTATAAACAAAATAGCAATTAGAAGTAATAAACATAATGAATGTATATCATGATATCATATCAATATTCTCTCAGATACTTTACTAGTACAGCACCACAACTACTGACTCAAGAGTCTGGATCAATTTCTAACTGGGGAACTGCCACTTTAAGCTCACTGGAAACATTGTGAATCAGCATATAGATAAGTTCATTGTTTTACATTAAGCATACTAAATCATGGCATCCTTATTTTTAATAAAAAATAACTCAAAAATTGTAAAATACCATCAGATTGTGCAGAAACTAATAAATTGGTATCAGGGAATAGAAGGAGCAAAAATGAGAACAAAAATCAATTCAACAGAAGGGTAAGAAAAGGAGGAGAATGGACATTAACTAACATTATAGGTAACAATCTCCACAACTTCAGCATTTGCAAGTACATGCAAAGGAGAAACAAGATTTCCATTGACCTGCAAATTGAGAAATATCTGCGATGACATATGTATTCCTGAAGAAAAAAAAATACTGATCAAGATGGGAAGAATACCTTTGCAGCCACCATCTTGTTGCCAATTTCGGTGTGTATCATATAAGCATAGTCAATGACAGTTGCCCCCTTTGGCAGATTTTTAATCTGTACATGACAAAAAAAAAAGGCGGTGAAGGCCTAAGGAAGCACAACCTGTCACGGTTAATCCAATCTTTTACCTCTCCTCTTGGCGTAAAAACAAAGACACGGCTACCCAAAAGATCCCTGGTGACAGTGTCTACAAATTCCCTGGAGCTCATGTTGCCAACGAACTCCTCTTGCCATTCTCTAATTGCATTAAGCCAGCCAATCTGAAGAAAGAAAGAACTACTACCATATAATTAGCATCGGAGTCGGGGATATTGAAAGGGTTTCTCAGGCAAGCGCCAACTATTACAAATTTACAATTCTGCAAAGGCAATTGAGATAGTACCCTGAGGGCAATGTTTGCATTGTTAAGACAGACTGCTTTCCCTTTTGAACTTCTGGCATTACGCATAGCATGCCCAACCAAACCATTAACAAAAACTTTCCCACTGTAATGAGCAGCGATTCCCCTCTCTGCTATCAAATCCATCTCCTCCGTTCTTATCTGCCAAGCATACAAAAACCACACAAAGCACTGAATTTCTTTCATGCAATCAAAACCATAATTATTGGAGTCATATAAGATACGCAAACAGGCTTTTTAACACATAAAGGCTTTTTAATACATGCTATGCCTGCTTATGTATGTGTTCCATACATAAAGAAAGAAAGAATGGTTTTAATTTTTCAATCAACACTACTGCTTAGTTCAGTCTTCACATTAAAAATATATTAGCCATGGTTGGAAGAAGTGTCCGAAGCTATTGTTGCATCCAACAGGTGTGTCTAGCATTTGTGGTATCTATTGTATCCACATGCTTTGATAAATTTATCTTCCAAATTTTTGTTGTGTCTTGAATTTAAAAAACTCTGATTTAAGGTTATAGATCTACCACATCACAACAAGCTCTTTAGTTTTGGCAAAATCTCAAGAACGGTGCCTTAACACCAAGGCATTCAAAAGAGAAAATTTGCAGAACTAGAATACAGTGAACACTCAAGAACCAACCTGAACTTCCAACCTAAACATGCTCTCATAAAGAAATGGAATTACAGTTGTATGAAGACTCTGATATCCATTAGGCTTTGGGGTCGCGATATAGTCCTTCATCTGTTGCAGAAGTATATACCAGTATGCATATAAAAATTATTGATTCAACAACTGCACTCAACAATAATTTAAAGAAAAGAAATAAAGAGAAAGATGCACACGGCTCGAGGAATAGGGGTCCAGAATCCGTGTACAAGCCCAAGAACATGGTAACAGATCTGCAAACGAAACAACTATGAGAGAAATCTTAGTATACAATAATGTGTGTATATGTGTGAGAGTGTGTGTGTGTGTGTGAGAAGACATAATAAATGGGCAAATATTTACTTGCTGTGCACTACATAGAGGCCCAACTCCAACACATGGCTTCGGTTTTACAATAATTCGGAGCTGGTAATCCAAACATGTAAAGGTGAATCAACAAATAAATAACCAATAATGTTTCCAGTCAATTGTTTCCAAGATCAATATCACAGCAAACCTGTGCAATTTGGTTGACTTCATTGATTGAACCTTTAGATTTGAGTACAGCTTTGTATATACTGAAAAGAGAAAAAGAAAAATTTACAGAAATCCTCAAAACAGCAGTAGCACATGCTATATGGTGTATGCTGTTAAAATAAAAAAATAAAAACAACTTGAATTCAGTATAAGAGATGGTTCGCCAAAACAACCATAGACAACAATCTCAGCAGTTTTATTATTTACAAAGAAAGTCCACATTCTGTTTCAAGTTCAATGGCGACATTTGCTTTACATCCACTAAATATGATGTGCCTATTGAACTATATCACAGATAATGCAAACACAAAAAATTGTCTCACTACCCTCCTGTTGAATGCAATACTTTCTGGAAGACAGGTCTTGAACTTTTGGACCACTTAATCTTAACTAGATTCCAAGATAGAAGGGCTTTTAAGTTTTAACTATGTTGTCTGTCCCAAGGACAAAGCAGACAGAAGAAAGCAAAATATCAAATAGGAGCGACAAAACCAGCTTTTCTGAAATTTAGACAGCTAAGGTCTCTTGATTTTCTCCCCTTCATTAGTACATGCCCCGAGTTCAACACACCGACAATGTCAGCATAGAGCATGTTAGAGACCCAGCTTTGATCATGCAAAGACCTTTTAAGAAAAGGGCCCAAGACTTCACCTGTAAGGCTCCTTACATACAGATCGAACTTCAGTCTTCACTGTCATAAGGTCTAAAAACTGATCATCCTCCATCTTCTTTGTCAATATTTTTTTGGCCTGACACAAGGAGAAAAGCCTTAGAACCAGAAAACCACATTGAGAGTAACTGCATATCTCAAAATTATCATCACTCCAATAGGAATTTTTGAAGATTGCTCATTACAGTATTTCGTGGGTAACAAGATGATCCTGTTGATAGCTTATATGCCCCTCCAATGATTTCATCGGAAGAAAGGAAAATAGTACCTCTATAAGCTCCTTGTCATGTTCTTTATATAGTTCCGCAACTCTTCGCTTGATCTTAGCGAAATCTTGAGCATTTGTGTACATGAACGATAGGTTTTCGAGTTCAGACTGCAAGAAAGAATTGTATATGAATGAAGTGCCCATGAGTACAAATGTACAGTTGCATTTAAATGATCACATAAATCATGAAAGAACAATTTATCATTGTTCCATCACTTCATTGTACAATACGACATGATCGACACAGTATACAGGTGTACTATGATTGCATGGAAGTACTGTTTATGAAAAGAGAGATTATTACTGGGTAGATGGAATATCAGAAGCCAGAAACTAAAATAGCATTGCAGCCAATGATTTTCATTGAGACCCCATTCATTTACAGATCCAACCCAAAGATACAACGTCAGCCCTCAATAATGACTTTCTAATTAAAATTTTGCAGTAGGCACTATAAGGACTTTCTACTTCAGCTCAAAGTTAGCTTCGTCTCTTAGACTGGTTAACTTCTAAAAAATTATATCCAAATATTAGTCTTCAGTTACCAGGGACAAGGAATTAAATGTAGGAGGTTTATATTAGGATAACCCGAGTCTCAATGTCAATGCATTAACATATTGCAGCACATACACAGAGGGGCTCCAGGATTTCATGCGCAAAATATTGCACAATTTCATATGGAAGCAGATGGCAGACCTTAATTTGGTACATCCCTAGCAGTTTTGCTAGAGGAGCAAAGACCCGCAGCGTCTCCATTGCAATGCTGGACTGGACACAAAATAAAATGATAAGAATTTTGGGACCTAAACACTGAAAAATAGGTACATACTTAAACCAAAGTTTCTTCACCTGCTTATGTGGAGGCATATGAGAAAGTGTACGCATGTTATGTAATCTGTCAGCTAATTTGACAATTATGACACGAACCTGAAACAGCAGCAATTTTAGACGCGAAGACACCCTCAACCTAGATAGCATGAAGATGATAATATAATGTAAGCATCACCTCTTCAGTCATGGCTAGAAACATCTGGCGGAGGTCATCCGCTTTCACATCTTGCACTGATGAACTTTCATTCTTACATTTAAGTTTTCCAAGTTTGGATACCTAGATTACAGAAAAGAATTAAACCAATGTACATTATAAAGCAGGCGTAATCCAACAAAATTTCAAACCAGAAAGAGCTTGTAAAAGTAGTAATAAAAACCACCTTAGTCTCTCCTTCTACAATGTGGCGCACTGTAGCACCAAATTGCTTTTCTATTCTTTCGAAAGTAACAACATTAGTGTCCTCCACAGTGTCATGTAATAAACCAGCAGCAATTGACTCCCAATCCAACTCCTAAAAGAGTAATTAGAAGTCTATTGCAGTTAATGATTGCAACAAAAGCAAGAGTCATATTGTAGATCAAGCCAAACACTTCTGCAAAGGGGAAAAATGTTCAAAATTTTTGCAAAACTCACAAGCTCTCCCAGAATTCGTGCAACTTCAACAGGGTGAATTATAAAGGGCTCTCCACTGCGTCTTTTTTGGCCATCATGCGCCGCAAAAGCCAGCTGTACAACCATTAAAAATATAGATGAAAATATCAATATCACCTAATAAATCTTGCTGATCAGAGCATCACAACTATTACTATATCTACTGCCTAAGATTATATAGCTAAGAAAGAAAAAAAAAAAAAACAATATAAAGTGTAGAAAAAAAAAACTTACGTCCAGAGCAGCACGAACCAATTTCAACTCCTTCGCTGTAAGATAGGAAATCGTATGTTTAAGATCCTGAGGCGATAAAGATGAATGTGTTAAGTACTCCATTTACAAGACTCAAAGAAATTTTGTTAACCCTACAGGTTATATATGTATATATATACAGCCCCTATATAAAAGACTATTATTTCCACATAGAAAACCAGAAAATCTTGAGAACTTAACATCCATATAACTTCAAATATGACCCCCTAACTAACACAAAAAAAGGGAAAAGAAAAAGAAAGGAAGTGTCTCCGTTCAAACCAGAGTAAGAAGCTTTCAAACTGAAGTTGAGTCCTTAGGGATTGTCCAGTAAGACAACTTTTTCATTATTCTAAAATGATTCTGAAGGATGGCAACAGTTCCATACCTCCCACAAGCTTTCAGGTGAAACCTCATAATATGATTCTGAAGGAAAGGATGAAGAACAACACAAATGCCGATTTCTACAAGCAAAATGAAGCAAATTTGATCTTAAGAGTCTCTGTCGAAGTTTGAAGACTGAAACTTCAGTAGAGTGCCATCCTCCAATATCAGGGCTTTCACATCTCTGAAGCAGGTACAAGATTGAGTGGCTACCATCAGTAACAAACCATGCAAGTTTGTTTCAAAACAGAAATAAACTGATGATGAAAATAAAAAATCTGTACATGATCAAAGCAGGCTACATAAAGAGCTTAATGGCAGTTGCTCGACTACTTTACTTTTTGAGTAAAATGGACTTGACGGGAATTTAGGAGGTGTAATTAACCAACTACCCAAATATCTCATCAGATTCTCAAGTGATAGCAATGTTTTTCTTCCATTTATTTTCCGTGCAGCAATACACATACATACACACATTATACACAAAGCATGGATTGCTTGGACATCCTACAGACATCATGCCAAATAGGCTTCCGAAGCATCCATCAACTCACCAAAAATAATGTCCCAACTATTGGGATCTGTTAACCACATAAATCCTATTCCGTCGCCGTGCTGTATCAAAATCCATATTTTCTGTCAAGCTGTAACTTACAATATCCTTTTTTATATATCTCATTACAAATTAATTTCGGTCTACCTTAATCCCTTTGGTTGCCCTTGACCCCTTACATTACCATTGATAGGTATGACATCACCCTTTCTCACCACTTATGTCCATTGTATATCCCAGTGGTGCTACTTCTAACATTTCATGAGCTTATTCCATATAAAGAGAATCTAAACTAGGTGATAAGATGGACGCCTCTCAATTTATTCCATTTCTTAAATAGAACGATGATGATTCGGTTAAGGGCCAAAAATATATACATCGACCTCCGTGGGATGGGATGCATCATTAGTAAGTCCACTGGGGAACGCGAAGTTAGGCTATGAAAACTGCAGGTCACAAGAAAATAACTCAAAGATTCCTAACTTATTTAGAATTAAAACTTCCACATACATATGGTTTACAATTTAAAACCAAACAATTAAAACACAATTTGATGTAAATCTTGAATCGATAACCACAGAATTATGAGAAAATATTACACAAAGCAACAACTAGCAATCTAAATAGCAGAAATCAGAGAGGTTCACAAACTTACACATACGATGCAATTTCTTCTTCCTGTTCGTCCATACGGCTGAGTAGGATGCGCAGTGCTCGCAAAGAGGCCAGTCAATGCCCTTGGAGCCTTCCACGCACAAGACAGGACGCTACAGTCGTATCGTCCACTCACGTCCCCATTCCAGAACTTACATATATTCACGCATTCTACAGAAACTACAAAATTTACAACACGCAGGAATCAATTATTCGGAATAATGAGTGAAATAATATATATATAGAGAGAGAGAGAGAGAGAGAGAGAGAGAGAGAGAGAGAGACGAAAACTTGGACATACCAGACATTGAAGGAGCAGAAGCCATTGCTATTTGGAAACATCGGAACTAAACGTTGAACAGCAAACAAACATACCAGCAGAGATCAAGAAGAATCAAAGAACTGAATCCAAAACTCTTTAATTAGTTCGAACCGAACAGAGAGAAAGAGGGATTGCAGGCGATGAATTGAACGAAGATGGTGAACAGATATTGTAGAGAGAGAAAGAGGGAGAGTTAGATAGAGTCCAGCGAAGGCCACACAAAAGCCCCATGATAAAGATATTTTTATTCCACGGTTTTATCGGCGAAAAAAATAATTTTTCGGTGACACTCATAACCCTAAAACGTCAAAAAAAAAAAGATTTTTTTTTATTTGTGATTTGGGTTTTTTTAATATTTATTTTGGGTAAGCATTTTGTGATTTGGGTTTAAGTGAACTATGGTTGGGTAAACGCCAAGAGAATGGAATTGTAGGCCTTAATATCGGACGACGACACGTAAATAGCCACTTTCACACTAATAAAGATTGATTCGTCGTCATAACAATTAAGATTAGCAGTGGCATTATGGTTGGTTAGTGGCTTTTCTCTGGATTCTTGAAATCATTGCAGATAGATAGTTCCTTATTGTTCAGACCAAAGGGTGAAGTAGTAATAGAGACAATTTGAATTCAGAAATCTTGATAATGTTTTAGGTCATTTATAATATTTTACCTGTATTTGATCGGATAAATAAAAAAATTAATTGAAATACGCGTAAAATTGTCAAAACATCTTTAATCGTTGAAAAAAAACACAATAGATGAAGTACTTTAAAAATAAAAAATTGATTAAACCCTTTTTTTGGTTTTTAAAATAAACAAAAAAAATCCAAGATTAGCTGCTTATAGTTGTTATTTTTTCTTTTTCTTTTTTTTTTTATTAACACCGTTATTCTTACCTTAAAATTTTTTTTTAATTGTTGAAATAAGCGGGGAAACATTGTGTTATACTCGGTAATGGATTATTAATATTATAAGTATATTGTGTCACAATTATTATAATAAAATGTGTTATAGTGTTTTTGTCAATAAGTAAAATTTATTGGAGTCGTTACACAATAAAGCCCACATTTGTATTTTTTTTTTTTTTAGGACTTTTGTAGATGCTAGTTTATGTGCAATTAATTATTTATAAATCAAAGTAATACAAGTGGTTTGGTCAGTAATGTCTAACTATTAATCTAATTTATTTATAAGAAATAACATAAAAAACCCGATTATATGATGGGTGAGACGTAAGTTGGATTATATGTGGACTACGTTGTCATGATGACAACAATTAAGTTGGATGAAGTCATTGAAGGTTGGTAAATGATCGGGCTATATAGGTGGTATGAACACATCAAAGATTGAATGGTGTTGTGCCGCCTAACCAATTATATGTGCACATCACGTGGTGAGTAATACCCATGGAAAATTTTCGCCTGTGGCCCGACCCCCACCTTCCGTCCCCCTTCCTCGTGGAAGCGAACGAATGGTGTGGATCGGTACCTTTGCCATGTTAAAAGGCATCAGATTCTTTTGATCTCTTCGGACTTCAGGCGGCGTTGGTCTCTGTCTGTCTCTTGCCCTGCCCACTTAATATATTGCATCTTTAAGCAAGAAAAATAACCCTAGCCGTTGCTAAAGAAAAACTTTCAAAAAAAAACTCTTAAAACGGAGGACAAACTTTTGGAGAACAATATTTCTAGAACTAGTATTCTAGTTAATTTTGTTAACTAGCTTACTGTTATAATGTATTGGCAGTGAATTTTTATTGGGTTTGATCAGAAATTAATGAGAATTTGTTTTGACATTACTCAATTTTAGAATTTTTCTCTTTTTTTTTCAACCGTTAGGAGTGTCCAGACCAGACTTACATGCACCTTAACTAATCTCCAAAATAGACAATTCATGCGGAGATTATAATTTATCTTTCAAAACTCTCAAACTCACTCTTCGCCCAGAGCCTCCTCACTTACTCAGCTGTACGTGCACCAGTCCCTCTCTTACAAAATGACATCACCAAAACCATTGTAGCCGTGTGCAATTGCGTGCATATGGCTTACTACTAAACCGTGGATCTCATTTTCTAAGCCGAAAGTTCACCGCTGAGGGTATCTTGCAAAGTACCAATTAACTGTATCCTAGTGGTCCACTTATAGCCTCTCTCTCACACACACACACTCACACACAATCAATGTAGCCCTGTAGGGAATTTTAGTCGGTAGAGATTTTAATTTTTTTGAGGTGGCAGCACTGATACTAAATTTACAGCACATCACACCATTGTATGAAAAAGGATTTAAATCAGGATGACTTTATAAGAGATGGAAGAGCTGCAAGAGCAGATACTGCCTATTGGAAAAAATTCCAAGCAAGCTGTGTTTCTGGAGAAAGAACGAATGTCGAAAAATGGTGCAATTCATTTTGCTTTCTATGTTTCTCCTAGCCTGATAAAAAAATGACACAGTTTAGTCCCATTATGAAGGAATGGGAGAGGGATAGGATACACAAAACATTATTTATACAAAGTATCTATTTTCATATTCGAACCTGCAACCTCTGAATACTGGGCTGAATTTTAATAACTGAACATTGACAATATTTCAGCAATTCAATGGACTATTAGACTGCACTAATGCTCTCTCTCTTCAAGTCCACAACTGGACTGCCCTCTGATGATGGTGATGATTGCATAGCACAATAAGTTTCTCCAGTAAGAAAGGAAATTACCTGAAAAAAGAAGCGAAATAAAATAGTGTCACTTATGTAACAGAAGGGGAAGGATTGAAGAATTAAAATAGGGTGACTCCGCTGTACCACCTCACTCATACAGGATCGTGAAAGTGGCTTGGTCTTTATGCACAGAGAGGCAGCACACACCAACTTATACATCCCATACATGTCCACGTCCTCCACCTCTTCATCCAATAGCTTATGGTATGCTCTTTGTGACAGCAATGGTCGAGCCTGCATGAACAAACTAGGTAAGACCATTAATAATTTTAAAAAATGACTTGCGGAGGAACAAATCTATGAAAAGAAAAATGTTACCAACCCACTCAACCAATTTTTTGTCGTCTTGTGGGGCAGATCTTCTGCAGAACAGCCTCACGAGAAGAACTCCAAAGGAAAAGATGTCGGATTTTACTGAAGCCAGTGATTTTGGGTCCAAACGATCCTTGTGCCAGCACCTTTTGATATACAAAGTTACAAACAAAATTCCATGAAATTGAATATTGCAGAGACTTTCCACGTACTTGTGTTTCATTGTACTACTCCGAGCAATCGTCTTTAACATGGCAGTCAATTAAATACCAACCTGTTATTAGCAATTGCTGACGAATGTTCTTGCTGCAGCCATGTGGCTTTCCCAAAGCTAGTAATCTGTTTTAATCACAAGGGATAGAATAAAAGTTAAAGTAGTACAAGAATTCATATATAATAAAGAATTTTTAGCATTTGGGATGTCTACCAGCGGCTGGAAGTCATATGTGAGATAAATATTGCACGGTCGTAAGTCACCATGAACAATGGGGCCTAGAGGGTTCTCGTCGTGCATGTATCGAACACCTTGAGCAATTCCCACAGCTATCTTCATTTTTTCTCGAAATGCCAATTCCGCCTGTTTTCCCTTTGAGCCTGCACCAGTTCCGATTCGTAAAAGACATTATATTCCATCTTTTGATATAAATCAACTGTGATCAATCTTCAATAATGATCTCCGACAAAAAGAGGCAACAACTCACCATTGAGAAATATGTCAAGTGGCCCTCTTATTGCACTAGGGAACACTAGAAAGGTAGAATTTTCATTCCTGTGGTAACCCATCAACCCCAAAATATTTTTGTGATATATACTCATTGCCGCCTTTTTTTCTGCTTCAACAACATCATAAAAATCTCCAGTGAACTTTGTCACTGTAACTTGGCGCTGACAATCAGTTAAACAACCGCTATACATGACAACATCCTCGCTTTGATTCACAAAAACCATACATCTAGTCCTGCTTGTTATGCTTAAAATTACTTCCCAGCTTAGTTGCACTGGCACACGTAGGAGAAGATTGACCTCAGAAAATTCTCTGGCATAGATATTGCCCTTTAGAACAGTCTCCTTCCATGGAGACTTCCCCTTTTCAACATTCTCTCTTTGCTCGGATGAGTCAATCTCTCTGCAAATTTCATCTTTGCCACTTGCAAGAAGAGATGGATGGAAGGATTGATTATAATCGCCTCCATAATTTGGTGTGGTCCAATGAATATGTAGCACCTCTTGTTGATAAAGTGATTTGCTAATTAACTTTGAACATTTTGGAGTGGATTTTCCATATTTGGCTTCTGAAGTCTCCGGTCCATGGTGTGAGTACTTGTAGACCACAGCCACTTCATCAGCACTCACAAAGAAGAAATTGCAATTTGTTTCACTCAGGTGGAAATAATCGTCCCTGGCAAAGGACCTGCAACCGAAACAAAAGTTTAATATGAATTCAGGCATGCGCGCACACACACTCGAGAGAGAGACCTGTCCATAACAATCCAATTGGCTTTGGCATGGTTTGCCTCCTCCACCACAATGGCATTTGGTTGAAAGCCAGCCATAATCTTCACCTGAAACTTCACCTGTCATAGAGATTAATATCAAAGTGAGTATGATGGAAGCTCAACAGTAATATTGCAACAACTTCATTGTGAACGGAGTGAACTAACACTGATCGAATCATGTCAACAGCATCACCATGATGCAAAAGCAAACTTAATACAGTAATCTATTGTTCAGTTATATCCAATTCAATCGCTGGAAAAAATGAAGTCAAAACACCGATAAACAATCAAAATCAGCGTTTCTACATAGATAGACAACCAAAACAGAAATCTTTTTGCAGGAATTGAGTTCCATGAAACAGAATTCGAGAAAATAGTTCAAGCACATCATTCATAACTCAACAATCCAATTCAGGAAAAAGTTGTTGGTTCAGGCAATCAAGCAAACAGCTGGAGGACTTACTCCACTGCTTTTGCAAATATCACAAAAGGGCCTGAAGATCCTCACGTAACCGTCAGTTCTCTGATTGATCTCTTCGTGGAGGAGCTTGATATACGAATCTCCTTGATCACATTGATGATTATTTCGATTATCTCCTAAACAACATGGATATCCTGTATTAACAGGAGATGGAGTTGGTGGCTCCAATTGAGAATGATGAGAACCAGAACCTCATCCCTTGGACCAACACAACCCACATCACGTAGAGCACACCGTAACGGTTCAACGCCGTTCTTCTCCGTGAAGACCTTGATTTCATCCAATACAACGATCGCTGATTTTCTGTCATCTTTCTCTTTTTCTATCATCATTACCCTTACGGACATAATCCCTTACTGGTTGGTTTGCGGATTGGTTGATTTCTATGGATTGATATACGTCCTTGTATTCATTTGAAAGCTTCATGTCTCTACCACATAGGTTAACGTTTAGCTTTGGAATCACCTACGTTTCACACAACACTGAACCTCGCATTTTCGCTCCTACTATTTCAGTTTTGTCGTGTTGTTTGCTTTTTCCTAAGATGATATTCGTAGAATTCAATGGCATCCAAGAACAAGAACCTTATGCAAGGGGGAGCCAGAAAGTCATGCCCGCACAAATATTTCAACAAACTATTTTTTTTTTTTACAATTAATAAAAATAAAACAATAATTTATATTTAATTACATCTTATTTAATATTTAAAAATTCATTAAATCCGACGTACCAAAATTTGATAAGCTTAGTATATATAAACGACATAATTTTTTTTACAAAATATAAGCTAATTAAAATTATTTAGAATTGATTGTGGTGAATTTTCATACTTTGAAACCGTTGCATAATAATTTTATTATTTTTTACATACACCGTTATTTTATCACTTTCGTCTTTATATACATAACATGTCTAAAATGTGTCAAAAAAATTTATATTTATTTGATATAAGTGTACACTAATTGATGTGTCAAAAAAATAAGGTGGGCATAATTAAAAATATTAAGAAATACATATATGTAATGTTAAGAAAAAAAAATTGAGAGTGTACATGTGCCTCTGGGCATATGCTGGCTCCGGCCATGCTCTTTATTAAACCTATCAACTGTGCAAAGAATGACATTAAACCCATTAACTATGCAAAGAACGATAAAAAAATTCAAAGAACTGAGGAAGGAGTTTTACTCTATTTCTTCTGGTTGGACAATTGAGAGTGAGTGAGATAGAGAGGGAAAAAAAAAAAAGATAACTAATAAGATAGGTGTTACTGATGTCTGTCAAATGGGCCAAAAACTTTGTTTTTTAATGGTGGATCAAAAGTTTTATTTTTTTAATAAGTTTAAGTAGATTGTGATCAATCAAAAATTTGATTTTTTAGTAAGTTTTGGTAAATAGTGGTGGGCTCAAATTTTTTTATTTTAAATAGGCATAATTTTTTAATTCTTTTGAACAAATAATAAGGGCCTAATATTTTTATCTTAGAAATTGGATGAACACAAATAATATATTGTACAAATATATAATATATATACTAAATTAATAAAAAAAAAAATTTGAAGGGGAGAGGGGGCACGTGCCGTCCCCGGCCCTAGCCTCCCTCCGTCCGCCCTTCACCTTATGTCCATCCAAATTTTTATAATCATTTCCATAACCATGCATGTTTGTTTATGAGATAGAACAGAGCAATGTTAACAGAACGCAAATAAAATGGTTAGTAGTTCAAGGGAAAATATAGGGTCTGACAGTTATACAAGTCAGCATTGTCACGTGGAGTGAGGCTCCACTGCAACCATTGGGTTCGCTCCAGCAGTTGATATGGTGGATCGGCTGTCGGTTGAGCAGAAAGACGCATTTAAAGGGTCGTTTAGTCAGGAAGAATACAAAAGTGAGTAAGGCATTTCAAGTTTAGAAGAATTGGCTGAGTGGTCCCATTGTTGATGGGATTTACTATCCAATGTCTCTCTTCATTTGGAATGCCATTCAGTATTTAAATTTGGATTGCGTAATATTTTTCATGATAGAAAATAAAGTGAAAAATAAAAAATAAAAAATATATTTTTATCTAATGTATTTGATTAGTATGAAAATTTTATAACAAAGTTTTAAAAAAATTTCATTCTATTAGTTAAAAGAAAAGAAACTTATAAGAATTTTTTTTAGTTATCTAAATTATCTTAAATTATATTAAATTGATATACAGAAGAAATATATATATTATTATTAAAAATTAATTTTTTTTTTAAATGATTCCTAAACTAATTATGGGATAAATATCAGCACAAAGGTCACTGAACCAAACTATATGGTTAATCAAATTTATACTAAGATTTTTAAAAATTAATAACTAATAAAATATTTTAAGAAAAATTAAGATAAAATAGAAAGTTAGTTGTAGATCACAAATTTCTTGTATTTTCTTGTGTTTTTTTACAAGAAAAAAAAATTGGTTAGTTGTGAGAAAATTTAAGCATGAAAAAAATTTATTTTTTCTATCAATTTTTATTTTATGCTAACTAAATATATGAAAATTTTAAAAAAATTATTGATGATGCACAAAAACATTTATATAAAATCAATTAAAAAAGTAATGAAATATGTGATAGGGTATGCTTAACACAATCAAACACACAGTTAGATAGTTTGATCTGAATGACCTATTTCACAAGAAATGACTAAGGTGATCGGAGATTTTTATTACTCAAGGCGTATAGAGTGCTAAGAGATGAGTGATGCTTACTATGTGTAGGCGGGACTTACAATTTATACGCAAATAAAGTTTATAATAGCTCCGAAGAAGTCCTGATTGAGACACCATTTTTGCAACGAATAACAGGTGGTTCTATGAGACTGCTGGCGTCATTCCTGCAATGAGCGAGTTGATTTCGTGAAACTGGCAATGTGCATCCCGATTGGGAATACAATTTTTGTTCGTTCAACCAATGCTCTTGCACCATCATTTTGGTAACATTCATATGACTACTTCCAATTTAGAGGTAGTGATAAGTTTTTTTTTGTCTGTGCTACACTATAGGGCAGGGAGAGTCTCGAATTCGACACCCAATAATGCCATTAGAGGGACTTGACGCTCTGATGGATGCCTTTGTGCGAATGATTGAAGTTGTAAAAGGTATTGATGGATGCCTTTTTGTATATTGATCATGGGTTTGTTTTCTAATTTTTTTTTTTTTGTGAATTAAATCACGTTTTTTGTTAAGTTTCTGTTTGTAGTAGTAGAATAATTAGAAACTTGGAATTTGCATTGTCAAACTGTCATTATAACACTGTATTAATACACAGTATTGATATATTTTTCAGTTAATAATGCAATGCAACTTATTTGACACTATTCTGGTACATGAAAATATCAACCAACTTGGTTTTCCTAGATCAAAATAAAAACTAGGGAAAAAAAAAATATAAAAAGGGTAATGTCTACGCATGAGTGGGTAACCAACAAAACCAAATAATGTCTTAAAACAAAGTGGAAAAATACCCAGGGATAAAGGCTGCGACTGGTGGATATCAGACTAAAAAACATCTCACAAGAACAACTATTATGGTGTTCTTGAATGAAATAAATAATTATGAAAAAAAAAATCACCATTAAAATGACCGATAAAAACATAATTGTGTCGTGAATTCAAACCTGGTAATTACTGAGAATGAATAATAAAGATGAACATATTTTTTAACTTTGCATTGATAATGGCTTTGACACCAAAGAAGAAGAAGACACTTAATGATAATTTGATAAAATTTAAAATTCAAATTATCTGGATACACATAATAAACGGATGAATTAAATCTTCCATTACATTGGGGCATTTTTAATGCAAACATGTAAACAGGAAAAAAAAAATTGTTCCCAAAAAGAATTGCATGGTTTAAGGGAAGATATAAATGTCAAAGGAAAAATTGAAAATTGAAAATTGTGTATTTAAATACAATTAAGTTCTAAAATTAAGGATTTAATTATTTAACATAAATAAATATGTTTTTTTTTTATAATTAAATCTAATTTTGTGTATCCCTCCCAATTTCCCGATTTTAAAAGGGAAATTTGGAGGCGAGTCTCCCTATATGGACTTGTTTGGACTTAAGTTCGTCAAAAAAACTTATTTGTTATGAAATTCATTTTTTGTCAATTTTACCGTATTATCACTTTCCTTTATAAATGAAATAAAACTAAAAATTAAAAACTTTTAAATCTTAGGAGTTTGACTAACATTAAAATATTTTCTCTCTCATATCTATCTATATCCACATATAGGTTAAGAGTTTGTCTAACATTAAAAAAAATATTTCTCTCTTATCTAACATTTAAATATAAAAAAAATTATCATTTGGATACAAAAAATAATACATTTAAACACAAAAAAATAGTAACAATTAAACATGAAAAAAAATTGAAACATTCAATATTAATATTTTTAAAAAATAACAAAAGTAACATGTTTAACAAAAATATTAACATGTTCAACAAAAATAGTAACATATTTAACAAAAACTGTAACATACTTAATAATAATTATTTCTTTCAAATTCAAACACAAAATAGTACCATTCAAATACAAAAAATAGTAATATTCAAAAATAAAAATAGTAATATTGAATATTAATATTTAGAAAAAAATAATAATAATAATATATTCAACAATAGGGGTGATGGTCTCCTAAGGGTGTGTTTAAAGTGATTTTTTAAAACATTACTATAAATTATTTTTTATAAGTACTTTTAAAAAAAATAGTGTTTAAAATCGTCCCACCACTACCTCTACCACCACCACTGCCACCGTCACCGTCGCCACTGCTGTCACTGCCACTACAACCACCACCACCACGGTCACCACCGCCACCGCCACCACGGTCATTGCCACCCATCACAACCATCACTGTCTCCTACCACCACCACTGTTGCTCACCACCTCTCACTCTCATTACAAATCGATGCTTAATTTCATTTATCTCTTCTCTATATTTGTGATTTGGTTTTAGATATGAATATAAATATTTTTATTATTTACCATTTTTTATTACTCTCTGCCTGAAAGCATAGACAATAACTAGTATATATATAAGAGGAAAATTTTTAATATTAATCAAACTCTTAACCTATATATGAATATAGATAGATATGAGAGAGAAAATATTAACTTTATTTCAAGGAAGAATATTTTTGAGATAAAAAAAAATAAAAATAGACTTAAGTCATTTTATATAATTTTAAACATGAACTTAGCCTCTTATAAATTTTTTTACAGAACTTATTTCAAAACAAGTACATCTAGGAGGACTCATTTCCGATTGTCGTATTTTAAAATGGCACCATCCGCATAAGGCCCATTTACATCGGGCCGCCCATTACATGCGCAACCTTATGGTTCTATAGGAGTAAATTTGTCTTTCAAGCTGCCATCTCCAAAGCCTTTGAGCTGAACAGTCTCGAGCAATACTATTGAGATCTAATTTATTGATCTAATTTGCTGACTTAATTCACTATGACGTTTGAATTAACTATGAGCTCCATCAAACATTGAAATTTGGTGTTTATCTAATGGATCCAATAAAGTCACGTCATTAGGTCATCAAATGATGTTAAATTTTTAAGTCTAAATAACATTTTTCGCCTCCTAATTGTCACACTCCCAAGCCCCGTTAAATCTGTAACCTTTGTGAGAGGGAAAGCCCCACCAGCAGGATGGTCTAAGGTTCAATTTGGGCAGGTTAATTTGAATCCAATTCGAACTCAACCCAAAAAATAGTATTAGGGTTAAAATTTTTAAGGTTAAAGTTAGGTTAAAAAACTTCAATCTAATTGAATTCAACCATGACTCGAATTAAGAGCTTAGATTCAAGGGCTCAACCCCAACTCAAATAGAAATGATGAATTCAAGCTAAGCCTGAGCCCAAATCAAATTCATCCCGAATTTATATATAATATTTTGCATATAAAAATAAAATATAAACATTTATTTTGTGATTATTATTATTATTATTATTTATAGGGAAAGTGAAAAATGATTTATAAGGACTATAGATGGTGAAAGAAATTTATATAACTGATATGATATAAGTAAAAAAGGCAAAAGAAAGATAATGAAATGTAATCCCACATCGCATAGACAACTCAAATGATCTCTCCCCTGTATAAAGAAGACTCACCCTTACACCCCCAGTAAGTTGTCTTGATCGGCTTCATCTTAGTAGGCTATATAGGTATATGTAATAATTTAACATTGGTGCAAAGATTCACACCTAATTTCGAATTATTGTTTTTTGAGCTCGAATTACCATCCCAAATTGAATAATCCGATTTTAACTTGAGCTTGGTCAAAATTAATTCGGATTGAGATCAGATTAGGATAGAAAATTTTATACCTAACGTTAAATTAGGATTAATCTTTCAACTTGTCCAAGTTACACCCCTAATTGAGCATTAACTTCAAGCTGATACAGTGGGTACCTCATACCAAAGAAAATGTAATATTTTGCAATAGTTAATATAACTACCCCTTTCCCCCAGGGAAAAAACGAAGTCAGGACTTTTGTGCAGGTAAATATCATTGACCTTCCTTTAGTAGTGGGGTTTTGTCACCATTCTTTTTTCCCGGTAAATATTAATGCAATGGTGATGTTAACCTAACATTTGACACGTAATATCACTAATTAATTATAAAATGTCCTATATACTTTGTAAACTTCATTGTTCAAATAACTACAAGTAATACAACATTTAATAATTATCACATTGAATGAAATAGAATTTATTTGTCCTACTTGTTACTTATAATCGATCATAGTGTGTGTTAACGGTGTGGTATTCTCATTGGATTGAGTAGTTTCTCACACACGACCAAATGGTGGAGAGACCACGTATAAAACTCGATCAAATGGACTACTTGACTGTTTCTCTAAATCTTCTCAAAACCAAGTTTTGATTCAAACAAAAAATGACAATTCACACCAGTTACCTACTCTTGACTTGCATGTATACGAAATTAGGTTAGAATTTCTCCTCCACAAGTGGGGCTTTAATTTATCCCATAAAAATACAATCCACTGGTTCATGTAACACTTGAGGATGAAGTTAAGTTGGGATAAAATGCAATACCAGTGGCTGGTAACCACTCTCCTCCCTGAATAAGATTGGCAACTGTAAACTGGCTTGCCTCAGTTGAGCTGTTGATGACCCTATAACCGGGCCAAGTCACTCTAGCACTCGTGTTTGAACCCGGCCCTCGATTCTTATATTCCCCATAGTAAAGAGTACTCAACGCGAAATCGCCATCCCATTCCAACCATCCTGCCGGGTCCACCAGATCACCAATGTTTGACAGAATATAAACCGTCCTCGAGTATTGCCTCCATGGTCGGCCAAGATAGGTTCTGAACGATGATTGCACCGGAATTAAATCGGCAGCTGCAGCAACTTTGCAATTCAGAATTGAAATGCCAGTGTTTTCGTTTGGGTCTTCTCTTCCTTGTGCCGTGAAAATATTTCTTTGGTTTTCATTTGGCCTGCGAGCATATAAATTGCAATTCTGCAAAACAACAGCGGCATTGCCGAAGATGAAGTCGATTGTTCCGTATACGTCGCAGTCACGGTAAAACTGTCGAAGGGAATGGACGTAGAGAGTGTCTTGGTAGGCGACGAAGCTGCATTGATAGAATGCTGAGAGGTCCGCGCCACTCCTTAGCGCCACGGCTTGGTGGTTGCTAGGCCCAGCGTAATTTTCGAAGGTTATGCCTCTGGCTATGAATCCATTTCCCACCACAGCTGCAAGTGATGAAAACACAAACGAGAGATTAAATGGCGTTAAAGAAACTAATAGAAGCAACAGGAATTTCAGCCTAGCTATTTTTTTTTTTTTTATAACTGTTTTTAAATTTACGCCGACTATTCTTTTGAGTTTTTAGCCTAAATTTTTTATTGCCAAGAGGATAGATTTGACCACTGGACCATCACCCCTAAACGTATTAGCCTAGCTAGTTATGTCATATCTATTGTAACAGTTATTCATTAACAAAAACCAAAACAAAAAAAAAAAAAAAAAAATTAATGAGACAAAATAGCAGAAGCTGTCAAGAATTTTGTCTTTGGTGGGCTGGAGGAGTGGGTTTAAGCTGTACAATATCAATTCCAATCCGATTCAAAAGCAAGATTGGGCCTGAAACTATGAAATCTCGGGTTGGACTTGAGCCACGAAAGAAATGTTAGATTTTAAAATTAAGTAGGAATCATATGAATAAATTAAAGAGGTAGGTTCTGATAAAAAATAAAATAAAATAAAAATTAAAGAGCTAGGTGTATTTTGAATTTCATACAAGATTTGAGAAGAAGTGAAAACAGAAAAGAAAGGTTTAAGATAGAATATAATTGATTGAGTGGGACCCGTTTACCGCGACCATTTATTTGAATGGCCTACGGCCTATGAAAGAAATGAAAGTGAATGACAAGCATTTAGGGAAGTGGGAAATACCTTGCAAGTACAAATTAATGTCGTCTGCAAAAACTAGCCAAAGGTTCGTGATTCGCCTTACACGTTTTGCGAATCTAACGACAGTCCTTTTCTGTGCCTTGTACAAATATACTAGTAAGAAAAATAAATTATTCCAATTCCTTCTTATGTCTATGCTAAGAGTTTGGCGATGGCAGTTGTCTGACACTGACTCTAATCCAAAAGTAGAAATAATAATGTTATTAAAAATAGTTTAATTTTTTAATATAATAATAATAATAATAATATATCAAGAGATAAAATTTTAATAAAAAAATCCAATAATTATAATCACAATAATATTGAATGTATGCTATTCCTATACATGGATCAAATCTTGCCAATCTATCCTACCTATACATACATTTATCAGCAGCATTGTTAGCATATGAAACAACTCAAATACTATATTTTAATTGGGAATAAAGCTTATATTTTTAATACTTGTGTTATATAAGATGATTGATAATTGATAATTGATAATTGATCGTAACTAATAATAAAATTTAAAATTAAGAGAATCTTAAACCTTTTTAGTATGTATCATTTTGCTATCTATTATCTCACCAAATTTCTCATTCTTTACCCAATAAATCCAAACTGATGCGACTTGGCCAGACAAAACTTTATGACACAGATGCCCACAAACTCACACGAATGATCACAGTTAATTGCTACCACAAATAGAGTAATTATTAACGCGACAACATGACTTACAGTTGTCAGTGCAACCGACAAGAAAAAATAATGATTTAATTAATCATAATTATTAAATACAGTAGATAATAAATTTTACTAGTTAATATTGAGATTTATAATTAATAAATTAATGACAATTTATTAAATTAACATTTTAAATTCATAGTTTAGGTCTGAAACCTCGAGATGGTGTTAAAAGTAACCACCACCACAGACATTTCTCTAAAGCAGATTACTGATCTTCAGACAATGCAAATAGATCAAAATAAATAATCAAAAAATAATATTGCAAATACCACCTTTGTGCACCCTTCTCTTCTCTTAGACCACATAATGTAGTATTGAATATTTAATATTTAATAAATTTTATAATTCATACTAACCAAACGGTCTATGATAAATATGGCGCATAAAAGTGATGTAAGGAGGCGTTGTGTGTAACATGCTGGATAATCAAATTAAGGAAAATCATAAGAAGTAGAAGAATTAGTCTAAACTCACCGACGGTAGCAGACCGGAAAGTAGTCCAGTTACCACCAAAACTACGGTTACCCTTTATCAACGTCTTCCCAATCCCATCTCCGACGAACATCAAATTGGTCTTCCTTCTCTCCACTTCAATATACTCGTAATACGCTCCAGTTTTAATATATATCACAAACCTGGTCGTACTCGAATTAGGTGACGCCGCCAATGCCTCGCCGATAGTCCTAAAGTTCCCACTACCGTCCTTCGCCACCACCAAATTATACGTGGTCTGATTCACTGGCGCCTGTAACAATCGTCGGTCTTTCTTCGAAATCCATGCCGGAAACCCATCTTTCATGGTACCATACTCCGGGAACACCTCAGTTTTTGAAGACGACGGAGTTTTGATTTTCTTGAGCATGGCTAGAGAATTGCTTACATGACGAGAGATTTTATACAGCCTGTCTTGTATGTAATCACGAACATTTTGTTTACTGAATGCGAACCCATCAAGACAGGTGTACTGGTTTGTAATTGCGCCACTGAGAAGTGTTTGTAGGTCATTGTAGTGTTTTGAAGCAGATTTGTTGGCCGAGAGATCGGAGATTACTTTTCTGAGCTCAGCAACGGTGTCGTCGAAGAGCTCAAGACAGTCATTGAGGGCCCGCTTGTCAAGTAGATCAAGCTTGGGGCGCTTTTTGCGAATGCCGGTGACGTTGGCTGCTGAAGATCTGACTTCGCCGACGGTGTAGTTCACGGCGGCGGAGATGATTTGGGGGATTGTTTTTTGGGCTAGATCTGGGAATGTAGAGAGAGTTGAGACGCATAGTTCTGGGTAGAGTGTTCCTTCGCATGCTGAGTGAGCAACTTGGAGGTGTTTGTGGAGGTGTATGTGTGGGGTTTCTGAGGTTTTTGGGCTCTCTAGAAGAGGGTTCAGTGAAGAAAGTGTGAGCAAGAGGAGTGCCAAAACGGCTAAGATAGCAAACAGCGGTTTGATTCTTCGTCTGAGATTTTTCATTGTGGAAGTGTAAAGAGAGAGATAAGGCGGAATTTGACTATCGGGAGTGAGTGGCAGCGGTAGCGGCAGCGGAAGTGAGAAATATATATAGAGCAATGCTATCGCCCTTATTTGGGATCTAATTTGTGAATTTAATGATGTAATTTTAATATAATTATTAAATTAATAGTGAATTTCACAACTAAACTAATCTAATGATTATATTGAATTAAGTCTTTAATAAATATAAGAAATGCTATTCTAAAATGAACATTTATACAAAAAACTATTAATATCATTCATGTGAGTTTATAATATCATCGGTCATAATTCATACATGAATGTATGATAAAACATAAAATTTAAACATTGAAAAAACTCTATGTCATTATATTAAATAATAATTTTTTCTTTCATTTCTTTGATTACATAATTTAAAATCTATATTTATCAATTATTTTCTTAAAAATATCAAAAAAAAATTTCAAAATATATAATCCGGCAAAATTGTATCAACATATGTATACTATCATGTATGTATAATATTTTGAAATAAAAATTATATTAAATTATATATTAATCAAATATTAAAATAATTGAGCATATGATAAACATGGATGATATGATATTTTTTGAGAGAAAAATATATAAGGGATAAATTCAACTTGTGAACTATCTTATTATATAGATTTACTAGGGATAACTTGTATCTAAAAGTACAATATAATATGAATAATTTTGAGATAAATGTTGATGGTCGTTGAATGAATCTATTTAAAACCGTTAAATAAATTTATTAACATCTATCTTATTTTAAATTATAGATCTCTCCTCCTATATTCAATCTCCTTCTATATTCAATTTACTATCCATAGTAAACGTTCAATAGACCTTCCCACAATTCTTTGCAAGTGCCACTTTTCTCTTTATCACATCAACACAAGCAGAAGTAGAAAGACATTAATCATTGTCACGGGTGCATTTAGCTCGAGTGGTAGTGGAGGGGCACAACAATAGGTCCAAAGTAGATTGCGTTAATTTAATTGGAAAGATTGATGTAACGTTTTAAAAATTACCTTGAACGACATTACAATTTTAAAACAATCTATGTAATGAGAGCAATTAATATAACCTATAAGTCAAGAAGATTTCATTCATCATTCATAATAATTACAATATCATCCAAAAAAATAGGTCAAATCTTGGTCATTATATCTAAAAGAATATGATTCACTATAAAAATTACATCCAACAGAATCATATTTGAACTTGCAGCGGAATAACAAAAAATTAGATTCTACATAGTCTCAAAAGAATTTCCTAGTCTAGCACATAGGGGAGTATAGCCCTAAGCATTCATCTCGGGATCTACGTGCCCATCTAGTGGAATTTTCCAATGTGCTGGCTCATTGACTCCGAGCTCCTCCTCTTTCACAAAATTTGAAAAATATGTGATTTATAGGGGGTGAGTACTTAGCTTTGTAGCAACATCCTCCCAAATTCGAACAAGGTTTAAAAACATATAAAATCATTCGGTCTCACTTTTCAAGATAGCATATATAATTTTGAAATAAAACAGTAATAATTTATTTAATCTCAAGTTAACACAATAACAATAAGTTAAATAAAATAAATAAACATATCCGAATCAAAGAAAACGATTAATCATTTAATAACATTATTCATAATCTTGTATTCTCATGCATGTTAGTTCATGCCCCATCGTCATGTATGTTGATTGCTTCTCATGAATCTACGTCACGACTCTATCTCGTTCACCTATCATAACCACACAAACCACTTTAGGAAGGACATATACCGTCTCCCACGGAATTGACGAATACTTCCCAAGAAATGTATATTATCCCTCAGCCTTGAACCTATGTGAATAATATTGATTGCTCTCACAAATAACAATCCACTATAAGTGTTAGACAACCATCTCAACCCCATTGGAATAGACTAAAGTCTAACACTCTACGGCAGTGTTCGAATGCAATTCAAGTCCATCACAACAATCATACAAGAGATGCAATACCAACTGTTTTCTCAAATCACAAGTAAATTCAAAATTCTCCGATTTTCATATGTATATTTCAATAGAATAATTTAAAAAAATATGCAAGTGATTATCATAAATACCATTTTGTTGTTCAATACAAAGTACTAGAGTTTTGAAATTAAGAATAAAGGAAAAATTTAGAGAAAAATTCATTTATCTTGAAAATTAGGGTTTTGAATCAAGAAAAAGAGCTTTAATGGTTATCTAACCATAACAATATTTAAAACATGTTACTAATTGCATAAATAACAAGAATCAAAGATTTTATAGCATACACATATGATTTAGAGTCAAAAAGCGCGCACACACACAGATATATATATCTATATTCTCAATGTAAGAGAATACCCCTACCATGAATTCGAATTTTCAAGCAAACCTAAGCTTTAGCGACTCTCTTCCTCCTTTTTCTTGTTCCCTTCTTATCTTCTCCTAGGGTTCTAAGAGGTTTGAGTGAGAATAAAATGAAAGAATAGGAGACAATGGGTGGAGAAGGGTGTTCTTGAAAAACTTATAATTTTGATTTTCTTTGAAGTGTAAATCCCTCTCAATCTTGGGTTTTTTTTCTCTTCTTTTCTTCCTCTCTAAGGTTTTTTAAGGTTAGAGATGTTGAAATGAGACTACAGGAGGTGTTCTTAAGTACTTATAGTGGAAGGAAGGTCGACTGTTCGCGACTTAAAATTTTTTGAAATTTATAGAGTGTACTGGTACGCGTATCGGTATACTAAGGCTTTTGGAGTTCGACGTATCGGTACGCTGAGGTTTCTGGAGTTAGATGTATTGGTATGTGTGCCGATATAGTTTGCCGAATATCCCTAGATTCTCTCTGTTTCCTCTATTTTTCATTTCTAATCCATTTCAAACTCTTTCAACTCCAATCCAAACTTATACAACATATTTTTGTACATCAAACCTAGTTTGTACAAGTTCTATTACAACGATTTCATATATTTACATGATAAAACGAAATTTTAACTACTATTTACTCGAATTTTATCATATTAACATTTCAAAAGAAATAATTACTTGCTATATATACCTATATACATATATCAAGATAAAAGTGTGGGGTTTACAATTGAAAAATGAACCATATGAAATTCTGCTCTAGCTTTGTTGTCGATGTTGTAAGCCCTTAACCTTTAGATCTCTGTGCATCGACTTATTTTAAATGCATTTGTATATGTCTGCTCCCGATGTATATATACAAGTTGATTTAAGCATAATCTTAGTGAAACATCTATGTTTTCCTCTAAGGATGCATAATTTTAAATAAGGGCCAAATTAGGTTCGAGGAACTTCTTGTTTTCAATTATTAGGTTTTTGGGCAGCCACTTTGTTTAGTCAGCAAGGAGCTTACTAATGTTAAGAACCTCTCGTTTGTATAATTCTTAAAACATATGGTTTCCTAACATTATAGCACTAATAGCTAGGTGATTTTCTTTTTTTTCTTTTTTTTTTTTTTATATATTTGTCATGAATAAAATTGTTGTTAAGATAGTCTTATATGACACTCTTAACATTAAATTGTGATATGGATATGTCAAAGACAGTGGCTTAGTGGATTTGGATTGTTTTTTGCCACCCTTTGTGTGCTTTTCAATCTGAATCTCTCGTGTTTTAAGGTTATGATGCAACAATGAATAGTGTTTGCTTCCAAGTACATTCAAGTTGACACCTCAACTTTTAGGGTACTATCTAAATAAATCAACAACAGAATGATTTATCAATGGTTAAAATTCGACTTATTAAACTCAAGATTCTGTGCTCAAATAAAAGTGTAGTCGCTTTATATAAAATAATTAATTATTGTTGTGTCTGAAAGTACAAAGTAATAAAAAATAATAAATAATAAACATATTTGTATTTATATTCAAAATTAAATCACAAATATAGAGGATAAATAAATGAATTTAAGCATCGATTATAGTGGGAGTGAGAGATGATGGACTGCAGTGGTGGTGATAGGAGACAATGATGGGTGTGGTAGGTGACAATAATCGTAGTAGCGGTGGTAGTGGTCGCAACGACGATGGTAGTGGTCACGGTGGCGGCGACGATACTGGCGACGATGGCAGTGGTGATGGGGGTTACAACGACGGTAGCAATGGTGGTGTTGATAGAGGCGTTGATTGTGATGGTAGTGGCGGCAACAGTGATGATAGCGGTGGTAGTGGTGATGACGGTGGCAACGGCGGTGGTGGCGGCGATGGTAGAAGTAGTGGTGGTAGTTGAGCGGTTTCAAACACTATTTTTTTTAAAGTATTTATGAGAAATAATTTATATAAGTACTTTTAAAAATTCACTCAAAAGACACTTTTAAAACCCTATTTTTTTTTATTAAATTTAGGATGTTAATATTAGCCGTTAGATTAATTTTAAAGTAAAATTTAAAGTGATCTGAACCGCGAATAGCAAAAATTATTTTGTTTATCTTTCGAAATTTGAATTGTAAACTATTTTATTATATATAAATATCAAATGTTAGACTCTATGATAGTCAAAACTTAATTTTTTATTCTAAGTTATTTATTTTTTGTACTAATTTGTATACACCTTTTTTTTCAACAAATGCAAACTTTTTTCTTTACGTTGGTGCGGGTGACTTAAAATGAGTGTTTTTGTTCGATTATCAATTATTGTGAGTCATAATTTTTTTAGGTTTTTATCTTTTAGTCTTTTGATGTTTTTTAAACAATGAACACTACAAAAATGTTTAAAAATTGTCTATGAAACAAATCTACAAAGTCATATCTCAAAGATTAAAAAAATAAAAATATAAAATATAATTCAAAATTATTCACATGCAAATGTACGTGGGCATTAACTAGTAATATATAAGTGATTTATGAGTGTTAAATAGAGTAACAACAATATTACACACATTATTTATAGCGATTGAAGAAGATATAATTGTATATATGTACATATATCGTATACATTAATTTAATATATAGATATAATTATAAAATATGTATTTATATTTTTTTTCAAAAAAATAAAAAAATAATTTTTTTTTATT